TTGAGGAACCATCCCGGGTCAGTTGGGAGAGTCTCCCATCATGATGCAGAGGCAAAAACAAGGCGATTGGTACGCCATATCTTGCATCGAAAGTGAATGGGATCGGGAGAATCATGGGCCGTATTCACACATTTACATTGGCCCACGGCGGCGGGCCAGGAGCTAGTCATGTCATCGTTTATTTGGAGGTCATGGAAAGGCCACGAGTGGCGCTGACGGCAGAAGACACGGGGGTTGAGGACCGTGTGGGGGCTGCGCTGCGGTTGTGAGCCATGTGTGCCTTGACGAGGTGACCGGCGGCAAGTGCAGAGCACAAGCTGAGTTCACCGGCGAGAACGGAGGCAGCAATGATACGAGACAGCTGACGCGCGTTTTCGCCGGGGGAAGTCGAGTGAGCACCGCGGACACCCAAAAGGTCCAACATAGCACCTTGAGCTTCGAGAATGGTACCACCGCCAATAGTGCCTACCTCAATGGAAGGCATAGACACAGCAATCTGGAGGTTGCCATTGTTGCTGTTTGGGGAATCGTTGTTAGCATCTCAAATGTCAAATAGTAGTGGATGAGAAAGGCTTACTTCTTCATGGTAGTGATACAGCTGCTGCTCTCAACATTCTGGGCAGGATCTTGACCAGTGGCCAGGAAAATGGCAGATACGATGTTAGAGGCATGGGCGTTGAAACCACCCAAGCTGCCCGCCATCGCACTTCCAATCAAGTTCTTGCTGACGTTCAGCTCAACCAGTGCATCAACGTCGCTCTTGAGGACACTCTTGACAACATCACCAGGAATGATAGCCTCTGCCACGACGGACTTACCACGGCCATCAGTCCAGTTGATCGCAGCGGACTTCTTATCTGTGCAGAAGTTACCAGAAAGCGAGATGATGGACATGTCCTCGAAACCACACTCCTTGTGCATGACGTCCAGCGCCTTCTCACAGCCCTTAGAGATCATGTTCATACCCATGGCATCACCAGTAGTGGTCTTGAAGCGGATGTACAGGTAGGTTCCGGCAAGGGCAGTCTTGATACTCTGAAGACGGGCAAAGCGACTGGTCGAGTTGAAAGCCGTCGTCATGATGTTCCGGCCTTCTTCAGAATCGATCCAAACCTTCGCAGCGGCAGCCCGGGCCAAGGTTGGGAAAGTTACACAAGGACCACGGGTCATACCATCACCAGTCAAGACAGTCACAGCACCGCCACCGGCGTTAATTGCCTTGGACCCACGACTCGTGCTAGCCACCAAGACACCTTCAGTAGTGGCCATGGGAATGAAGTAGTTCTGTCCATCGATGTTGATAGGGCCAGCGACACCAAGAGGAAGGGGCAAGTAACCAATAACATTTTCACAGCAAGCACCGTGGACAAGGCCATAGTTGTAATCCTTGTATGGGAGCTTGGAACTTTCCAAAACGGAAGTGATAGCAGCGGTAGCAGGAGTCCGGGAGACCACAGACCTGCGGATCTTCACAGCACGAGTAAAGGCATCAACACGGCTCATCAAGTTCTCGTCCTCCATGGTCTTCTCTAGCGCGTAACCCGGAAGCTTTCCGCGGAGAGAAAGATCGATCAACTCCTCATCAGTAAGCATTGGTGCACGCTTTTCCTTGAGGAAAGCTTCGCATTCTTCTGGAGTTCTGGATGACTGTTGTTCATTTGGCTCAAACTTGGGGTAGACCTTCGGTGCGACCACAGGCTCCGCAGGAGGGGGCAGGGCAGTCTCTGGGTCCTTGATACTCCAGCGGGCAGCATTGAAAAGATAGCCGTTGAGAATGATGCTAAGTGTCAAGGCGGCGATGATCCACTTGCTGATGATAGGGTCTTCGACACTCTTAAGCAAACTTTCGAGAACTTTGCCACCCACCGCATCCAAGAACTGGTCGGTGTACTCGATTTCAAATGAACCAGAAGCGGTAGGGTCTGCGTAGTGAATGGAGGGGTACTCCAATTTGTACTTGATCGGGGAAAGGATGGTAACAACAGTCTCCTGCTTCTGGCTCTTGGCAGCCACGTACACACTGTCCAGGCCATTCTCTGCCACCTTGAAAGGATCAATTGGAGTAGGAGACAGGACGCTGGAGAACCGGGAGAGCAAGCCACCGTTGCCAGTGTTCCGGAAAGGAATGGCTGACATGTTCACGACATTGATCAAAATTAAACCACCAACCATAAGGATCTTGAATCGGCGCACATTGCTAGACTTGATCTTGCGACCAAAGATGCTGGTATCTGCCTCACCAGATCCGGCGCTAGGCCAGTCGTTGCTAGAAGCGACATTCTCAGCAACGCTGTGGGTAATACCATCTTCTTCCAAGGCCTTGCGTAGCGCCACGTGACGCTTGATCCGAGTGATCTCGAGCTTGATACAGAGAATTGTGGTATAGAAGGTAAAAAGAAGCACGCAGTCAAAGAACAAGATCAAGGCCGCGAGGAAGCAGAACTGCTGGAGTCCTCCTTGAACACCAGAGGCCGCACCCAAAGCCAACAGACCAATCTCAATGCAGTAGTGCTGAACGATCTCGAAACCTTGGTCCTTGATCGCAGCTCCGATGGAGTCCTGAATTGATCTCGGTGTGCTCGATGCCAACGGGCGAGGGGCAGCACCAGGGACAGGTCGGCGATTGTCTACAGAAGCCTTCAGGACGGCCCGAGTGAACATAATCGGCTTCTCGAAGCCAATGGTGACAACCAAGAATGGGAGACCTTCGGACAGCAGGAGGAGGTTGATAGGCACACCAAGTCTAGTGGTCACGTGCAGACCAAAAAGGAATGCAAAAGTACCAGAAAGGAGCACGGTAGCCGCAAGCCAAAAGTTGGAGCCCAATCGTCGCATCGAGAAGAAGAGCGAGACGAAGCTCAGGTGCATCGAGAGGTATCCAAGAGCCATGATAACAATGTCAATAGTTTCCGCGTGCTTGATCAGATCCACAAAGGAACTCCATGCATCTGCAATCCAGAGCTTTACAGCTCTGCCGGAGCCGTAGGCCGGGCCACGAGCAGCTCGCATGATCCACTTCTTAGATTCCTCCTCATCCTCATCCGTGGATGGGGTGGGGATCTCCTGCACGGCCCTCAAAAGTTCCGAGATTTGGTCAAAAGGCACGGTGTAAACCAAAGAAGCGTCATGAGTGAATTGCGAGAAGAGGTTGGGGGTGTACGGCACCGAGTTGGCGGAGATGTTGGCAGGGATCGGGACATCATCAGCTGCGGGGGCAGTTGAATCAGAGTTGGTGGAATCAGGGAAGATTAGGGTCGCCAGAGCGAGGTGCTGGGCAACGGGCTTTTCAGTCTAATATTTCATTCAGTTAGTATTTCTTTCTCGGTACCCGAGAAGAAAGGGGGGAGTGGGCCCACCTGGGAGTCAGTCCAGGCGTCTTCCGCCTGCCACTTCCATGAAGTTGATTCTCCGAGGCGCAGATTGCGGCTTCCCTGGAGCAGGGCATCGGCGTCGACCTGTCCCGCGACACTTCGCAGATCTTTAGATGTATCAAGCAGGCTACCTTCGAGGAGACCCACGTAGGTGGTGCTAGCGAGGATTGCAATCGCCACGAGTGTGTGGATAGGGTGCACACAGGCCCGGCGAGAGACGGACTGGAGGCCGGACACAATCTGACGCCGGAACCAGCTAGGTTGAGTTTCCCGCTCTTCCTCGGTTGAGCGAAGGCGTTTGGAGATAAACGAGGTAGCCATGACGGTTCGCGAAGGAAGCGGTGAGGACGTCTGTTGAAGGCGTTGAGGGGGATGTTAAGACGGTCCGCAAGGACCAGGACCTGCGAGAAAAGCCGTCGTGGGGTGATGTTTTACACCAAAACCAAAACCAATGCGGAGGGAAATCTTTAATGATCCAATTCTATGACAGCATGTGGGCTGCACGAGTTAAGGATTGGGCAGTTTCCGGGCTATAGAATTTTTCGTCGGGATTAGTTGAGGTTACAACACATTGATAAGAAAGCACCTACCGAGGGAAGAAGTCGAGAAGCTCAAGGCACCCTTGGAATTGGAGAAGGGAAAAAAAGTAAGGGACCCCCCCTGAAGTAAAATAATAGTCGCCCGAGACTGGAATTAAGTAACGCCGACGCCAAGCCACACCAGTGGGGATTTGCTTTTGCGAGTAATTTATCCTTGGGTATTTTATCACAAAGAAAATAATGAGGTAGGGATTCAGAAGAATGGGAAGAACAATCACAAAGGACCTCGCATCAAGCTGACGTTCAAGGGTAGTTTTCTCGGATGGTCGAGGATGATATTGGATCTAGGCGGCAATATTCTACTCCGTATACAGAACCTATATATGATGCCTGAAAATACCTCGAACATAGTAGATATTGAGGGATATTAGGGACTAGTCGGGAGTATTGGGACGAGTATTTGAATCTTACAAAAAAACAATATCAAGTATGCAGTACAGAGAGCCTTGGGAGAAAATTGGCAGTGGCAATCCTTGTGTACAACCCAAAGAATCTGGAGACGCACAGGCATTTCTTTATCTTTACCTATGCATGTCGATCCTTTGACAGAGGCACAGCACCTTGTTACATCTTGAAACTTAAATCTCTCTTGACTCTTTGATGTTTATTGATGTTTATCCTGTCTGAGCTGGACGTACTTACGTGATAAAACCCATCAACGGCTCCACCGGTTTCGTCTGTAACTTAACCCTGTACTCCGTACGCCGGACAAAGTAGAGGTTTCCACGTCAGCCAACCCTCAAAAAGGAAAGTCGAAAGAGACACTCCGTAGTCGGCACCTGCGTCAGAAAAGAGTCCACTCAATTTCCCTGTGTGGAATCCACCCGGTGGAGCTCCGGAGAAATCTGATAAAAATCTGATAACTCTGAATCAAATCATCTGCTCGGACTGACCCGAAGCAGACTCCATGTATCCATAATAAACTCGGTAACCGAGCTTGCCAAGCGAAACAGGAAAAAGATAAGATCGTTTGCTCGGTGAATCCCGAGTGTTCCGGTAATTCTGCTTGAAATTTGCACTTCTCATCTCCTTACTTGGGTGCCTTGGGTGCCTCAGGTGGCTTTCCCGTTTTCGCGCTTGTCTCTTGCTGCTTTTTTGGTCCGTAAAACTCAACACAGTCAGCCCCGGCTACCTACAAATACCCGTGGACCGGACCTTGAGATCACTCACTGAACATTATACAAGTCTACACGCTCACCTGGGCAGGGCTGCGAGTTGCGTTGCAGGTCTCCAAGTGGCTGCTTACTGCGCATGCATCTTTCACATCACTCGTGACCGTCATGGATACGGTGTGATATTGATCCGTCCATTGCCTTATATTCTATCCACGGCCGCATCTAGCTGTAGCTTTTCCTATCACAATCTCATAGCTTCCATCTTGCTCTCCCTCAACGAATCAAGGGCGACGTATCCCGATATGTCGACAGCAGGAATGATATATATTAATGTTATGCGTGCGAAGCGTCCAAGGTCGTTTAGGTCCCGCTCCATCATCCTAGCATTGGGGTTATTTCGATCGACGTGTTCTTGCTCATGTAAATAACTCACAATGTCACATCCCACCTGCAGCAGACGCCACATGCTCATAGAATTTAATGAATATGGCACCGATCATGGATAGGATAAATTTCACCCCGGTGAGCCCTTCGAGCTGACGTGATATAAGCATATAAAGGAACCTTATCTTTCGAAAGATACATCGAAGTACATTGAACGAGAAAGGGTCGGACTCATTCGCAGCTTCAGAAGGGTCATCGCGGCCTGGATTTCTAGATTAAGGCAAGCGCAACATGGATGCCCAAGCCGGTGCCTACTACAACACTAAGTCCGTAAAGAATAGCCAGGCTGGTAGGAGTGTAGACAGTGGTATCTAGGTACCTATGTCACTAAACTACGGTCAGCCATGAGATATAAATATTGCAGGAGATTGAAGTAACGATGCCTATTAAAATGGCTCAAATGAGAACTAGTCTCTCTCAGAACTATATAGCTCATAGTACCAAAGGCGAGACGCCATGGTACAGCTTAACTGAAGGGCCACGATCAATATGAAATGAGAATATTCTGATCACAGATTATTAGACTGCATCGTCGCCTCGAGTAAGCTGGAAGTAGACCGGTATGCTGAATGACTAAGATTTATGTATTATACAGTTGGGTATGTCACTATTACTACTGCAGAGCAAGCAATGAAGAGTAGAATCGGGTGCTTCTGCCTGAATAGGTGCATTAGGGCTGTGAATGCAACCACGTTCAGCAAGCTACTTACTCAGTCAAAACCAGAGCACATTTCTTTGTCTGGCTTTTCAGCTGTAGGCCTCTCGCCGGGATCACAAAAGTGTAGTTTGGTACCCCGAGAATCAACATCTTCCGGATGTCGATCTAGATCATCAGCATTGAGTTATTGCTGTGGCCCATATCCTCTATCGGGAGCAGAGCTGTTCAAATAAATCTTCAATATTTCAAAAGAATTCCCAAATAACCTCCTCACTTTGAAAACAGGCTCTCATTCATCACTTCGACAAATTGATCCATATACCTCATCGAGGCAGGTTTGCGAGCCAAGCAAGTCACTTAGGTGTGCTTCAGAGATTTCTCGCATAGGATGTCTTATGCTGGCGGTGATAAACCCTAGACCGCTACGATATGAAGCTCATCAAATATGTACATGCACATATACCACCGCTCTAGTATCTACATAGATTAGTCGTGCCTATCACGCGTTCTAGCTCCCTTAAACTAATTCGATGCCTTACGATCTCCTCAAAATCAAATTCCTGCCGTTCGTGGGACTCACACGTAGCCCAGGCAGCTTTCCTTCCAAAATCATACCTCTTATACTCCGATTGCTAGACTTCCTTCGGACAGGCCAATAAGCCTCCAGTGTTCGTCACGGCCACCAATCTCCCAAGCTGTGATATTAAGAGGTCTCCCCAATATGGTGTTAGCTTTATGTACATCAGAATCTGAGGGCTGTTAATCATGACTTTCCTATCAATTGAATGATACTTCGTACCTAATACCGAACATGTGCATAGGCAACAAGGTCTTTGTTCTACAACAAATCATTTGTCAGAAGCCTTAGGGAGCGACTATGACAATCAAACATCAGTATCTCAAGAAACGGAGAACTTGGACTGGTCCTGGGTCTATTTTTTTGTTTTTTTTTTGTTGCTTGTTTTTTTGTGATAGATCTTTAACTGGTCCAAAATCAGAGGTGTCATTTGTGAATTCTGTCCAATATATAGTTTAATAGGGGTATTTACAGTGGGTGATCAAGTGAAATGTATAAATGCAAACAGAGCAATCTTCAGGAAATTAAAGCGCTAAAGAGGTCACCTTTGTTTTACTTTCTCCTCCAAAGATTTAAGGGGGTTTCTATTGTTAATTTCGACTCCGACGGCGAAGCGCCCAGGGGCCCCCCAAATCAGCCAATAAGCGTGCTTACTGAGCCGACGGACCTGCAGAGCTTCACAACATACTTACAAGCTTCGAAAATCCAACACCTAGAGTCATGCAAATGTCACAGCTACGCGCCAGGAGCGGAACCAAGCATGTCTCAAGCTACTCCGTGGCTCTAAATATCTCCCGACAACCGAGCCCTCCTATCCAATCATTCCCTGCTTTGTCTAGAAGCTGGCAAGGGCATCGGGCTTGTATCTCGGTCTATTAACAGTTTTGATTGTAAGACGGTTTGGTATCAGGTTTGGAGCCTCTCCAATTAGACGCGAAGCCTCGAAGTCAGACAATGTTTTCTTTATGTGTAACAGATTCCCTTGAAACTTTTTCATACCATTCCTATCCTTCTTTTCGTTGTGGCCTGGAGGTGTTTAGACTAAAAACCCATTGTCTATTCACACCTATATTGTCACAGGTCAATCATTTCAATGATTCTATTCATCTCGACAAAGCCCATTGTTGCAGCCTTCGACCTGGCCGCTTCATCGATCTTCTAAACTCAATAAATACGGCACTACCCGCTTGAAAACCCTCACCTCTATTCCATATCTTTATGCTCAAAGAAAACCAATATTGCAATATCTACTCGAGTTGACGCCGCCGGTCGCCGTCCTCTTCAAGTCCACAAAATCCCATTCTTACAGCCTTTGGTCTCGAATCCTACATATCTAGACCCACTATCACGATGTTGATCATCGTATTGATAATACTCTTTGCTCTGTACGGCCCAGCACACGCTCATTCTTGGGTGGAAGAGCTCACACTCATTGCCCCAAATGGAACATTCGTCGGCACTCCGGGATATGCTCGAGGAAACTACTTGCGTACGGAATCTGGCTTTAGTGACACTGCCATGACCTACTTGATACCGCCCAGCACAAGGGAAAATGTTACTCAGATTCTCCCTACCGATAAAATGTGCAAGGACACCCAGCAGGATCAAACTCAGTCAGAGGGAAGCCCTCGGCTTCAAGCCAGCGCCGGGGCGGCGATCGCCCTCCGTTTCCAGGAGAATGGTCATGTCACGCTTCCTCATACCCAGCCCGGGAAGCCCGCGAACCGGGGAACCGTTTATGTCTATGGCACCACACAACCCAAGACAGGCGAAAAATTTCTTGATGTCCATGGAGCCTGGACCCAAGATGGTACGGGAGGCGATGGGCGCGGGGTACTCCTGTCAGTTCAAAATTACGACGACGGGCGTTGCTACCAGGTCAATTCGGGAGAAATCTCAGGGACTCGGCAAGCGAAGTACACGCACACAACAGACCCGAGGATGGGAGCAGACCTCTGGTGCCAGCAAGATATTCAACTACCTTCCGATGCTCCTAGTGGTAAGCCGTACACACTCTACTGGGTGTGGGACTGGCCCACTGCCGCGGATGTTGATTCCACATATCCCAATGGAAAGGCCGAGGTCTATACAACTTGTATGGATGTGGATTTGGTGAACGTGGTCAGCAAGCAGGCAATCAAGAGTGATTATGAGATTGACCAAGATCTTAACAATGCTGCAATCCCTTCGCAGTTCGACGCACTCGGCCGTCCGATATCCTCTCAGTCAATCACATTTGCCACATCGTTAGCTGCGACAGGGGTTCCAATGTTCTCTCAGCCAGCCACATTTGCCACATCCTTAGCTGCGACAGGAGTTGAGCCCAAAACAGTCACAGTGACAGACTGGGTGATCAGCACAAGCACAGTATTTATGGCGGGGAGCCAACCCACTTAAAATGGGGTTGAAAGACCAAAACACCCGAGATAGGACAATGCGAATGAACATCTGAATGAAATGACAATGCCTTTGTTTTTATGCCTCCTGAGTAGTTTGTTGTAGCCAAAATCGATGTATCAGATGCACCAATACCTAAGTATATCAGATGCCATATATAAGCCCAATATGAAGGCATAGAACATACAATCCTCTATAGAACCCATGGACCTTTAGTCCCAAACAGGAATAGACCTAACCAGACTTTTATGAAACACGCTAAGGCTGGGTGCCACGTGACCCTCGATGAGTTCAAGCTTCACCCATTCACACACGGCCAACTCTGTGACTCTTGAGCGGCTGCCTTGCATATCGGCTGATTCCTGCTATTTCCTTTGCTAGAGTTCATCTCGATAAATCACATTATTCAAGAAACAATAGCACCCACGATCCCCAAACCACCTACGCGCTAATCATTACTCCAGTTCGACCTTCAACTTAGACAGGTATGGCAATCTCCGTTCACTCACAAGTCTATTTCTCCTCAAATCTCGCATTTCCCATGTGGTCTTGACCTAATTCTTGTCTTCGTGCGGTCTGCACATTCTTTCCCGCATAAGCGCCGTGCCTCTGTTACACTTATATCTGACATTAGCCCTTCCTGCAGTTTTCAGCTATATTTAGCAATTCCCTGCCCTCGAGATCACGGACCAAACGGCTAGAATAACGGTCTTGACTTCGCCAATCTCACTTTGAACGGATATCCTACCACGCAAACCTTGCAAACCTGCAAATTTGCAGGCTTTTTCTGGATTGTTGATATTGTCTTGTCTCGTCGTGAGATCTTCCCCGTCGCGGTTCGGCGTTCCACTCGGGCCACATTTGCCCCCCCTCCCTCGTGTTGTTTGCCGATTACCCACCCATTCACCGTCCACCAAACCGGAGCCCCTTGGGATAAACATCCTTTTTTTCTTTTCACCAAAATCTTGACATCTAAGAGATGTTCCTAGTTTGAATCACACGAACCTGAAATCGTTTTTGGCCCCCTTGCAACTTGGCGCTTGCTGCATCGTACCTGAACTCGGTATTTCTTCGATCTCCGATCACAAGCTATACCTCCCTTGTTCGAGTCCAAGGGACATCCGCTGTCTGCGACTGCAAATATCAATAATTTGGACTGCGTCAATCGCAATGCGAAACTAGAGCGCCAACCACGCGACCGATGAACAACCCCACATTTTCCTTGCTGAGATCCGCCCCATTATTCCTCATTCCGAACCCAATTCTGGGTCTTCCTCCATGTCAACCATGATGTCCTCTCCCACATCATCGCAGGATATTCTCTCCACAAACAATCTTTCGGTGCTGCCACCCATCCTCACTGATGGGACGGTGAAACGGTCGTCGACGCTTCCGAAGGATCGGCTCTCCACGTATTCCAATATCTCGCTTGCATCCCAAAATCGTTCTCGCCCAGGCTCCCATGTCTTCCCCATTTTCCATACCAGTCTTCCATATGCTCTGGTGCGAGACTTCGCCTATCCCTCCACTCACCCTCTCCATTACGGGCCTCCCCCTCCCCGCGCCTCCGGGGTATCCACGCCGGCAAGTGAACATCGGCGACTGTCCGATCCACCACCTTCGTGGGATATATCGCGTGGATGGTCAACAGGGCAACCGAGCACAGAACCGCAGATCAGCCATGTCCACCAACAGTTGCCAGCCATGTCCTTTGGAGATGGACCACCATACAGCGAGGATGAAGACCTGCATAGCCCAGTTGTGACCTCGCGTCATCGCAAGAAATCTTCTGACATGAATGGTCTTGTAGATGAGAGAGTCATGTCTGGAACTGGCCATGCGGGGAACAACGATCGCGGAATGTTTGTTGGCGTTAATGCCGATGGCAGTGAGACTTATTATGTAAATGATGGAGACACGTCAGATGATGGACCAGGCGGTGAGTACGTGACATATCCGGCAAGTGAAGGGCGGTATTCAATCATGGGTTACAACGCCCCGGGCGGCCAGCAGGGCCACGAACACGATCTTGGGTCCGAGTCAGAAGATGAAATTCCTGGTGGAAATCGATACTCTAGAGACTATCAGTTTGCCATTGGCTGCCCTGATGAAGAGATGCATGGAAAAGCTGTTGCACTCTTTGACTTCACACGTGAGCACGAGAACGAACTGCCTCTTACAGAGGGCCAAGTGATTTACGTTTCATACCGGCATGGTCAGGGCTGGCTGGTTGCAGAAGATCCCAAGACAGGAGAGAATGGTCTTGTCCCGGAGGAGTTTGTGCGTCTTCTGCGAGACATCGAAGGGGGCTTGACTTCATTGAATGGGGAACCAAATCCTGAGGTCACCGGGGTCGCAGACGTCAGTCTAGACTCCACCGGGTCAGATCAAATATCCACACCTACCCAGGTAGAGCAGCCTTCATTTGACGAGAATGCGCAGTCTGAAAACAAATCTACCAATGGCAATACCTTAGCTGCGGTCTCAACGGAAGGCGCGGCTGCATCTCAATCTGTGTTGGATACCGAGACCTCGACCAGTAAAGCTGCCGAGAGCTTCGACAAACGCTCTAGCACGCTGACCAAGACCTGATTCAATCAAACATTGGCCCTGAATGGCTCTGTTCGATCGACGCAAGATCTTGGTGCTCTGTGTCTGATTCTGGCGAGATGGCCTTTTCTGTTCCAAGTTGCGCCATAAAATCCTGACAGCCGATCATCAAAGCTTGGCACTCTCCACTTTCCTGTGACTGGAGAGGTCTCAGGCAAGAAACACACAGTTGGCTTGTTGTGTGAACTGTTTCATGAACACACATTTAGCGCCCCTTGGTGGATTCAACCCGGACCACCTAATCTCCACCTTTTAGAGCTCCGTCTCAAAGGCCCTTTTTTTCCCCCTTTGAACCTTCCCTTCAGACGGTTTCGTCAGATATAAACCCAACTCTTTTTTTCCAGCTTTATGTTCAACCCCTCTCCCCGCGATGAATTATTACCCACAAGTTCCTCTTTATTAACGTATATCACCCTTCCTTCACGATTCCAATTCATGTCTTCTAATCATGCACGGGGAATCATAACCTGGGACCGAAGAGGATTGAGAATCCCTCTTTTACTACATACCCAAGTCTTTCGCCATATTGTCGCCTTATCTGTTCTGTCTTCCCCTCTCACAATGCCTCTTATCAAACCCCCCATCGTCTTCCTTGTATTTAGTTCCCTTCAGCGCAGGCGTTATACCAGCATCAATGAGCATCAGCATCATGCCGATTTGAATCCATTTAATCACTTATAAGATACATTCTATTTAGCCCAGGTCAATATCTCTACACTATCTCATTGAGTGTCAATGTAGTACTGCCCCGGCTTACTATGAGATAAAACTACAGCTCTCTAATATCGTCAGTGCGTCAGTCTGGATGTTTCTTGTGATATACATGATTTATTCAAATGCAATCATTCTATATATTAATGTTAAGAGTTCAAGAGGAATTCTCAATACTTAACTATATGGATTTCTGTTACCTATATCCTCTATAGTCTGCCTTTCTGTACATATATCATCTCACATATTATATACCGAGTGGTCTGAAGTGATGCACTGATGGTACTGGACTGCCGTAGACAAAACTTGCAACAAGACTCAGAAAGATATAGAATGACATTGACAGATTAGGCCTGGCATCTCGAGGCCGTTTGAATAATGAAGACCAGAGAGCAAAGGGTCGACATCATGGAGGCATGGGCAATGAAGAGGCCTTAACATATATACCTGGACATCGCCGGACTGCCGATGGATGAAGCACCTATCGATGTATCAATTCTCAGTGAGATATGGACAGTTTATTTTCAGCGCCACTAGCCCACTAGCAAAACACCAAATATGCGAGGACAGCCGATTTCTGGCTGTTGGGACGTGTATAGAAGAGATCGCGAGGGACGACAGAATTTTACGTGAGGGAGAGGAAAGCAAAAAATTTCCCAACTTGCTCTGCTGTAGTGCGATCATACTTAAGTAGGCATGCAACTGGAGAAGGAAGGGAGGAAATGGCAATAAAATGGAGTATACAAGGACACCGGAAGAAAGAAGAAGGGGGAAAAGACCAAGTCAAATCTGGAATTCGAAATGCTAAAATCATAGCCACATATCGCAAATGTAAGGAGCGAGCATGGACTCAGTAGGAAAAGAAGGGTAGTGGTGGTAAATTGCTTTACTAGCTGATCAACTAAGCAGATCATCAAAAGCCGAGCTAGACTGTTGCTTGTGCTGGGGCTGGCTAGGCGTGGAAGCGGTGCTGGAGGGAGCTGGGGCGCCCCAGATTCCGGCGCTGGCTTTCTCCTTGGCCATGCTGGCGAGGTTAGGGCCCTTGTTTGTGCCAGTGTTGGACCTCTGAATGCCGGCGCTGGCGCTAGCGGTAGACCACAGCGAGCCGAAGGCGTCGCCAGAGGACTTCTTGGCTGTTGCTGTTGCTAAGGCTGGCTTGCTCGTTGTGCTTGAGGGGGAAGCTAGGGAGGGACTAGCAGCGTGAGAGGACCCAGAATTTTGGGCTACATGAACGGAGGTGAAGTAGTTGGGTGTGGCAGCTTGGTACCCGGCGGGCTTCTGCTGTTGGATCGGGGCCATCTGAGAAAGGGGAGTGGCCATCCCGCTGGAAGAAGGAGTCGGGGTAGCCGATTTGAATCCAACTAAGCCGTTGATATTGGCACCTTGCGAGGCCGAGATTGGCTGAGGTGCAACGAATTGGGTGTTCGAACTTGTGCTGGCGGTGGAAGCTGGAGGGGGAATAACGAACTGGTTTGGCGACTGAGTAGGCTGGGCAGCTGGGGTTGCGGACTGGAAGTCGTCGAACTCGTCGTCGTCAACTGGGGATGGGTCTAGCATGTTGAGAGCACCGCTGGCGGGTTTTTTGCCGGCCGAAGTTGAAGCTGTGGTAGTGACAGGCTCATCGTCGCCAAAGTCGAAGAGGTCTGCTACAGGTGCAGGAGCTGGCTCGGGCTTCTTTGCTTGTGGTTTCGCCCGGGCGGAGGGCTCACGATGGCGTGCGGGGGCATCTGCCTCATCATACTCGTCATATTCTTCAAAGCGGTTGGATCGACGTCCAGTGTCCTGGAAGTCGACGCCAGCTTGCCCGCCAGATTCCCCGCCAAAACCGCCACCGTCACCATAGACACCTCCGCTGTATCCACCGTACCCCATACTCTCGCTTCCAAAGCCTCCATAGCGGCCCGAGCCCGAGCTGGACATGCCTCCTCCGACACCCATGCCACCTTCAAAGCCACTGAACTTGTTGCGGTTGTTCTTGGCCTTCTTTCTTTCAGTCCGAATCTGATCCACATCACCCAGCAACTTCACCAACTCGGAAGACCGGTTGCGCACATTGATACCCTGGTCTTTGCCGTTCATGTCGATATAGTGGAACTGCCGGAGCATCCGAATCAAGGACATATGAGATCGTGCATCATCGACGACTCGTTCGGAACCGTTCTTGACAAGGAATTCGAGAAGCTGGAGGCTCTATGATTCGAGAAGACGATAGCGTTAGTCATAATAGACACGTAAAAATAGCCACGCTGCTCGTACCTTATAGATCTGTCGCCATTCCTCTGCAGCCTTGTCGGTGAATCGCTTGTAGATAATGGGCATGATCTCGTTGAGTAATTGGCTGTAGCAGGATAAAGTTAGCGTGTGCGCATTAGTGGAAATACCATTAGGCATTATGGACTGACTAGTTATGTGTTCCATTAGCGATCTCCTGCATCAACGTGGTCGAGGCACCCCAGGGTTCATTGTTTGTAGCTTCCCGGACCTGACTTCTGTAAGTATTTTATCGCACAATCTTCTCATCTTCACCTGCGAAGGGCCATGTTGGTTCGCGCAGAGGTGAGCGATTGCATACGAACCTTGGATTCCATCTCGGTATAGTTCATGACAGCTATGACGGAACGGCCAAATCAGTTTCCGCAAATTGTAAGACACATGCAAGTCGATCTGGCTTTGTTTACAGCACAATCGGACCAAGCGGAATTCCATCTTACCATTTTGAACCTTGCGAACGCCGGCCTTGAGATCATACAAGGTCATGTTGCTGACCTGATCTTTGAGGCTGGAGAAATCCATGGCGAGGGGTGACTACTAGTCAGGACAAGTATGGGACAACGAGAATCTGAGAGAAGAGATAGTAGCAGCAAAGGCAATTGGAGGCCCAGCACAGGAAGAAGCAGAAATCCCTCAGGATTAACGTGATCAGTTGGAGGGGGGAAGATGCCCGGTTTCCAACTGGCAACCTGATTGAATGCGCCACGTCACGTGGCAGCCCCTGACCAAGCCTTGTATACTTCAGATGGCTACAATGAACAAATATTCTACTTAACTTCTACTTTCTGCCTGATGGAAATTCTGGAAAACTGAATTGTTTTACAATTGATACTGAACGGTATCATACTGTGTACATGTTCGCCCGTATAAACCGAACGCTATCGCTATCGAAATCAACAAAATACCCATGGTATCTTAAAACAAAGACAATAAGTAAAAAAAAAAAAAGACAGAAAATAATAATATCAATAAGAATGTGCACCCAATTCATCCCTCATCAAGTCCATAAGCCATGACTCTCACTCGTTATAGAACTTCTTCATGATCAAATGCAAGAAAAGGTTGACATTGACCCGCATCTGTCCATCAAAGAAGTCCATGAATTGCGTGTTGTTGAATTGAGCCTGCAGCAAGTCGTCCAGCGGTACCTGTGCATTGGCGCCAGGAATCATCATGACACCGCTGCTCCCGTCGATGGTGAATACACCAACTTCGTTACTTGAGATGGTCAAGTCGACTCGATCCCACTGCCGCTCGGCGTAGCCCTTCCAGGCAACCAGAACGCCTCGGTCCGCCAGAGTGCGCGCAGAGTATTTGTAGGATCCAAATTTGAATACCTTGCCAGATTTTTGCAGCTCTCGTTGATGATCCCATTGTTTGGTGAACGGCATCAGGAATCGTTTCTTTCCCTTCTTGTTCTGTAAAGTGATCATGGCCTGTTCAATGTAGTCGTTGTATGTCTTGAGCTGCCCTTCTAGGTAGACAGCTTGGCCACTGAGCCTCTGAGAGGTCAGCCGAGCACCCTCCAGTTCACGCTCTCGCTGGATTCTGCGACGATGCTTGGTGCGGATATCGATGGCGATGGCGTTGAGCAAATCCTGATAATGGTTGTGACGATTGATCTTGCCACTCTGTTCAAGCCGAAGGATATTTTCGAGTGCAATGCCCTTCAGCTCAGAATAGCTCATGGCACTAATGTCAATTAAGCTATTGGCTTCAGAGTAGGCGCCTCGGCGTGGATTGCTGGTGTTTAGTTCTTCGCGAACCAAAGTGTGCCACCGCTCCTCGTCTTCGGCTGTCGGTGACTTGAGCATGACGTCCATTAGGTTAGCACCACTCTGGACACGGATGATGTAGAGGATGCAGCGCTTAGTCTCCATAAAGAGCGTCTTTATATCTGCTTCGGGGTCTGGGAGGTAAAGTCAGAAAAATGAACAGGTGGGAGCTTGCTTGTATTTCTTACCTTCAACCTGGGCCAGCTTGGGATTCAATGTGAGATTGATCTCAGTAGAGCTGACACCCATCAATTCGTTCTCGTTACTCTTGACACTGCCAAGTTCTCGCACAAGTTCCTTGAGGAAGTCATCAGGGTGTGGGCACATATAGTTAATCTCAGAGGCCACAAGCTGGTGGATTGAGAAGATGTCAGACATCTTGATGTAAAGGGTAGGTTTGGCTTTAGCATAGAGATCGTTGAATTCATCGATGTCGAAATAAGCCTCTGCATCCTGGACTGAGATCATTTGACCCCAGATACGCCCTAGGCGCTGGATTGACACTCCGATGTAGTTGTTGAGCGGCTGAAGATAGACATTATCCGCCCCAAAGAGTCTACCAGATGCAATCTGAGCAACAACCTTGGAGATTTCCCCAAGGTTGCGCTTTTGTTCTTGAGTGAGACCTCGATCGATTACACCATACTTCTCTGGCTCTAGCAGAGCAGGCTGGAAGTAATTTTTCCATACCCAGTGGCCGACCGTCTGAAGAATGAATCCTGGATCCTCACCAGAGAATCTCTCGAGAAGGTTTTGATACATTTGCTGTGCGAGATATCTGATACCGAATGGCATACGATACAGGAAGTCCTCAAAGCTCGAGAATAATTGGTCAACAATGTCACGAAGATCTTGCAAATGCTGAATGAATGTCTCTCTGGTTTCAGGGTCTCTGATCGCTTCTTCTCTGGGAAGATCCGGTTGTCGGCGGCTTCGCTGGCCCGTTTGAAGCTCCTCGTTGTTGATTGCAGAACGGTAGATTTGAATTGGATCACTCTCTAAATCAAGGTCCGGGTTGTCGATCACAGACTCCTTGATGACACCCCCCAAGACGTCGCGCATGAACTTCCGGTCGCGTGATGACTTCGCGTATGAGGCGAAAAGCTTGTTCCAGAAGGAGGTGCAGCGCAAATATTCAGGCAGAGATGTGAAGCTCTCAATATCCTCTTTGACGGATCGTGCCAGGAGCTTAATAAGATAATACTCCTCGCGTCGTTTCTGAGAGTATCCAAACAGACCCATCATCAAGTGCCGAATCCGCTCATATTCCTTGTCTGAGGTGTTGATCTCGCGCAATCGTCGGAACAGACGAGCCAGGTACTGTGATTGGGTTTGGAGAAGGAAGAAAAACACCTGGTACTGATCCAACTTCCTCCTTGATGTCTTGTTAAGAGCCTTAAGGTCGTACGGATCCTTAGAAGAAATCTCGGTGTTAGATAATAAGTTGCCAATGTGACCACCGAAGTGCTTTTGATGCTTGACGACTTCATCCAGAGTAATTTTGTTCTTGACAAGGAGAGCAATCTTGATATCGAGTTGACTGATGTATTGTTCAGCAAGCTCGTTCTGTCGTACTTGTTGAACCACCACCTTTCGCAGGCGCTCAAACTCGATCTCTTCGTCGAAGTCGAAGTCACTGTCGTTGAGAAGATGCACGAAGCCCTTGACTGTTCCAACCGGCGGGTTCTTTCCACTTGTCAGGCTCTTATAAGCCTGGCCTTGAATACGGGCTCGGATGACACTCTGGGCCTTGATGACTTTCTCCATGTTTTCATTATAATGTTGACGTCTTTCCTCAAACCGGTTGCAGACAATGAGTCCTCTAATCCGTGCTTGAAGGTCCATGATAAAGTCCTCCTCTGCTTCAAGATCAGTCAGGATATCGCCAACTTCAACTCGCGCAAGCATTGCCCGAGTCAAAGATTGGAGTTCAACAACTTCTTCCTCATTGTCCTCAAGGCGAGTTAATATATCGCCTACTTCAATTCGTGAGACAGCAGCACGGGCAAGGGCCTGCAAATCAACAATGGCATGTTCGTGCTGCCCTAGTTCATGTCGTTGTGCAAGTAGATACTTCCTGTGAATGACGCCACGGGATCGGGACTGGAGTTCCAAGATAGCTGGTTCTTCCTCAAGCAATGCGGTCCTCTGGGCGTCTACTGATTCTCTCAAAGATTTTCCCCTGACAATAGACTGCAGGTCGATCACTGGCAATAGATGCTTCGCAAGCTCGGTGCGAATGGCTGAAGTGCTTTTTCTTACAGCAGCAGCCCGCGCGATAGCTTGCAGTGCAGCACACTCATTTTCGGTTTCTTCTAGTGCGTCTAGCAGCAGAGTTTGGTGTTCCCTGGCAATCAGAGCCCTGATGGTAGACTGAATACAGACAATGTGGGATACTTCGTTGTTGAGCAGAGCCTTCATCTGAGACAAGTTTTGGCGGGCCATCGACCCTCGAATAGCCGCCTGCAGTGACTTGACGGGTGTTTCAACTAGCTTCGCCTCGTGGGAATGAGCATTCATCTGCCTTCGTTGCAGGGTACCACGGATGGCAGCTTGGAGCGACTTGACGGAGCTACCAGCCTGTTTCGCCTCTTGAGATTGAGCGTTCATCTCTCTTCGCTGCAAGGTACCACGGATGGCAGCTTGGAGCGACTTGACGGAACTGCCAACCTGGTTCACCTCTTGAGATTGAGCATTCATTTCTCTTCGTTGCAAGTTACCGCGGATGGCAGCCTGGAGCGACCTGACCGAAGTGCCAACTTGTTTCAGCTCGTGGGATTGAGCGTCCAACTGTTTGCGTTGCAAAGCGCCGCGGATGAAAGCTTGAAGTGATTTCACATCATTTTCAGCATGTCTAGACTCTTCGTATTGGTCACCAACATTCATGCGTTGCAATGCACCCCTTATCGCGGCCTGGATCTGCTTAATGCCGGACACTTCTTGACGGGCACGAGTTTGTAGGTGACTAGCCTGAGCACGAGCCCTAGACCCCCGAATTAGGCTCTGTAAGCCTAGAACATCGGTTTCCTGAGATTGTCGCCATTGCTTGTCGCCCTGTTGACCCCGACGTACAATGAAGCCTCGGCTAATGGCCTGCAGCCCAACTGCAAACTGGAGCATACTTAGCCTGTATTCACTAATTTGTCGGGCCCAATCTCCACGGAGACGGGACTGTAGCTCAATGAGGAGGGGTTCAAAGTCCCACAGATCGTTCATCGTGTTACCCAACTGTAAACGCAACATAGCGCCTCTGATCTGAGCCTGGAATTCACAGATCGACGCTTCATTCTCGTGCATTTCTCGATCAATGCGATCTTCCTCTGATTCAACTGGCTCCGGTTCAGGCTCAGGCTCAGGCTCCGCGCCAAAGTTCGCAGCCATACCCGCAAAGCTAGGCATGCTCACACCAGCCTTGTCCAGTCCTTTTTGGGTTTTCTCAAGTTCGTGATGTTCAAACTCGAGCTGACCAACCAGATTACCCATGCGAAAGTCGAGCATGCCGTTTTTGAAGAGCAACCATGACAACGCATGAATACAATGTATGACCTTAGGAAGGTTCTTCTTTTCATACAAGTCAATGAGTTCAAATCGGAACAACTCTGGTAACTCGATCTCGTCGAGGAATCGGAAAAACAAGGCGATGTTATCTGAATGGCGATATTGTAACTTGGGGTGTCGGAAAATACGAAGGGTTTTGCCCGCATACATTGCTTGCACCACCTCCGCCAAAGTGACGCCGTCTCGGAGTTCCTCCTCCAGCTGAACGATTGGCGGGATTTGCTTTTGGATGACATCTTCAATCCACTGCTTGGCTTCTCCGATATGGCACAAATATTCGTATGCCTGGATGAATTGTCGCTGCTGATCCATCCAATTCCCGGCTGCCCATGAGGACGCCTTCGGCTTTTCGGGAGATACTGCTCCATTCCTTCCGGCTACTGATCCCGCTCTTTTAAGGCGTCGTCGGCCTTGCAAGCCGACCACAGAGGCTGCGGCCGCGCCAAATTCATTTTCGCCAGACTGTGCAAACTTTGAGAGAGTTCTTAGGTGACCCGTAGATGATTTTTGTAACCCTTCAAGCTCGGGAGCGGAGAGTGCAGCAGTCAGCTGTGGTGGCTGAGAGCTGTAGGAGGCTGCTTTCTGGGGAGACGAAGGACGCGATGTTCCGGGCACAGTTGACCAGTGGTGAGGAGAGGTTGTGGGTGGAGGGCTCTGCGATTCGTGGGCCAGGGTTTGATGACGGGGAGACTGATTCTCTTGGAAATTGAGCTGACGTGATTCGGGGGTGGCGGGTCGATAGTCCTTCCACGGGCGTGATTCATCAATTGTTTGGCTTCGTGAATGTCGATATCCGCTAGTATTAGATGTTGAGGATGGTGTATTAGGGACTTGCTGTAGTGGTCGAAGAGATCGGCGAATATTGTCGTATGCTGTGCCAGCATTTGTCCAATTTCCTCGTTCCATTGCGTCTGTAACAGTCGTTGCTGAGCTCATGCTGCTTGCCTCACTCTTCCCTCGAGAGTGACCCAATTTGTTCGATATCGACGCATTAGAAGAGATAGTGCTAGTTCGACTAGGAGCAAATGTACTTGACGCGATGGAATACGCAGATGAGTTCGTGGACGCTGTTGACCCGTGTCGTAATGGGCTGGTGGACTGGGAGGGAAGGTCCGTCTGGGCCCGCTTGAGGGATGGAAATTGAGTCGACATCATTTAATCTCAGGGCGGTATGTTGAAATGGATTGAAAAATGTCGCGATCCTTTGGCCGCATCCCTGCTCTGGTGGTCGAAGCGGAATGCGCAGGTTAAACAAGGTCTTGAAGACTCTCTCCGGAGACACCTGTGTTGGGTAGCATTCAAAATCAACTCTCACGATTTGGCGAAGAAATCAATCAACAGTTGCGCGAATTCGTGTCGACAAGCTCCGGGCTCGTGAATGCCCGATGTGGAATTGTTGACGGTGGGGGTGCAAGTGCGACCGAGATTCCCCAAAGTGGGCGCAGGGGGCACAACAAATCTCCAGATCGGGTATGGCGCAATCAGGTGATTGTGGCTTGTCGATCTCGAATCACGTGGGATAGAGAACTAAGAGATTGTGTTACTCGACCAGTCACACCCTGGGCATGCTTCTGTGACAGGACCCTTCATTTGAAATTCTTCGAAATCTCAAAGGTCGCTCACCTTATTTCGTAAATTTCTCGATATATTGGACATTCCTTTCGATCCCAATACCTGGCCTACCAGGATACCTGCAGTCTTGGCAAAGGTGGCTTGTGCATTTAGGCAGGTCTAAGTGGCCCGGGAGGCTCGTAGTCCCGTGCGACCAACACATCTTCAAGTCACCCAGTAAGTTGTAGACCGCCAGTTGATCTGGTGAAGTATGTACTCCATGCAAGCTGTTAAACTAGGACTTTGATTTCTTCCGACAAGGACTTCCCTCTATCTTACGTTATTGGAATTTTCCATCAATCAATACCTATCGTGCTTCGATATGACATAAACAGTCCTCGTTAACTACTTATCTCGTGCTAACATATGTTGCAAGACAGTCGTAGACTTACAACCATGAAACAATCCGCACAGTGACCTTTGAATTGAAAGATTCTACTACAAGCTGATATAGATCAAATTTTGAACCAATTTTGGTGTCCTATATATACTCCAGGGCTGGAAGTACAAAAAATGGCGCAATAATCCGCCTTCAAAAGGCAGAGTTGTCGGTCAAACCGACCCCGCCAATGAAACCACCTGACAACCTCAACTTTGTTTCTCTTTTTTATCACCAAGTGAATCGGTGAATTAATTTGCTTCTTTTCATCACTTTCATCATGGCATCGCTGCTTTCTCAACCTCGTTACATTTACAAGATTGTGCCTTCCACCGCACCAGTCCGTGAGCCACTCCCTGAGCGGCTCGCAGTAAGCGAATTAGACAAGGACTCTGATTTCATCCACCTCTCGATGGCGCATCAGGTGGGAGGCACACTCAAAGCATTTTTCACAGAGGAACCACTTGTCTATGTATTGCGGATCGAGTATCATCGCGTGATCCAAGATATCCGTTGGGAGTCCCCAGACGGAGCAGTGTCTGGTCCTCGGCCCGGTGATGGACTTTTCCCAGTACGTTGAATTTGTCAGTTTCAAAATGACATTTGCTAAATAAAGCCTAGCATCTCTACAATGGACTCAAACTGGGCAGAGAGGAGGTTGAGAGCGTCGCCATCTGGCAGAATGACGAGGGATGGGACAAAGCTCTCACTGCAGCGAAGCCGTGGCTTCTGTACTGATTCTATATCCCGTTGAATTTCAGTTTGATACCAATGAAAAGCACATGTCCAGAAAAATGTTCTGGCAACACCCCAGCTAGCAGATACCACTCCCTGTAAAACCACCTAGTCACCAAGCAGGTAGCAGTGCATCACTTGCCCGTCTATACATGTAGTTATGATACATTAGCCAAAATAGAAAAGACATTGAGGTTTTGATGGTGTGGGATATTGGCCACTCACAGTATAGGGAAGCATCCGCACTAGCCAAGAAGACGAAGCTTGTCGCAACCTCACTTGGCTCACCTGGCCGTCCAAGACCAGCCTTGTGACCCCATCCTTCCATCTGATTGGCATCTCGGGCGTCGACTTGTATAGATCGCACCTGAACTAACATTGGGAGCATGTTAGTATGGATTTCCGAAGAGGTATGATTGAATAATGCTCACGCGACTGCATTGACCCGAATACCCTTGGGAATCAAGTGCGTTGCTAAAGCCCTAGTAAAACTAATGATAGCTCCCTCCCTTGCAGCATAATCGATCATAGTCCCAGAGCCACGAGAAGCTACAACAGAAGAAGTATTGATGATCCTGCAGCAAGTGCGCCCGCGTGAGCGTTTGATTACATATATTGAAATTAAGCACCTACGAGTCACCTCGTGTCATATGAGGAAGAGCAAACTTCGCCATCGCAATCATCTGGATGATATTTTTTCTGAAGATGTCTTCAGCCTTATCCAGATCGACATCCTCAAATTGGGTACACAGGTATTGCTTCGACGCATGATTGACAAGTACGTTAACTGGCCGTATCTATAGACTTTCGAGGTCAGTGATTTCCTAATCATAGGAAGGGCACTCTAGGCTGACTTCTTCACATGTTCATCTAATGCATGACGACATGCGTTGCGATCTCTCAAATCACTTTGGATAAGGCAAGTCCGCTTCTCTTGCTCGACATACTTTTTGGTTGCCTCTGCGTCCGGCTGTTCTGAGGGCAAATAAACGATAGTAACATCCGCACCCTCTCTGGCCATGAGAATAGCGACTGATCGTCTAATCCCAGAACTGATAAATGATTAGCCCGAGAGCGTTCCCGTGAACTCGCTAGACATACTCTCCGCCTGTGACAAGAGTATTTTTGCCCTGCAGCTTTCCGGAACCCGCATATTCAGAAAAGCCGTGAGGGCCCTCTAGCTTGGTTGCTTCACTAGCCTCTGCCATTATGCTCTCCAATCCAGCACATCATTTTAGCAGCAGTATTTCGCTCGGGTGAAACATCACTCACCCCGGTTTATTCTGAGCCTGTGCCGACGGGGCAGGCTTGAAGGCGCCATGTTCACTCATAGATGACTCCGTATCGATAGTGAAAGTGAGTTCTACAAGAATTTGTCGAAGCTTGGCAATTTCTGAGAGGCTATATATACCATATTTGTTCCTCGTTCTGTCGTCATGTTGCTATGGACGAACGGGACTTGAGGCCGGTATCTGGCGAGATTGCTGTCTCGTTAGATAGTTAACCGTGTCAATCAACCATGAATTTTGGTTCAAAACATGGACTTCTACATATGTAGGAACCAAGAATCGCATCTTGACCATTATAACCAACGAGAATTGGATTTTCACTGGCATGTCAAAAGCTGTATTCTACAGCATTATATATTTATATTGACCTCATTGGTAGAATATATTTGAGAAAAAAAGTAAATATCAGAATCAAACCTAAAATGGATGTTATATTCCACTGAAGATCTTAGCACCGTCTGCATATTTAGTCGAGTAGTCCAGTACTGATGTACATGAGGCTAAGCATAAACAAGCTCTCGAGGTCACCGCCTTGAGGAATCTCGTTTACGAGCCAATCAGCAGCGACAATGGTGAAAAAACCAGTACGCTATACCTGAAAGAGTCAAGCTCCATTCTGGCTTGGCCGTGCACGGAACAGAAAAGGAAACAATTTTTCGCCCGACCTTTTTCTTCTTCTTTCTCTTCCTTGGGAAAGCTCGACTTTCTCCATCAGCAGAACGTTTCTTTCTGTTGATTAAGATTTTCCCTCGGGTCGTGTCTCACTCGTTATTATAAACTCTCCTTCTTTCAATCATGCCTATCACTGCTGGTGACGCAGCACCTGGTGCCGCCATGAAGGCTGAGATCACCGACTACTCCAAGGCCATGGAGGTTTTGGATACCTATACCACCCTTGATGGCCTCGATGCGGATACCCTGCTTGACTCTGATAAGCACGGCGCCTTGACCTACAATGATTTCCTGATCCTGCCTGGTTACATCGGTAAGCACCTCTGCAGTCCAAAAAAATTTCATTTTTCTAACCCCGCCAGGCTTCCCCGCTTCCGATGTCTGTTTGGAAACCCCTGTTACCAAGCGTATCTCCCTGAAGGCCCCCCTTCTGTCTTCCCCTATGGACACTGTCACTGAGCACAACATGGCTATCCACATGGCCCTGCTCGGTGGTCTGGGTGTCATTCACCACAACTGCTCTCCCGAGGATCAGGCAGAGATGGTCCGCAAGGTCAAGAGATATGAGAATGGATTTATTCTGGACCCCGTTGTCCTCTCTCCCAAGGCCACCGTTGGTGAAGCCAAGGAGCTGAAGGCCAAGTGGGGCTTCGGTGGTTTCCCTGTCACTGGTAAGATACCCATATCCACTCGTCCCCCCCAGATCCTACCCACCCACTTTGTATGATGATCATCCTCTTTTAATTATAACTTTCGTTCCACTGCAGCGACGAAAGTCGCACTGTAGAGAACCAGATTTTATCTGACCTATTTGTCTATCTTGGATATTGTCCACACATCAGCTTTTCGCAGCAAATGCTAATGTTTGAACACAGAGAACGGAACACTCAAGTCCAAGCTCGTTGGAATGGTTACCTCGCGTGACATTCAATTCCACACCAATGACGACGAGCCCGTGACTGCCATCATGGCCACGGATCTTGTCACTGCCCCCGCCGGTACCACCCTGGCCGAGGCTAACGAGGTTCTCCGTCAGTCCAAGAAGGGAAAGCTCCCCATTGTTGATGCCAATGGCAACATCGTCTCGCTGCTTTCTCGCTCTGATCTGATGAAGAACCTCCACTACCCCCTTGCCTCTAAGCTTCCCGACTCCAAGCAGCTGATTTCTGCCGCTGCTATTGGTACTCGTGAGGAGGACAAGACGCGCCTCAAGCTCCTTGTCGAGGCTGGGTTGGATATCGTTATCCTCGACTCCAGCCAGGGTAACTCTATGTACCAGATCGAGATGATCAAGTACATCAAGAAGAATATGCCCGAGATTGACGTTATCGGTGGTAACGTTGTCACCCGTGAGCAGGCTGCTGCTTTGATTGCTGCCGGTGTCGATGGCCTGAGAATTGGCATGGGCAGCGGTAGTGCCTGTATCACCCAGGAGGTTATGGCTGTCGGTCGTCCCCAGGCCGCCTCCGTGCGCAGCGTTGCATCCTTTGCCGCTCGCTTCGGTGTTCCCTGTATCGCAGATGGTGGTGTCCAGAATGTTGGTCACATCGTCAAGGGTCTGGCCATGGGTGCTAGCACCGTCATGATGGGTGGTCTCCTTGCCGGTACCACCGAGTCTCCCGGCGAGTACTTCGTTAGCAACGAGGGCCAGCTCGTCAAGGCCTACCGTGGCATGGGCAGTATCGCCGCCATGGAGGACAAGAAGGCTGGTGGTGACGGAAAGGACAGCAAGGCCAGCAACGCTGGTACCGCTCGCTACTTCTCCGAGAAGGACCGCGTCCTTGTTGCCCAGGGTGTTGCTGGATCCGTCCTCGACCGCGGTTCCGTCACCAAGTTCATTCCTTACCTCTTTGCCGGTATCCAGCACTCCCTGCAGGATATTGGTGTCAAGAGCCTGACCGCTTTGCACGAGGGTGTCAACAAGGGCACCGTCCGTTTCGAGATGCGCAGTGCAAGTGCTATGACCGAGGGTAACGTCCACGGTCTCCACAGCTACGACAAGAAGCTTTACTCGTAAGATCCAAGCTTTGTAAGAGTTGACTGGAAAAATTTGTGTATACATCATCGGGGTTCACCCCGATGGATGATGCGGCCTTGAAAATTAAAATAAGGGTACAGGATAGGAGTTTACGATTTGAAGATTTACGCCATTTCTAATGAGCAAACAAGTTTAATTTTTCTCAATAATTTGCAAATGTAAAAAGTCACGTAGAAGTTTTGTAGAAGTCCTGGGGTTTGTCCGAGCACATGCGCGCCGCATTCGGCTAATCTCGATGGGGTTAAGCTGTACGCGGGGTAACGATGAACTGCCCGAGCAACTGCCTAGGCTCTCGGGTCTTTGCTCTTTAGTATAAACATTGAGAAGCCATCTTTCGGCTTCAGGATCTCCTACGATGTCCTTTGCTTATCAAGAATACCTTTGCCGTCACTTAGCACACCGTTTGAGCAATCGCTTTTCTCTTAACCTTCGAACATATCGTGCACCTTACATTGCCTCGGTTCAGCCCTTCCAACGGCCATACAGTAGATCTGCTTCAAGACAATACACGACTACAATTTCCTCAATTCCTCAGATGTCTCGCCCAAAACGTGATAGTGAGCCTACGGTCCCCAGGCCTAGTTCTAGGTAAGCCAGCAGCAAAGGACCACATGACAGAGGTCTACAGAGCGATGTCATCCGAAGGGAGGTATTCTCAAGAAAAAGGAGAAACGAAACTAATTATTTTATAGTGTGCTTCTTGTCTCTTCAAAGAATGAGATCCTTCTTCTTCATCGCGTGAAGACTTCCACTTCTTTTGCATCTGCCCATGTATTCCCCGGTGGCAACCTATCCGTCCAAGATGGGGAATGCCCACCACCTGAAGACCTAGCACGGCATGATGATTCTCCTAGTTACCGACGTGCAGCCATTAGGGAACTCTTTGAAGAGAGTGGAATTCTTCTAGCGAAGGACCGGGACACCGGGAAGATGCTTGCTGTCGACGAGCCCACCCGAGAAGCAGGTAGACGACTCATTCACCAGAATAAAACTACGTTTGACGAGTGGCTCAAGCAGCAAAGCGCCGATGCCGAGCCTGACATAGGTAAATAAATAGTTTGCGTTATTAAGACCTGAAACCAGAGCGCTGACTCCACAGGCCAATTGATTCCGTTTACTCGCTGGATTACACCAACCAATGTCCCCAAGCGATACACCACACAGATGTACCTCTATTTCTTGCCTTTGCCCGCCAAGGTGGATCAAAAGCTCCTCGACCAACTCCCAGCAGAGGGCGAACGCGAGGAACATGAGATCCCAACGAGTGATGGTGGAATCGAGGTTACGGAGGCACAGTTTCTTCCAGCCTCGGCGTGGGTTCGTCGTGCTCAAGAAGCAGAGATAATTCTATTCCCACCACAGTTCCTTCTTCTTCATTTGGTGTCGGGATTTCTGGACAGGAAGCCTAGCACAGGAGCGTCTATGGAAGAGATGGAGAACCGTCGTCAAGCACTTATCGATTTCGTCCATTCGGGCTCTCCCCCATGGTCAGAAAAATGCATATCTCCGAAAATGATCCTCATGACCGGTGATGGACGAACTGTGTTGGGCCTAAATGATCCTGGACCTGAGCTGAAAGGGTCTTCCAAGCGAGGTGAGCCCGAAAGAGTAGTTATTGTGCGGTTTAAGAAAGGAAGTGCACGAGAAGTGGCTGTGGGATGGAAGAAGGATGTGTTGCAGGAGGAGAGGGAGAAGAGTAATCTGTAAAATAATTGCATTTACCCATACATGTACTACAGTCATCCATATATCCGAATCAGCAATCAATGTCCACCTGCATAGATGAACCGAAGTTGAAATTGCCACGGCCTCCTGTATGGTTCCCATTAAAGCCACGCTTGCCCCACTTTGGCCACGCCAGCCCTCGACAAAGGGTCACATGACCCACACAAATGATTTGAGGTCTTCAATTTAATGTGCGGCAGAAAAACCCTCCACCTCCAACCTCACCGTCGCCCGTCAAAACCTCAACACCAAACCCGCCAAAATGGAGAACGACAAGGGAGAGATCGTCGATCTGTACGTGTCATGGATTTCACACCCGTTCCCACAGTCCCAATATACCCTATGCCCTGTCTCTGCGTGGTCGCAAACAATCAGCAATCCCGCCTTGATCCCAAGCCTAAGAAATGGACCCGGTGTGATCGGAGAGTGCGAGGATTGAAAGAATAAAGCGTTCAGCGCTGTGTGATTGCGATTGTTGGAGAGCCACCAGAAAAACCAGGGCATAACATGGTGTTGGAGGGGAACATATTCGCTCGCAAAAAAACACAGACAACTAACATGACCTCTCTCCTAACAGCTACGTGCCCCGCAAGTGCAGCGCCACCAACCGCATCATCAAGGCCAACGACCACGCCTCTGTCCAGCTCTCTGTCGGCAAGGTTGACGAGAACGGCCGCTACACCGGCGAGAACCAGACCTACGCTCTTTGCGGTTTCATCCGTGCCCGTGGCGAGAGCGACGACTCCTTCAACCGCCTTGCCCAGCGTGACGGTTACCTCAAGAACGTCTGGACCGCCGCCAGCCAGCGTTAAATTATCCTCAGCAATGTGGACTTTTTTACCGGGTGGTGTTGACGGGTTGATTTGATGGTACGTTGTGGTCATCTACATATATTTTGCATGTTCATGTTCAATTGAGCTAATTTGATGTATAGGAACCGTGGCTTGATGGTCCGTGTTCGGGGAGTTGGTTTCAAGACCAAAAAAAGGACGTAAGGGATATAGATATGTTCCTTGGTTCATTTTTTTTCTTTTTCTCCTCTGAGAAACTCCTGTTTTCCTACCTATCTCTCGAAATGAATGGAATATCGACGACTTAATGGGTCAGGTCTTTTTCTCTACGAATCCCGCCTGTTCTCTTTCTGTGATAGACTCCCACCCAACCTCATGAAGCACAAGCCAAAAAAAAGCAATGCCAAAAAATCGAAACGATATCCCTTTCTTATATCCCTTAGTCTCTGCCTGCTTCCTTTCCTCTATATTTATTTTTCTGCTCGGCATATAAAGACCTCCTCGTTCTTTGTAGACCCGAAAACCAGACTGGCTCGCTGGTCTTGGTCTTCAGTGTCTCCATCCCCATGAGTGAGGAGGTAGAAATACTTTCCATTGCCGAAGATCATGCTTCCGAGCTCTCGCCTGCTGAAGAGCCACTGTTGCAGAGATCCATGCGCTGGGGCACAGATACGGGCGGGACATCCATTGTAGATACGCGCTAGTTGAATATCATTTATGAAAATGTTTGATACTCTGTTTTCTTAATTGTATCTGTACTGACTGACTACATATATACGCCGGGGCCTTTGTCAAGTATTTTATTCACATCCTGTCCATTGTTGATATGTAATACGTTTCCTTCCACATAAACTCGTGATTACAAGCAAGAAGAGCCCACAAGCAAGACACAACTAACAAGCACGTTCTTTTTTTCTCTATGAGTATTTCGCTGTTTAATCCTTATCGAGACGGACGGCCGGATTGGTCTCAATGAAGTTCAAATCAACCTTGTGACCGAGGAGTTCACGGATGTTGCTGACGGCGTACCTGACAAGCTTATTAGTAAATGAAAATGAATGGTGGCTGATGCAACTTACTTGATCATAGTGGGTCTCTCCAGACTCAATCCCCATCCGTAGACTCTCAGGTCCTTAGGCAGACCCATAGCCTCCAGCATCTCTGGTCGGAACATGCCACTGTTACCGATCTCAACCCACTTGCCGAGACCATCGTGGTAGCCGAAGATTTCCATACTGGGCTCGGTATAGGGGTTGTAGGCAGGCTTGAAGCGCAGCTTGTGGATGCCCATCTTGGCGAAGAAGACTTCCATGAATCCAATCAGACCACCGAGTGTCAGACCGAAGTCAGCAATGACACCCTCGACCTGGTGGAATTCTGCCAGATGGGTAGCATCGACGGACTCATTTCGGAAGACACGATCGATACTGAAGAAGCGAGCCGGCCGAGGGTTGGCAGCCAGCTTGTGCAGCATGTAGGTCGAGATGGAAGTGGTGTGAGTGCGGAGGACCAGGCGGAGCGACTCATCCGCGCTCCAGGGGTAACGGTAGCCAATGGAGCCGAACTTTCCGTGCTCGTGAACCTCACGGACGTTGTCCCAGTATTTTTGGAAGTCGAGGGGCTTCTCGGACTTGTTTTGAGCTCGGACGTGGGGGTCATTGGGGGATCCTCACGAGGAGGGTCTGCCACAGCAGGGTCGGAGATGTAGAAAGTATCCTGGAGATCACGGGCGGGGTGTTGCTGGGGCACGAACAGGGCGTCGAAGTTCCAGAAGCCGGTCTCGACGAAGCGGTTGGTCGGCATCTCCTCGAAGCCCATGTCGAAGAAGATGTTGCGGAACTCTTGGCGGACCTTGTTCAGCGGGTGAAGGGCACCAGCTGGAGTCGGAGCACCCTTAGCATTGAAGTTGTAGGGCTTGAGATGCGCCGTCTTCCACGAGCCATTGGCGATCATCTCCGGGGTGAGGTCGGTCTGCTCCTTGACGAATTCTCGGGCATACTTGGGACCCTTGCTGATCTTGAAAGAAATCTCCTTTGCCAGACCCACCAACTTTCTCCGCTTGAGGTCAAGCATGGCCTTTTTATCGCCTAGAGACTTTGTTTTTTGAACCTCAAGCAGCTGCTGTTGCGTCTCGTCGACAATGGAGTCTGTGGATGCCCGCAGCAAATCCTTATCCTTCTTAATCCAACCACGCTTGAAAGCGTTTCCTTGGCCAACTTTGGCGTTCTCCTTGCCCACAATTCCTGGCAAGTCGGAGATCTTCAATCCATCCATGGCAGCAAGCACCACGGCGAAGACCTTGGCCTCGTGACTGCCATTGGCAGCAATCTCCTGGCCCTCGGCAGTGAGGGTAACAATTTCCTTCTCTAGGGTTTCATATTGGACCATCTGTCGCGAATCAAGACGGTCGAGCGCACTCTTAACGTTCAATGAGGGGGTGGAGGGGAAGGCTTCGCTGGAAAGGATGGGCGCATCGGACGCGGACAGGGCGCCCAAAATCTCGTTTGTCAAGTCGGACGCCATGGCTGCAGCCTTCTCCTGCAGAGACAATTTTTGACGGGTGTTTTGAAGGGCGTTCTTTTGATCGGACAATATTTCGCAGAATTATGACTCTGCGGGATTCCCAAAAGATAATACGGCAGCACACACCGACCACTTCCGCTATTTTACCCCCGCCATTTGATTGTCGACCGTTGACCAGTTGACTTGTAGGCGAGGTAGGCTAGGAGAGAAAATTACACGTAAAACGCTGTGTGTTCTGGTATGTATCTTGCCTGAACTTCATCTCTGTAAATACGTCGTTTCTACTCTCTCTTTCTCTTTTTTATTTATTTTTATTTTTACTTTTTTTCAAAATACCCTGTAGGGTCACTAATAGTCAACCAGGTACCATCTCAAGTCGAACATCTTCATGTTTTCGCACGAGGTTCTTATGTGACCAATAAACGTTACGAAATACCCAGATCAACGAAAGACGCCAAGCTCGACGGCTCAGCCACCAAAAAAAGACGCAAATTGCGATGAAAATCAAACTATGGATCTGAGGCCCGTGGCAGAGACCCTAACGAAGAGACATCGTTGATTTCTGATAGGCTCGCACTAACTGCAACTGGATCCCGCGTAGCCAATTGTTTAGAACTCGGTTTCGCCTATCTTTCCCTCTGAGAAGAAGGGCTGATGCTATACCAAAGGATATGGATTTAGACTATCGAGAAGTCCAAACGAACCGGAGCCACCTTGTGATCGACACTAGCCCCAGAGTCGATCACTTCATATGAAACGTATTCCGTACTCCGTATGTATACCTCCCAAGATACTTGGATGCATACCTAGGTACAACATTGCAGATACATTGTTAGTAGTCTGGATAAAGTATACTTGGTACCTAGGGTACCTAGGCATATATTCCCTATGATAGATCAAGTCCGTGCGCCTTATGCAGTCACCTGGGCATTCTGTAAATGTGCAGAAAGATACCCAATTTTTTTCCCCCAATTTTTCCTCATTTGATTCTCTCTTAATTTTTTTCATCTGTTCAGAGGCGATTTATAAATTCTACCTAAAAGGTAAGACATAAGTTGAAAAAAAAAAAAAAAAAAAAAAAAAAAAAAGGCGGCATATCACCGCCCCTTTCGAAATCTCTTTCCCACCCCCCTTCCAAATCCTCTTCTTTCTCATCTTCGGATCTCCTTTTTTTTTCTTTCCTTTTTTTGATTAAGAAAAACCTTCGATTATCTTTTTCCCCCGGGTTTCTGAAGTTCGTCTTCTCCTTCGATCCCCGCAGAGCCCATAGTGGTGGATTACATAACAGGGCGCGTTCTCCAGGAACCTATTTTCCCCCTTCCCGACTCTCCATATTTCCTTTCATATTTATTCCCGGTTGATTCGGGTTGTTCTTGTCTTTTTATTTGGATTTCCCCATGTCGCCTTAATTAGACTATACCTCTGTCATCCTGTCAGGATCCAGACTTGCCAGTGAGTGATACTATCTCCGAATTCTACACCCTATCTCATATTCTCACCCGGGGAGTGGCCGGTACTATATGTATTTTTAGGTTAGTTGATACTAACTTATGTAGGCCACAATGGCTAGCGCGGACGAGACTCTCGCGGCCGCGACTGCCTTGCTCCAGAATTTGGCAAGAGACGAATCTGTCCCCGGTTCCTCTTCGCCCCCATTTGATTTTCAACTATCCAACGGCACCAAGTCGGCCAAACTTCCTGGAGAAAACAGTCCCACCAAGGCAGCCTTCGAAGCCGAGCTTGAGGCCCTAGTGCGCCGTGTGCACCATCTGGAATTCCAAGCTGTCAGTCACCACAATTTCCAACAGCAGACGGATCCCCAACAGACCACCCCGTCTGCTGAAGAAACCAGCGAGAGGAATTTCTTGAGGACATTTGGGCTCTCTCGCTTGTCGTCCGGTCAAGATTCTGACTCTCTGTCACAGCAGCAAAAAGCGATACCAGTTCCCGCGGCCGACGAACCACCCCTGGGAGAAATTGACGACGAATCCGATGAAGAAGATGATAATGGCACCCGTGTCGTGCGGGAGGAGGATATTAGCTTCCTCCGCAATCATGTACAAAAACAGGCCGAAGAGATAAGCAGCCAAAAGGATATTATCGCTCAGGTTCGCGACGAGTTGCAAAAACAGGAAGAGCACACTCGACGTGCTCTTACCAAGGTTGAAAATGAGGATGTCGTTCTTCTCGAGCGCGAGTTGCGCAAGCATCAACAGGCCAACGAGGCCTTCCAGAAAGCTTTGCGTGAAATCGGTGGCATTATCACTCAAGTCGCCAACGGTGATCTGTCCATGAAAGTTCAAATTCACCCGCTGGAAATGGACCCCGAAATCGCCACTTTCAAACGAACAATCAACACTATGATGGATCAACTGCAAGTCTTTGGTAGCGAAGTCTCTCGTGTCGCGCGCGAAGTCGGCACTGAAGGAATACTCGGTGGTCAAGCTCAGATCACTGGCGTCCATGGTATCTGGAAAGAGCTTACGGAGAATGTCAACATTATGGCCAAGAACTTGACGGATCAAGTGCGAGAAATTGCCGCCGTGACTACCGCTGTCGCTCACGGTGATCTTAGTCAGAAGATTGAAAGCCGAGCCCAAGGTGAAATTCTGGAGTTGCAACAGACTATCAACACCATGGTAGACCAACTCCGAACGTTTGCAACAGAAGTTACTCGAGTCGCGCGTGATGTCGGCACGGAAGGTGTACTGGGAGGACAAGCTCAGATCGAGGGCGTCCAGGGCATGTGGAACGAACTCACGGTCAATGTCAATGCTATGGCCAACAACCTCACCACCCAAGTGCGAGATATTGCTACCGTCACAAAGGCCGTTGCCAAGGGCGATCTCACACAGAAGGTCCAGGCTAACTGTAAGGGAGAAATTGCAGAGTTGAAGAACATTATCAATTCCATGGTGGACCAACTACGACAATTCGCACAAGAAGTCACGAAAATCGCCAAGGAAGTCGGTACTGATGGTGTTCTTGGAGGCCAAGCCACCGTGAATGATGTCGAAGGAACGTGGAAGGATTTGACAGAGAATGTCAACCGCATGGCCAACAACCTGACCACGCAGGTGCGTGAGATTGCGGACGTCACCACTGCAGTCGCCAAAGGTGATTTAACCAAAAAGGTTACTGCCAACGTACAAGGAGAAATCCTCGACCTTAAGAGTACCATCAATGGCATGGTGGATCGTCTCAACACTTTTGCTTTTGAAGTCAGTAAAGTGGCTCGTGAGGTCGGCACGGATGGTACTCTTGGTGGTCAAGCCAAGGTGGACAACGTAGAAGGAAAATGGAAGGACCTGACGGACAATGTGAACACCATGGCACAAAACCTGACATCTCAGGTCCGAAGTATATCCGATGTCACACAAGCTATTGCCAAGGGAGACTTGAGCAAAAAGATCGAAGTGCATGCTCAGGGAGAGATTCTCACGCTCAAAGTCACCATCAACCACATGGTGGGTCGACTGGCTAAATTCGCTACTGAGCTAAAAAGGTCGCCCGAGATGTCGGTGTTGATGGCAAGATGGGTGGTCAAGCCAACGTGGAGGGTATTGCGGGTACTTGGAAGGAAATTACCGAGGACGTGAACACCATGGCCGAGAATCTGACATCACAAGTCCGCGCTTTCGGCGAAATTACCGATGCCGCCACTGACGGTGACTTCACAAAGCTGATCACAGTCAACGCGTCTGGTGAAATGGACGAGCTGAAGCGGAAGATCAACAAGATGGTTTCCAACCTTCGGGACAGTATTCAGCGAAACACCGCGGCTAGGGAGGCCGCCGAACTCGCCAATCGTACCAAGTCAGAGTTTTTGGCCAACATGTCGCATGAGATCAGAACGCCAATGAACGGTATCATTGGAATGACCCAGTTGACATTGGACACGGATGATCTCAAGCCATACACACGAGAAATGTTGAACGTCGTACACAACTTGGCGAACAGTCTGTTGACCATCATCGACGACATTCTGGATATCTCCAAGATTGAAGCCAACCGCATGGTTATTGAGAGCATTCCATTCACCGTCAGAGGTACTGTTTTCAATGCCCTGAAGACTTTGGCCGTCAAGGCCAATGAGAAGTTCTTGAGTTTGACCTACCAAGTTGACAACACCGTTCCTGATTATGTCATTGGTGATCCATTCCGCCTTCGCCAGATCATTCTCAATCTTGTTGGAAACGCTATCAAGTTCACTGAGCATGGTGAGGTTAAGCTCACCATTCGAAAGTCGGACAGAGAGCAATGCACGACTAACGAATATGCGTTTGAATTCTCCGTGTCTGATACGGGTATTGGAATCGAAGAGGATAAGCTTGATCTCATTTTCGACACCTTCCAACAAGCTGATGGCTCAACCACCCGCAGATTTGGTGGCACTGGGCTGGGATTGTCGATTTCCAAGCGCCTTGTAAACTTGATGGGCGGTGACGTTTGGGTTACTTCCGAATATGGACATGGAAGTACTTTCCACTTCACCTGCGTAGTGAAACTCGCAGACCAGTCTTTGAGCGTCATTGCCAATCAGCTCTTGCCGTACAAGAACCACCGGGTGTTGTTCATCGACAAGGGTCAAAACGGTGCTCAAGCTACCAACGTGATGAAGATGTTGAAGAAGATTGACCTAGAGCCGTTGGTTGTGCGGAACGAGGAACACGTTCCTCCGCCTGAGATCCAGGATCCTTCTGGCAAGGAATCAGGCCATGCCTACGATGTTATCATCGTCGACTCGGTAGACACAGCCCGCGTCTTGCGGACGTTTGACGAGTTCAAGTATATTCCGATTGTTTTGGTCTGTCCTTTGGTCTGCGTGAGCTTGAAGTCGGCCTTGGACCTTGGTATCAGTTCATATATGACTACCCCGTGTCAGCCGATTGATCTTGGCAATGGCATGTTGCCGGCCTTGGAAGGCCGGTCGACGCCAATCACCACCGACAATTCACGTTCATTCGATATTCTTCTAGCTGAGGATAACGACGTGAATCAGCAACTCGCGATGAAGATTCTTCAAAAGCATAACCACAACGTGTTTGTTGTTGGTAATGGCTTGGAAGCTGTTGAGGCTGTCAAGAAACGTCGTTATGATGTTATTTTGATGGACGTTCAGATGCCAGTCATGGGTGGCTTTGAAGCCACCGGCAAGATTCGTGAGTACGAACGCGAGAGTGGGCTTCAACGGACCCCAATTATCGCGCTCACTGCCCATGCCATGTTGGGTGACCGTGAGAAGTGTATCCAGGCCCAGATGGATGAGTACTTGTCCAAGCCGCTTAAGCAAAACCAGATGATGCAAACTATCCTCAAATGTGCTACTCTCGGTGGGTCACTATTGGAGAAGAGCAAGGAGTCTAGGATTTCGAGCAGCGGGGAAATGCACCCCAACTACTCAATGTCTGAGAACCAACAGCCGCAACCACCACAACAGCGATCAAAGCAGCAGCCCTTGCCGTCACCTCGCCCGGTTGTAGATTCCCGGTCTATCACAAGCTCTGGTCCCATCACCCGAGGGAGTGTGGTCAGTCCGTTGGAAGAGAAAGAAGAGATGATCGACGAGCGGGTACGTTAGCTGTATGTTCGGATCTGGACTATCAGAACAGCCTAGCTAATTACTTTCCAGGCATTGCTACGATCCAACAGTACATGAGTTTAGCATATTTATTTTCATGCAGATGATTTCGATGCGACTATACCCTGTCTATATGAGTCTCATCTACTCTACTTTTGTCTACTTCATACCCACCTGCGTCTTTCCTCCGTCTATTATGATTCTCCGTCGTCAACCTCCACCATTGCATTCGCTTTTTTCCCCCTCATTTTCATTTCTCCTCTTGGAGATGGTGTTTTGGCGCAGTCTATGACAGGACTTGGTTTGATCTATATGGAAGGATGACTGGGGAGTTTTACCAGAGAGGCGCATTGTTCTTGCTCTATTTTTTTCTCTCTTTCCCATCTAGCCGCTCGCTTTTTTACCTGACCTCCTCAGCATCCTCTTGCCGTGAATTCTTGTATTGTATCTAGCTCTGCCACTGATCAAATCAAGTGCGGCACAAGAACACCGCTTAATTCCTTCAGGTTCTTCCCTATTTTTATTGTTCGTGCGTATTTACTCACCTCCCATCTAGCTCTTAGATCATCTGACTTCCAACTGTTTCTTACTCTATAATTTCTGGGCTATCTATTTTTAGCCTTGGAAACCCTCAAACGCTGCTTCGCGTGCTCGACTCATCTATGTTATACGTGACGAGCTCTTTTATGAGCATATGCTAGGATGTGACATCCCTTTGCTGTTGCCTGGCTGCGGCTGACCTTCTCCTGCTTTATATCTCAGTGTAATCCCTCGAGGGCCTCTTATATCGGGCATTAACCCTACGTGTTGAAGCAGGCTAGGAAGCACATATTACTCGAGTGACAACAGTAGCGACAAAAGTAGGACACGACCTCTCACACCATCTGACTAGGATCTACAAATCTGTATGCATCGAAGGCTTGAAGCTATTTTGCGGTGTATAGTAGAGGGGTTTGTAGGCTGGCTGAGAGCACATTGTTGATAGCCCTGAAGATGATGTACAAGAGGTTACAGTAGGCCTAGATAGGATATTTGTTGGGGTCGTTCTCCAAAGATCTCATTATGGTCGTTGACCACTCTGGTCACTGCACTACTGACTAGCAACCTATGTAACATTGTGGGTCGTTGTAAACACATTTTTATTAGCCTCCCAAGCAGCAAGAGGCTAACAGCCCACTGGATATGAGATAGGATGAAAAACATTGATTGCTTTTAAAACACCAAAGCATGCCCAACTCCGAAAATCTGCGTGTTGCAAGAACCGTGTCGTATCTGAAGAAGCATGAAAACAAGATTGAAAAGAAAAAATAGAGACCCAGAAGAAAATTTAGTCGATGTCCATCTGCTCCTCGACTCCGCCATCCACCAACAATTTGCTCTTCTGCTTCTGGCGGATTCTCTCCTCGCCGTGGACTCTGTTGGACACCTTGCTCTGCTCGGCCACCATGGGCAGACCCGCCTCGCGCTCCCGGAGTTCCTTCCGGATGAGGTGCTCGCCCGTGTTGACGACCTTGCGGTCCGCCTCGCGCTGGCGCTCGCGGGCGAGTTTGCCGGCCAAGCGGCGTTTTGTGAACACACGCTCGCGGCGGGTTCTGATCTCCTCGACTCTCTCCATGGCGGAGATGGTGGCAGCCATAAGGTTGCGGTCGTACTTGACGGGGACGTTTCTCTTCTTGGCGAACTGGGACAGGACAAGCGACGAGTCCACAATCATCTCCTTTCCGCGGGAAGCACGGTGAGTCTTGGTCCACTTCAGCTTGCGGGGCTGACGCTTCATCTTGAAGTTCTTGTGGCACTTGGACCGACAGAAACGGAATTGTCGGGCATCGTTGCGGACGAATGTGATGCCCTTACTCGGGAAGGCCGGGCGGGAACAGAAGTGACAAGTTTCAACACTGCGGAACAGAAGAATATTAGGATTCTGTAGAGCGAGTATGTACAAAAATCTACTGCAAAACTTACCGCATGGTTGTAGAGTGGTGTTGGTTATGTCTTCGTTGAGTCGCAAGAAACTTTTTCTGTAGCTTGGGCCTGAATGGTGGAGCAGACCACGCTAAACCCTTTTGGGGGCACCCGCGCTGACTTTTCTATCCCGACGCCTCTTCGTCTATTCCCCGGTCCAACCGACTTGATCTCATTTCGCGACATCTCAATATTCCTCGGTCTACAAAATGACTTCTGTTCTTGCTATTGGATTTGGCATTGCCACAACTGCCTTTTTGGTGAGTCAACAAGCCATTGTTCAGCCACATGGAACTAATGATTGTCTACAGGGCCGCGCTGGTCTGGTCGCCTACCGCCGCTCCAAGGGAGGATTGAACGCTGCCGGAAAGGCATTCTATAAGGGGTTCGTGGGAATTCTTGACTTTATCACTTTATGGGATTTTGACTGACGTCGTGTTATAGAGGATTCGAACCGCGCATGAACCGCCGGGAAGCCTCCCTAATTCTACAACTTGCGTATGTGCGAGCGACAAATCTTTGACATGCCAGAACTGACAATACTTCGCAGTGAACGAACTTTGACCAAGGAAAAAATTCGCAAGAACCACCGCCAGCTCATGCTGCTCAACCACCCCGATCGCGGCGGCAGTCCATACTTGGCCACCAAGATTAACGAGGCAAAGGAATTCCTCGACAAACATGCTTAAGACTTTATCAATGCGACTTTGGCCTCTCTCTCTTCTCCGGCAGTGACATTTGGGCAACGATGGAAAAGCGGAATAAGCCTCAACATTGACGAACAAGTCATCATATTTTGGGCATATAGCGTGGCGTTGGTTTGGCATTTACAAGATCGGAGGAACAGGACTGCTCTTTACGAACCCTTGTTGTATTATATGTACTGTTTTCACATATCCCTGCGAGATCGCCGCTCTTCGTTCAATGTACTTTTATTACAATCCATCTATCCGACATACAACAACCCAGCACCCCAGAACTGGCAATCCCTGGTAGCATAGCAACTCATGACACTGCCAACAGTCGCTTTTTGCGATTTTTTATCATGCACAGGCAAAGTAACAAGGTCGATCCCTGGACAATAAGAAGCACGTAGGCCCAAGGCTCAAGGTTACAAAAGCCCGTGATGGGTACGGGATCTGTCCTATCGCGTAGAAAACGCCACACACCTTCTGCACAAGATTTATTATGCTCCTCCGCATACCCCGTACAAATAATGCAAATTGCATTTGATCGGCACAGAGAGAGAGAGTGGATTGGAAGAGATGGAACGGAAGTCGATGCCCCTGTTATCCGGATCGGACGAAATCGACCGTCAAGTTCAAATCTGCTCGGCGGTCGGGTTTCGGGTGTTCCGTCATGCCACTGAATAATCTTCAAAGGTTCAAGGCAACTGTATAGCGTTTCTTCTTACAAAATTGAAATCCCATCTGGCCTTACTCTCACGTGTGGTTGAGTCATTTCTTACCTAAAGTCCCAAACTCACCTGGGCAGTGCTCAAGCCCTGTGATTTCATTGTCAACGTCCGAAAGGGTTCTATCCTTCCATGCGTCATTCATTCCTATAATCCATAGCGCACTCTTTTCTTTCCTCAGGGGGTGGAAAAATAACCTCTGCGCTGAGACGCAGCACCCCGCATTATCCTTCATCACTTATCATCGCCATTACCTCTACTCCGCGGAGTTTCCGTTGCCCCTCAGACGCAAAATGGATGGCTTGGGGGACGGCGATATGGGCTTCGACCCGCCTAATATGATGAGCCAGACACCACAGCTCTTCGGTTACGATAATTCTCAGATGCATGCAGGTCCTATGTACGATGATTCGTCTTTGGGCGCAGGAGACGAGACAAACGATGCGAAGAGACGGAGGATCGCAAGAGTGAGGATCATTACCCGTTACAGTTATCCAGCATACGTCTAATGAGCGAACAGGCGTGCGATATGTGTCGGAAGAAGAAGATTAAATGCGATGGAAAAATGCCAAAATGCTCACACTGCATTAACTACAAAACGGAATGCATCTTCACACAAGTGGAGAAGAAGCGGAACCCTCCTAAAGGGTATGTATACTTGTATACTTCATTACGTATAAGGCTCTATATCTGACTCGGTTGTTTGTTGCATAGAGCGAAATACATCGAAGGCCTCGAAAACCGACTGGGACGGATGGAGTCGTTGCTGCGTTTGTCGGGTCTTTTGTCAGAAGAAGATGGCGGCAAGACAGATCTTGGAACATTGGAGAAGCGGCTAGCGGATCGAACGAATGCGCTGAACGCAGCGAAAAGCTCCAACAAGTTCATGGCTCAAGCAGCCACAGCCCAACAAGCCCCGAGCTCCCACCAAACCACACCTCGTATGGACTCCATCTCCAGCCCTCAGACAGCCGCTACATCACCGGAGTCGCAAAAGTCGGAGACTGAGGTCGAGGCGCTGTCGGACATGATGTGCTCTTTGGTGACCAACAACTGCGGGGAGACTCGGTATATTGGTAGGCTTTGTTCCGCAACTGTTTAGAGCAGGTTTGCTAACATTTTCCCAGGATCCTCATCTGGATTTTCCATATTCTCCCCCAAGGGCATTCAATGGGTCAATGAAAAAACAGGCGATACATCCTTCCAGGACATGATCTCGTCAGCATATGTCGATGACAATAAATGGATGTATTGGAAACCCGAGATCTTCAGCGATATTTTCGCAAGGCGCGTTTTCAAGCCTCTCCCGCCCAAGGAAGAAGCTCTTTCTCTATTCAAGGACTTTTTCGAAAACTTCAATTGTGTGTTCCCGCTGTTCCACGAAGCGACATTCATGCACTTGGTGGAGCGGCAATACTCGCGTGATCCCTACGAGGGCTCAGGCTGGTGGGCAAGTATAAATGTTGTCTTGGCGATCTCTCACAGGCTGCGGGTTATGAGCAACCTGGTGCCACACGAAGAAGATAAAAAAGCTTGGCTGTATTTGAAGAACGCCATGGGAGTTCTGACCGAGCTCACAATGCGTAACACTGATCTACTGAGTGTGCAAGCGCTATTGGGAATGGTAATGTGTCCTACTCGGCTTTCGGTGGCTTTGTCTAACGTACTATTATAGTCACTATTTCTTCAAGGAACCCCCAACCCACAACCTGCTTTCTTCCTAGTCGCCGCGGCCATTCGACTTTCCCACAGCATTGGTCTACACAAACGCGGTTCTGGCTTTGGCCTCAACGTGGTTGAAGTTGAGCAGCGGAAGAGAGTATTCTGGATAGCCTATCTTCTCGACAAAGAGTATGACCCCTATATTCGAGACACCCGAATGCGTCTATCTCAAGTACTGACCCATTTTCAGCATCTGTCTACGCTCTGGTCGACCACCTGTACAAGATGACGATGATATGAACGTCGAGCTACCAAGCGAAGATCCACCAGACAATGTTGGAAATGTGCCATTATCTGATGGTAGGAGCAAGTTCAACCTATTCCGCTCATTGTGTGAATTTGCAACTATTGAAAGCAGAGTATACAAGCGACTTTATTCTGCCAAAGCATCGAAGCAATCAGACGGTGAACTGCTCAATACAATCGGTGAGCTTGACAAGGAGTTGGAAGACTGGAAAGACAGCATTCCTATCGAATTCCGCCCTGAACATGAAATCCAAGCTACCCACACTCCCCTCATTATCCACATGGTTGTTCTACATTTTGCGTACTACAATTGCTTGACAACCATACATCGGATGTCAGTTCATCACGGGTATTGGACAAGCCGCCTGTCCAATTATGCCATACAGGGGCTGAATGCACGACCCTTGAACCCAAGGGTATTCTTGTCGGCGGTTTTGTGCGTCACTGCTGCCAGAGCATCGATTAATTTGATCAAGTATATTCCGCAAGGAGACTTTGCTTGTGTTTGGTACGTTTCAGAGTATTGTGGAATAAAACAGCTGCTAATTTGACATCAGGCTAATTCTCTACTACCCGGTGTCTGCCCTCGTAACACTTTTCGCCAACATCCTTCAGAACCCCAACGATGTTCGTGCTCGGTCCGATGTTAAATTAATGGGCGTGGTAGTCACTTTCCTGTCTACCCTAGTCTCCGACGAATCCAATGGCAGCATCAAGCGTATGTTAGGTCTTTGCGGTGAATTTGAAAGAATTGCCAAGGTGGTTTTGGATAAAACCGAAAAAGAGTCTCAGTCGCGGAAGAAACGCAAGAATGCCGAAGCAGAAGACTCTGCAGATGCAACTGAAGGACATCCGGCAACTGCGCCCTCCGCCAAACGTACACAAGCACCACCCACCTCCACACCTTTCTCTCCCTCCATGTTTACCAATCCTACGGCTACAGCCCCCTCCAGCACAGAAGGGCCATTCCCAGGGTCCATAATACCACCGACAAGTGGCATCCCTGCTGACCTTCCAAGTAATATCCATGCCATGCCTGGCATTGGGCAGGAGTTCTCAGACATGCTGAGTCCTGATCAAATAGGTACTGTTGGATTCTCCGACCAACACTCATTCAGTGCCAGCCCCGGCATGGCACCATTCCAGCAGCCATTTGTCCCACAAGATCTCTGGCAGATGCCAATGACAATTGAGTGGGATTGGGCGGATATGTCCACCAATTTCCCTCCATTTGACGGAGCTGGTCCGGGCGGGCCGCTGTCCGGGCAGTGACCATGACTGCATGATGAACCAAAGTTATCTTCATCTACCTTGTTATATCGATCCTTTCGGTGGAATAACTATTTTCGGTGTTATATCTCTACACCACACCATTTCCACACCTTTTGTATATTGATGCGCCCCTCTTCTTATTTCGAAACCACGCAGAGGTCTATGGAGGGACCAGGAGAACTGTGGGTTTTCATTACGCAGCGAATGGCGCAAAGGTGGGCCATATTTATAGGGATAAATATGTACAGACAGGTCTCCAATCAAATTCAAAATAATATTAGACAATCTTATCTTAGATCGGAAGTAATAAAGAACGGCTTTGAAGAAGCTCACGGCTTTAAGCTATTTCCATCCGGCACCTGGGCATGCGCTTCCGATGACTCAGCCGGATCGGCGAAAATTTAGAACCGACTGGAACCACACGGCGTCACCTCGGACTTGGATGTCCCAGAGCCTCTCAACTTCCAGCTCAATTTCCCCTCCTCGCGTCTAATCTTGATGGACTGTGATATCATCTGTTACATCTGAACTCGATTGATCACCTTCTACCCCCGCCCTCGAAGCCCTCGGGGCTCCCATTCCTCGACCATGGCTACCTTGCTCCGACGGCCAGGCAATCTCGCTCGCTACTCGAGGACAATCGCGGAATCGACCCGTCGCACGGGGCTGGCTTCCGTGCGTTTGCGACCATCAAGACTCTCATCTCTGATTCTATCGAGCCGCGCTAGAACCTACGCCACGCAAGGTCCGACACCCCCCGACGACAATAGCCGGAACAATGATCACCAAACAGATAAACCAAAGTCAGCTTTGACTGAAGCTGAACTGGAACGTGTGGACGAATGGCTGGAAGGTATGGATCCGGTGGGCCGTAAGCAGATCCGAAACCACCTCATGAGCAATGGGATTCCACCAGAAGTCAGGAAGTACCTCGACCGTAATCAGCCAACCACGTTGATGGATCGCATTAATATGATGCGGTTTCTGTGGCAAGCCACAACTTCCGATGTTGCATTGGAAGAGTTCCTCAAGAAATACGAGCCTGATGCCAAAGAGTTATCAAGAAAGCGCGGCATCGCAGACCTGCACAACCCCGCTGAAAAACGCAATGATATTCCCAAACGCGATGAAGAATTCAGCCTCCGCTTCAATAAGGATTCAGAGCAGGGGCAGCAGGGGCAGCAACCCTCAAAGCAGGGCGAACAGCAATCCAACTCACAACCGCCAAAAGATCCCAAGCAAGACAAGGATCCTAAGGATGAAAACAAACAAACACAAGATCCCAAGAAGGACCAACAACAACAGAAGAAGCAACAGGGCGACAAGAAGGGCAAATCCCCCCCAAACGTGGGCAAGGTCCTCGAGTTCCGCTTCGATCCCGTTTCGTTCTTCGTTACCGCTCTCGTCACATACTACGCCTACCGCAGCTTCTTCCCCGGTGATGCTGGGGGCAGAGAAATCACTTGGCAAGAATTCCGAGCAAATTACCTCGAGAAGGGGCTTGTGGAGAAATTGACCGTCTTGAACCGCACCAAGGTTCGGGTTGAGCTCAACGGCGAAGCCTCGACTCAGCCTGACTCAAATGGTCAGCCTGCCTCTTATGTCTATTTCAGTATTGGTTCTGTCGACAGCTTTGAGATGAAGATTGAAGCAGCTCAGAATGAACTGGGTATTCCATCGCATGAACGTATCCCTGTTGCCTATCATGACGAGACCCCATGGGGCGGTGTCCTGATGTCATTGGCTCCTACTCTTCTCTTCCTTGGTGGTGTCTTCTGGATGTCGCGACGTGCCGGTGGCGGCGCCGGTGGTCAAAGTGGAATCTTTGGCATCGGCAAGAGCCGTGCCAAACGCTTCAATCATGAGACCGATATTAAGACCAAGTTCGCCGACGTTGCGGGCATGGACGAAGCCAAGGTTGAAATCATGGAATTTGTTAGCTTCCTCCAGCAGCCCGAGCGGTTCGAGAAGCTAGGTGCAAAGATTCCCCGTGGTGCCATTCTCTCAGGCCCCCCTGGTACTGGTAAGACATTGCTTGCTAAGGCCACCGCCGGTGAATCTGGCGTGCCCTTCTACAGTGTCAGTGGTTCAGAGTTCGTTGAAATGTTTGTCGGTGTTGGTCCCTCTCGTGTCCGCGATCTCTTCGCCAATGCCCGGAAGAACACCCCTTGCATTATTTTCATTGATGAAATCGATGCAATTGGAAAGTCCCGAGCAAAGTCGAACGTTGGTGGTGGAAACGATGAGCGTGAAAGCACTCTCAACCAGATTCTCACTGAGATGGATGGTTTCAACACCTCGGAGCAAGTCGTTGTCCTGGCCGGTACCAACCGACCGGATGTTCTTGACAAGGCCCTCATGCGTCCCGGTCGATTCGACCGACATATCTCCATTGACCGACCTACTATGGACGGTCGTAAGCAGATTTTCCGTGTTTACTTGAAGAAGATCGTCACCGACGAGAACCTGGAGTATATGGAGGGCAGACTTGCTGCTCTGACTCCTGGTTTTGCTGGTGCTGATATCGCTAACTGCGTGAACGAGGCTGCTCTTGTTGGTAAGTTTTTATGTGTACTCTTTTCGTCGTATTGTATCAAGCTAACACTTCCTCCCTGTAGCTGCCCGCGGAAACGCAGACAAGGTTAGCATGCACCACTTCGAGCAAGCCATCGAACGAGTCGTTGGTGGATTGGAGAAGAAGTCCCTTGTCCTCTCTCCCGAAGAGAAGCGGACTGTCGCCTACCACGAGGCTGGCCACGCTATCTGCGGTTGGTACTTCAAGTGGGCTGACCCGCTGCTGAAGGTCTCGATCATTCCTCGCGGACAAGGTGCACTTGGATATGCCCAATACCTCCCGGCTGGTGGCGACACATACCTGATGAACGTCAACCAGATGATGGATCGCATGGCCATGACACTGGGTGGCCGTGTCAGCGAAGAGATCCACTTCGACAGTGTGACTAGCGGTGCTAGTGATGACTTCAACAAGGTCACTCGCATGGCTACTGCCATGGTGACTAAGTTCGGCATGTCTTCCAAGCTTGGTTACATTTACTACGAAGATGACGGACAGCAGCAACTCCACAAGCCCTTCTCCGAGGACACTGCCCGCTCCATTGATATGGAGGTGCGCCGTATCATCGACGAGGCCCACAAGCAGTGCCGCGATCTCCTGACCGAGAAGAAGAAGGAACTCGGTATTGTTGCCGAGGAGCTTCTGTCTAAGGAAGTTCTTGGACGCGACGACCTCGTCCGTCTCCTTGGCCCGCGCCCCTACCCCGAGTCTGGCGAGTTCGCCAAGTACTTTGATGGCACGGGCGGCAAGACCATTGCTCCACCGGACTTCCAGAGCCCCGAACAAACCGCTGGTAAGGATGGCCGGGATGAGACACCTATTCCTCCTTCATAGATTAGGAGACTGTGCTTCTTTGCATCCTTGCGCTTTGGTTTGGTTTTTGGTTCAGTTTCGGGAGGCATGATATCACTGTAGCCTCTCTTTTTGTATTTATCGATTGCATCTCCCGTTTCTTCTCCCCTCTCATCTTCCCTTTTAGTCTGCTCTCATCCACACCCACAACACCTTTCCCTCTTTCCTCCTCTCGTGCTCAATAAGAAGATCGTTTCCCTTTTTTTATTTTCTCTCATTTGCCCCCCCTGTCCATCTCCGTGTCCAATTGGGATCTGTACAACCTGTACCGAGTGTATAATAGGGAGTTTTATTGAAACATGTCTTAGATTGGAAGTTCATGCCTCTTATGCGTAGATACTATTGAATCGCCGTTTTAGATGCACGGAATAACATTGCATCAGACACATTTGCCAATAAGATCCAAGTCTTCTTGGGTAGCAGTGACACATCCAAGACATGCGAATGTCTTGCGCTTTATATCTTCAATTAATCCGTTTGAATTATGTCTCAAATTCCTCTAAGAAGTCGACCCAATTCAGGACTCCTTATGAAGCTGCCTATATACCCACAAAGAGACCCAACGCGAAGAGGACAAACGATTCGGTAATGAAGATGGCGTCTACATAGTTAAAAAAGCTATATGTTGTTCATGATCATACCTATGGCACTCAATCTCTTGACAATATTCTTCAACTGCCGAAGCCCTATGGTGAAGTTCATATCAGAGGAGAGCATTACAAAAACACCGAGCCACAGAACTTCGGTTAAATCGACATTTTCCTACAGCGCCAGGCTGGGATCTTGATTAATCAGAGATGCTGCCCATCCCGGCACTCCGAGGCGAAAATGGCCAGGATCTACTTAATGATGACACAAGTTCCCACAAACACGGCCCTGAAATACACGCGGAGTGGAAGAGTGATGCTCTTCGGGCGTTCGATCGTGCTTGGCATCATCCAGTAAAGAGAAAGCAACCTGGCTATTTCCAGCCCGGCAGTCCTCCGTTTTTTAGTGGTGCACCAAGCAAGACTACTGTTTTTCAAAACAGACAGACCCTTGCCCCTGGCAACTATGCTACTCCACACAGGACGGTAACACCGGAGCAGTCTCATCAACATTGGGATATGACAAGACAACGCTATCAGCTTTCGCGTGAGAAGATGTCCCGATTCTACAGCCCGGACCGTTCGAAAGAAAAGCTTCTCGGCCCTGAGAACTACAAAGATTGGGCGGACCAAATGAAGAAGAAACTTGAGCAGTGTGGCGGGTTGTGGATCACTGATATTGGTACAACATTGCCGGTATATAGCAGCTTGAGCACACAACGCATCCAGCCTAACCTGAATCTTTGGATGATGGTTTTCAGCAACGTGTCACAGCCCATACGACGAGAACTGTGTGTCCTAGGGGCATTGAATGCACATGAGGCATGGCAGTTTCTGAAGGAGACATATGGAAGAGAGGTTCCCATGAAGATGCGCTCAGTCCAAGGCCTACGTGATATCATGGGTATTAGGTATGACAAGTGCGCGTCAATGAAAGAATACATAGAGAAGATGGTGTTGTGCAGCCGAGCGATTCAATGTAACCGCGGAGGGAAAGACAATGGCCACGGAAAGAATCGCAATCACTTGAGAGGAAGGGATGAAACTAACGAATGGCTATGGTGCCAATTCATCTTGGTGAATCTTGGTCCAGAGTGGGAGTCTTGGTTGTCTGAGTTGGTGAAAAAATTCGAAGATAAAGAGAGAATGAATGCTGCCATATGCACTTTTGGAGGACTCTTTCCAATCATCGAAGCGGAACAGGCACGTCGTATACAATCGTCTCGTTACACGCCAAACCGCAGCGCATGACCATGTCTTCAGAAGTCATGTCCACAGATATCTGATGTTTCCACTTCTTTGGCAATAAGCGATAAGTGTATGGGCAAAATTAAAAATTGTGTGCATTCTTCAAAATTGATAGGTTCGAGACAAGGCTCTAGAAAAGCATATAGAATCACAGCACAAACACATTCACCCTGGTTTAGATTTCTTCGTTTGCTAATATATCGACCCACAAATTAATTGCTCTTCTTGCTGGCCTTCTTGGTCTGCTTCGCCTTGACAGACAGGCGAGGGATAAACCTCCCAACGCGAGCCTGGTAGTCGCTGTACTCAGGGTACTTGCCAGCGGTGATAGCCTCGGTTAAGCGTACGCTACCCTGGAAGATAGCAAGGTATCCCAAAGCTCCCAGACCGGCCCAGTTGAAGTAAGTCTCGGTGCGGTAGCAGGACCAAGCATACATGGTCAACCAAAAGGCCTGCTCAGCAACGAAGTTGGGGTGGCGCGACCAAGACCATAGGCCGCTGACAACAAAGCCCCGCTCAAGATCTTCGGCGGAGAACTGGTCCTTGTAGGGCTCGGGAATACGCGCGTTGGTTTGGTACTCCTTCTTAGCAGACTGGAACTTCCACTGCTGGCCGTCGGCGAAGAATTCAATAATGATGAAGAAAAACGCAGCACGAGAGAAGGCCAAGTCGGGAAGGCCAAAGACCTCGGGTCCCTGGTTGTACGCGGCGACAACAAAGATGTAGGTCGGAGCGGTGATAAGAAGGAGCAACACCGACTGAGCGATGGCAATGAATCCGAGGTTGAAGATCATGAACAAAAAGCTATTGTTCACCTTGGAACGCACGATCTGCCAGCGGTAATCTTCCGAGCCGATCGAATATCCTCCTTTGCGCCAATAGTTGAAAGTCAAGCGAGCCTATCCCAAAATTCGAGTCAGCACAAGTAGGGACGCGGAATTAAAGTCAGCTTACACTCCAAAGAACAGTGACGACAGCGATAGTATCCAAAGTCTGGGTTTGAATGCCGGACATACGAGCCCAGAGGGCGAAATGGACATTATACAGCGCAGGGAGAATGCTCCAAAACCGGTCTACTTGCGAATAGTTTCGGTTGATCTCAGCTGCAATGAAAAGCAGACCAGCCAGGACTCCACCGAAAGCAATCGCAGAGACGAAAGGGTTGGTAGCTAGGTAGACAGCTCGCAAGCTATACACATCGCTACCAGCTTCGCGCAAGCTGTCGGGCAGCCATTGCAGTTGGGACAAATAGGGGGAAACGGTGAGCTCGAATGAGGTATAATCCAAAAGGGACTCCACTCGGGGAAGTGGTAGAGATGCCATTGTTTTGCTCCGTATTCTATATCGCCAAAAGGCCACAAGAGAAAAGACAAACAAAAGCCTGGGAAGTGTTTGCTGTGGAGTTGACGGGTAGATTTACTCATTGGGAATAATTTGCCTAAAGAGGATAAGCGTATCCGAGGTATAAATGCCTCAGGCATAACATCGCGTCTCAGGCATTCGCGTCCGAGCCATTCCAGAACGAGATGTGATCGACATCAGGACATTCAAGGCCACCACCACTATGAACCCTATGTGATCTGGATTGGGGCTCATCATGGCTCGCAAGATTTTATGTGTGGCCGAGAAGCCTGCCATTGCTCGCGCAGTGGCAACTCACCTGTCGGGTGGTGCTTTTCAAACAGTGGGTTCCTTTATAAAGAATTCTGATGATTCAGCTAACGGAGAGCATAGCGTGCAATTCGTGGAAATCAATATGTGAAAAACTATGAATTTGATTTCGATTTTGGTGGTGCTTGGGGAAATTGCTCGGTCACTATGACCAGCGTAGTCGGCCATTTAACCGGTCTGGACTTTGACCGCCAGTACAAAGGCTGGATGTCCTGTCCTCCGGGGGCACTATTTGAGGCTCCTGTGCAAGAGACTGTTGATAAGGTGGGTAACTATCCAGCGGCTGCATTGACTACATGCTGACGTCTTTACTAGGACAAGCTACCAATTGCGGATAACATCCGGGATCAAGCCAAGTACTCGAAAGCCCTCTTTATTTGGACCGATTGTGATCGCGAAGGTGAGCATATTGGTTCTGAGGTCCGTAATCAGGCGAAAGCAGGAAATGCTCGGATCGAGGTTAAGCGAGCCAAGTTCAGCAACACAGAAAGCGCGTAAGTAATGTTGACTGTTTTATGTCTACTCAAACTAATCCGGGGATATAGACATGTCCGCCGTGCCGCTCTAGAGCCAGTCAATCTGGACGAATATCAGGCTAGTGCTGTAGCTGCCAGAATCGAGCTGGATCTCCGAATCGGCGCTGCATTTACCCGCCTACAAACTCTACAACTACAAACAGTGGTGGCAGCGTTGAAGGAAAAAGTAATTAGCTATGGTAAGCTATCAACTATTATGAACACAAGTAAACACATTAACGAGTTAGGATCTTGCCAATTTCCTACTTTAGGATTCGTTGTCGACCGATACTTGAGAGTCAAAAATTTCAAACCAGAAACATTTTGGGGCATCAAGGTCATACTCAACCGTGAAGCCAAGAAGGTCAACTTTCTCTGGAAGCGGGTACATTTGTTTGACCGAGCGGTTGTGACGATGATGTTAGAGCGATGTTTGATTGCGAAACAAGCCAAAGTCACGAAAGTGAACCAGAAGCCTACAAGCAAATGGCGGCCGCTGCCCTTGACTACAGTTGACCTACAAATGATGGGCAGTCGATTTCTTCGTTTAGACAGTCAGACTATCATGAAGGTGATAAACTTACTCTCATGTTGGATGATGGATGATATCTGACAATCTCGAAGGTGGCAGAAGGACTTTATACCAAGGGATTCATCAGCTATCCTAGAACTGAGACAGACCAGTTTGACAAAGCAATCGATCTGAAGAAATTGGTCGAGAAGCAATACCCCGACAGCTCATGGGGCCAATATGCTCGCGAGTAAGCTTACTGGACTTGCCTTTCATATAGAAAACTAATTTCTATCTAGACTTATTGATGGGAAGTTCAGGACCCCTCGCTCTGGCCGCCACAACGACAAGGCCCATCCACCTATTCATCCTGTCAGTTGGGTCTCGCCAAGTCAATTGAATGCCAATGAAAAGAAGGTCTATGAATTTGTCGCTCGTCGATTCCTGGCCTGCTGTTCTGATGATGCGAAGGGCCAGAGCACAGAGGTTGAGATTCAATATGGTGACGAATCCTTCCACACCAATGGTCTTATTGTGTTGGAGAAAAACTATTTGGATATATATGTCTACGACAAGTGGGAAAGCAGCCAGCAACTTCCTAAATTTGAACTAGGGGAGCTCTTTGAGCCCAGCGAGGCCAATATTTTCGAAGGCAAAACAACTGCCCCAAACTATCTGACTGAGCCCGAACTCATTGGCCTGATGGATGCCAACGGAATTGGTACAGACGCCACAATGGCGGAACATATTGCTAAAATCAAAGAACGGGAATACGTGGCCATAAACCAACGAGGCAGTGGCCGCAGCTCAGTGCAGGAATTTATTCCAACTCGCTTAGGGGTTGCCCTTGTGGAAGGGTATGACAATGTTGTTGAGGGTCTCCCTAACAGTGTGTCTCTCAGTAAGCCGTTCCTCCGCAAGGAAATGGAATTGAGCATGCTTCAGATCTGCTCAGGCACCAAAACTCGACAGGAGGTCGTCCAGCAGAGTCTAGACATGTACCGAGAAGTCTTCATTCACACACAGAGACGCATCAACATGCTGAAATCTGCCTGTCGCAAGTATCTTGTTGAAGAAAACGGCTCATGATTGTTAGTCGATTAAAAATGACTTTTATCTAAAATTAATGAAATATTCAATTGATTGTCTTCAACCCACTTGAACTTGACTAAATCTGCAATCATTCAAAGAAGATAAGAGAGGCAAGTGATCGAATCCCCTATGATATAGATACAAAATGAACATTTACCGATGTCCTAGGCCAGGCCTTGGGCATTGCGTCGGACTGAGCCTTCTTCCCCATTCCCAAGACCCAGAGCTCGGTTTGAGGTGATAACTCCGATGGCATTCTCCGCTGTTTTGCATTTGGAAGCTGGGTTTGTCTGGCCGGTGGTGAGACTTTCGTTTAGATCCATTATGGGCTGTTCCGCGCGTAATTCATCAGGTACGTCGTTGTACATGGTTTTTGACATTAGTATGTTAAGCCAGGCCAACTGTCTTGGAATCTGTGGGAAATTTTGAGTATTTTTCAGGAGACCCTGGTGTTGTTGACTGACCTCCTCCAGTTTCGTGTCTAGGTCTATCATGCCAGACGTGTATTTGTCTTCCATCGTACCAACAAGATGCAGAAAACAACGTTGAAGATCTTCCGAGGCGTTTCTGATTTCCTCCGCCAGATGAACAAAAACAGGTCTTACTTGTTCATTTTCTTTTCGAAAGTGTTGGATTTGTATCATCAATGCACCAAATTGTTCTAGCACGCCCTTTATTAGGTCGTAACAATTGTTTTTCAGGTCTTCGGTGTCGCTTTGGATTCTGCCTAACTTCACGAAGGCCATAAGTTGTAATAGGAGAGTAATCAGAAAAAGAGTAGCCAGAACATAGAAAGACAATCCGTTAGTCTGGGCGGGGTTGGGCTGCTGTAGCTCCTCGTAGCGAAGCTCATTTGCCGCACTTTCATTCAAATGAACCGGACTTGGTATGGCTATGGCATTCGGGTCGAACATGGACGCTGTCACTTCTGGGATGTTGAGTTGCAGTGATGCTGCTTCAGCCGACTGTTCCAGGGCCAGCCTGGCATTTTCGTACTGTTGGGCATCGAGTGCAAGTTTCAGAAGAAGGTCGTATTCCGAGATTGCGTCATCATGGGGGAAGATAAAAGGGTGAGCTTTGCGCAGCTCATGGATGGACCAGGCAATCTCCAAGGAGCCGAGACCACGCCAAAAAAAAGAGTTGGAAGGATTAATTCCTGTGTACGGAACAGAATGCCAGATGCCAATACTGTTGAGGCTGGCAAATATGAACGCCGACACCAGATTTTCGAACATCATCATGATATTTGTATCAGATCAGTGTGGCCAGTGATAGCTCAGTAAGAGATCAGTGATAGCTCAGTGATAGATCAGCGAGATTCGAGAGATTCGAGGAGATCTCCGCCTTTCTCGGTGTTTTGAGGGCTTAAATATAAGGCGGAATCAATACAATGACCAGGTGACTCTTTGTTCAACAGTGTGCATTCAAACTTGAATAAGCATTCATTGTTTTGGCTGATTGCTTGAGGGTTACATTATGTGCATTTCTTTTGCTTGGTCCTTTTGGGCTTGTATTCAGCCTCTTGGATATCCCTATCCATTGTCCTTGTCATATCTATAAGATCTATATAGAGATATATTAGGAGATCTGATAGTCAATACCATTGAGACCTTATGATATGTAAATCATGAGTACAAAGAAAAGCATTCACACTAGCACAAAGAGACCTAAAATATCTGACAGGTTCAAACCCGATTTCGTTCATTATTATAGTAGCTATACCAAAAAATACTATCCCTTTGATCGTATGAAAGATATTATAAAGACATGGGAAAATGTTCAGAGCAAAACAAAAAGCATTGTTATCCCACTTATCTATACGTCACTGTGAATGTTTCAGCCTACATGTGAATTACTTTGGTGCTTTACCATCAGCGTAAGCTAATACTCACATTGTAAATTATTACTATTTATGAATCTGTAATACTTTAGCCAAGCTGACAAAGGCATCGATGATTATTTTGATGACTCTCATTCAGCTATATTCATCATGCGCAAGTTGAAAATTGGCATGAAACCTAGTAGAAAATGACTTAATGAGCTCAGTAAATATGCGACTCTTCGGTAGACATATAGCAAGAGGCGATTATTGACCAGAAAAACTGAGTGTGTCACTGTATTCTCATCATGTTCCTCATTATCAATGCCCCCAACATCCTTGCCATTGTCCTTATTATCGGCCTTTTTGGCCTACAGAAGAGAGTTGTACCACTGACTAGCGGCATCTTTCTGAGCCTTTCAAAATCGGCCCGAGGTATTCATTGCAACTTGAACGCCATGTCTTATTATGTGTTGGCGAAGCTTGACTGTAGCCGAGATAGAGACCTGAATACAATAAAAAATCAGCTCGGAGAGCCTGAGAACAGCACTAACATGTTTGTGTGGGCAACTCGGAACACGATAGAAGACCTTGCCATAATACACAGTGACTTGACCAGTGAAGTTCTGTTCACCTAGTATGAGTTCATGTTGACTCTTCTTCATATCGACTTACAGTCGTGTAAGGTGGGAGATCGAGCTCCCCGGCCTGGGATCTGATAAGGTACTCTTTATACGCATCGCAGTTTTGTAAGAAGACGGGGCAGCTATAACTATTAAGTAGAGTACTGGTGGGTGTCATCTTAGGTTCTGTTTTGGCCTCAGGAGTTTGGGTAATTCTTTGATAGAAGAGAGGTAAGGTAATGGAAGAGAGAGAGAGAGAAGAATAGTTGTTAGGTGCTCTGGGCAGCTCCTTCTTTGCCAACTTCTTTTTCCTCGGTATCATCTCTTCTATCTTCATCCGTCCTCTCCCTCTCTCTTTTTCTTTGAGATTTCGACCATCTTGCCTCAACTTGCACTTCGCCCCTCACGCCTCACAAGATGGGCTTCTTATTCGCAAGTCAGAGCGATGTGACTCTTATTGTTATTAAGGAGCCGACCGAAAATGACGAGAACAAAACTAAAACAGCGTTATTTCATGTCGATCGGGCAAAATTGATTGAGAGCAGTGCATACTTTCGAACAATGTTCTCATCTCGGTGGGAAAGAGCCGGAAAATACAACCCCACCCTCAGAGGCGATACAATCAAAAGCATGGAAGTGATATTGGGGTCAATTCATGGATTCGACCCCGAGCCAGAGTCTGTCTCTGTTACAGATGTCTGGTACACAATGAGGGCCTGTAACAAGTACCTGTTGGATCCTAAGAAGCTGGTGGGCTGGTTCACACGTTGGATCCAATGGATTGACCAAGAAGATACTACAATATGGGAAGATTTGGATTTCAACCGCCAGCTGCTATTTCCTTGCTATTTCTTTGATCATGCAAATGCCTTCCAACAAATTTCGAAGAGACTCGTCTATGACAACCCGGGCTATATTACAGAATTGGCACCGAGAGACTCACCATTATTCGAGCCAATGCATATGCCGGCTATCGCTATGCGTAAGTCGACCTCACTCGTGTCTTTGAGGCCGAAGAATTCTAACTCACAAAAAGAGCAACTCAGAGCGGCAAGAGGGCGACTCCGCACGATTCTCCAAAGATCGCTTTTTGAAGATGTAAACGTGACTATCGACTATGCTTATTGCGCTTGTGCAGCACATACCATCTTTTCCTACATGAGAGAACTACATAGAATTGGGGTCAGGCCGCTGGATGGCGACATCCATAAGAATGGCGTCCGCGACATTCTCAATCGACTGAAGGGCTTCAATGAGGAAAAGACGTTGAACGGGCAGTCATCAGTGCAGAGATACACCGGATGCTCTCACTCCTGGAAATTCGTGGTGGAGCACTCACGAAAACAAGTTGAAGGTTACTTCGATGGTCTATGTTTAGATTGCATGCACAACAATCCCGATGAGAATTCTGAGTACTGGTCTCTCGACACCATAAGATACGTGTATGGCAAAGATTGCCGCATCAGTCATGGCCAGCCGACCTGGTACTTTAGTTTCATGGGTCATCGTGACAGAAACCCATCCCGCATGCAGTCCTGAGTGAACAAGAAGGATAAGTTGAGACTCGATTACTGGATTGATCCCCTACCCCGAAATTTTGTCAAGAGATCCTCTGTCCTCTTCCTGTCAATTTGATATCCACAGTTTCCTGAGTGTCGCAACCATGTTTATGACAAGCTCGCTGATCTTTCAGTTGATGGCAGATACTTCAATGGTATTTGCCCTTGGTGAAAATATGTATAAATCATGTCACTTTCTTAGCAAGATACAAATCGAGTAACAGTCTGTTCTTATTGGCAAAACTGTTGCCCCCTATGGCCATACATGTTGATCTATATCCAGAGCACTGTGCTGGGAGATGCAACCTCGGAAGAGTGATCAGTCAACCATCACCAAGTCCCTGATGCAAGGGTCCGAGAGCTCCTCCAATAGCATCACAGGTATCAAAATATCATAATGTAAATTACATGCTTATACAGAACCCCCCGTAAGTCAAATCATGATACGGAGTACATATATGAGATTTATTGTATATTTTAAAATACGATAGAATAGCGCGCATCCGAAAAAAATTATAAATAAGTTCCTTTCATGTAAAATGTTGACTTAGAGTCGCATTTTCAAAACATCTCTAATGCCAGACGGGGGCTGAGTTGCCAATATGTTGAAGCAAGGTGACATTGCCCGGGTGCGAATGGGCATAGCCGCCACGGGTTCCAGTTGAGGATGGCTGAGCATACTACCCATATGCTCAGTATTACCTAAACCCATCCTCAACTGGAACCCGCATCCGATCCCTGGCCGCTACGTCCCTTTACACCCGGGTGTTGTTGCAAGACAAAGCCTGTGTGGTGATTGGGAAATAAAAACAGCTCAAAAGGGCAGACGCTCCGTCTCCCTCAAACAAGTCAGGCGATCAGTTTTGACAGAATTCTCAAACAGGCAGAAGCGAGAAAAAAAAAAAGACAGGGGTGTACGCACCCGAAAACATGACTTTATAGACGGCCTCCGAGGCAGTGCGATAAATCATCGTGAAGGAGAATTTGTTCAGGCTCCGTGCATGAATTAATCAAAGTCCTATCGCCTGAGAGGTTTGTTGTCTACGTCTCTACGCCTCGCCGCGATAGTGCCGAAATTCCAAATTATGAGGCTGATTCGTCGCCTAGAGAGGCTCGGCCCTAACTTCGTTTATGAGAGGTCAACAGGTCACCACTAGCATGTGCCATACCTTGAACCCGGGCAAATCTATCCTATGAGATCAGCTTCACTTATATATGTTCATCTGTGCCTGTCTGTGATTATCCATCCATCCATCTATCCATCATGATTCCGGCTTGTCGGAGAACTTCACAAAAGATGAGCTCCAATAATCCACAGCGCCCTCTTCGATGCAACAGCAGTTCCACCACCGCTTTTTCCTTGCCAGAAAGCAAACCAGTACCGTACACACCTAAATGTAACTCTTCAGCGTCAGATGTCGCGATAAGGAGCCTAACCAAAAATTAGGCACGACTGATGAATACATCAAAGCTATCGCATACCATTCTCAGCAACCTAGCGCTAAGACGTTATATCCCGGAGAGATTTATGATACGCTGAAACAATTTCTTGAGCAGAAATCAAATACCGTACCAAACACTGCAAGCCAGGGGCCCAAAGATTTCGCATGGCTCGTCAGTCCGAGCCAGGTGGGTCAGCAAGCTTCGTCAGATCAGCATTGGCTGCCGGACAGCAATAGTAATAGGAATCGAGAACAGTTTGAAGGATTTGCTGATCCGCAGTCATGCATAGAGGCGTTGAGGGCTAGAATCGAATTATCACATCCACAGGTGCTATTTCTAAGGGGCCATCCTCCACCAAGTTGGCTTTCAAGCATTGGCGCCTTTTGTTGCGCCGACCCTGAGCTATTTCGCTGGTTTATTAGGTACCGTGCCGGACCAGGAAGTGACTATTACTTCGACTCCGCTCCTTCTATAATGAGTGACATATTTCGCTTCAAGTTCTTTACCATCGGATCCAAGAACTATCGACGTCGATCATCTCAAAGCGAGGTAGACGCCTTACGCGGAAGGGCATTTAACGATCTGCACAGGTATCAGGCCGAGTTAAGAGGAAACTGGGCGCTAAAGCCAGGGGACTCGATTGTGCGGAATTTCCATGTACTAGATGAACGTCATTGCGTCATTGAACAGGAGATTGTGATCTCCATCTTCGATGTTGGCAAAACTTGGATGGGTATGATCTCTCGTACGACATTCATCGATATATTTACTGATTATCATAGCCATTGCCTGTTCAGATGCAGGAAATGACCTCTCTCAGGGACCAAGATTTCCCTGGCTCGAGGCTGGCGAGGACTCATTACCAATCACACTTCTACCAATCGTTCAATATAGACCGAGGTGTGCGTTAAAATACCGCGGTATTAACGAGAGTACTAGGTCGCCAAAAGGAAAGAACACCCAAAGTCTTGCCATTTTTCCGGAAGGCTACGGGCGTGGCTTAGATTGGTCGCTTGCAAAATCCGATCGGCTTCATATCTTGGCGGACGTGTTCAGACTATCTGCCTTCTCTCAGAAACAACTTCTTAATGTCATGAAGGAGAAGATAAGAACTGAAACGAACCGCCTGTCGCTCAGTAATGAGAATCCAACATTGGCCAACCTGCTATACTTCCGGGATATCCTACAGGACCAGCTAAGCAACACTTCCTATATGCTGCAGTTGACAAACGACAAGAACAATATCCTTCAAAATGGTCATCGCTCCACCACTGCTATATCTATCGATCAAAGAAGCGTGGCCAATGACGCCATGGCCGAAGTTTGCAGCCTGTTTCAAGACTTGCACTTAGAAGCACAATCACTCTATGAGAAGTGCACTCAAGGAATGACAGTTATCAGTAATGAAGGCATGCTTGCAGAGTCACAACGCGCCATCCAGCAGGCGAAGTTGGTTACAAAGCTCACAATCGTCGCCTTTGTGTACCTTCCGTTCACTTTCACCGCTGGTTTCTTTGGTATGAACTTCAAGGAATTGGGAAATGATATGCCCTTATGGATATTTTTTGCTGCCTCATTTCCTCTGATGTTTGTCACTATGGGGGTATTTGCATTGGATATGCAAATGATGAAGAGAGTGTTGCGAGCATTGCATATTGCATATTGGGACATAACTTATTTGGTTTAATAGAACATTCAGATTAGCAACTGATGAACATATATTGTTCTACGAAGTAATCTCTCTCTCTTTTTCGAAGTCCTCGTGTCATGTGGTCATTGGATGAGGCTGACTTACCAAATCTGCTCAGGTGCAGGGAAGCTCGAGCGGGGGGTTTCTGGTCACCTGAGCAACATTGTGAGGATTATCTGATCGAACTTCTGGTTCTATAATTTCTGCCCTTCTGAGATTCATGTGTTTGTATGGCCATGACGGAATTATCAAGTGCCAGAGTCACCAGGAGTGGAGGTTTCCAACAAATTCGTGTCGGTCCAAGAGTCCGAACCCTGTATGTAACAACCTTTCACATTTGATCCCTTCTTGCTGGTGGGTAATAACAGGAGCTGATTGGGGGCAGTCTACTCGCTGTAGGTGGAGTTGGAACGACACCTCCAGAGCATTGGACAAACTCGAAAGGCGACCTATGGCTGGGCACACTAGATGCACCTGACATCGGCATTCTGTCCTTCCCAAACAGACTTGCAACAAATGGTATACTATCTGGGAGGAATATTGAAGAGGAAGGTGCTTCTCTTCTCGCTGAGCTGTACCGCCTCGCCGAAGATGAGACTGTACGTCTTTCCTCCAGGTGACGGAGCATCGCTGATCACTTTAGGTGATACAATGTCCGATTATCCTGATTGCTCATAGCCTGGGCGGATTGATTGTGAAACGAGTATGTTTCTCGTCGTAAGTAGTTTGCAATATTGTGGCTGAATCATGCAATTATCTAGGCCATCTGTCAGGCAAAGCAAAGCCCAAACACTTATCGGCATTTGATACGCAAGATTGCTGGATTTGTTTTCATGGGATGTCCGCATTCTTCGTCCCAAGAACTAAAAGACTGGGTCGGGGTGGAAAGCATTCTACAGAAATTTACTAAAGGAAGGTATAATCCCCTGGATTTACAATGTGTTCAGAGTTTGGCTGGGGATTGTGAAAATTTCCGGGTCATCTTAGCCGAAGACGAGAAGCAACTGTTGACCGTCAGCGAAAAGAAAGGAATGAGCAAACAAATGATTGGAAAGAAAATTTTAGTAAGCCTGCTTGTTTATGACGAGTCGTGCCTCTCTTTCGGGGCGAGACTGATGACAGACAGTTTGTTGACAGACACTCGGCAACCATTGGCCATGACCAAGAGACTATAATTGAGCACGACTCCAATCACCGAGACCTCTGCATTGTGTCGGCTGGAAGCAAAACGCTTGACGGGATCTTTGATTTTCTCCATCTAGCTCTGGATGACACAAGAAAAGCCCTCGCCAAAGACTCTCCACGGTGTGAGTAAAATTTCACGGTTGGCACATGATGCTAGGGCTTGGCTCACAGAAGATTAGACACCGGACCTTCCGTCTTCGCTGAATCCACTGTCAGAGATCAAAGCAGTGATGATGAGGATCTCTCTGGTGTTACAACTGAATCCATGTCTGGTTGGTAAAAATGCCATATGTGACAAATATATGTTTTGCTGATTAGCCCTTGAAGGCCAGAATGTGCTCCGTGGTCCCGATGCGTCCGTTCTAGCAACCTCGGAGCCAGCTTCCTCAACTAATCTCGGATCATGGACCAAGGGTGCTACCGCAGGCAGTGATAAGATCAACCCCGATCTCATCTCCGCCTTGAAAGATTTCAGCATCGAGTACCGCGACCCTATCTTGCCGTGCAAATCCATTCTACTGCCCAGGGATCCCGTTTTTTCTGGGCGCGAGGACACACTGTCAAGTATTCGGCAGGCCCTTGTAGCCTCTATACAAGAACCTGAGAATGGATCAGATAGTTCACTTGGCGAGATAATCCCATCGTTGAACGTTTACTCCCTCTGTGGTCCAGGTGGAATGGGGAAAACTTCCATTGCCAACGAATTTGTTCACAGGTATGAGAAGGACTTTGACGCTGTTTTTTGGGTTGCAGCGGACGAGGAGAGCAAGCTCTTTAACGGCTTTCGAGACATTGCTGTAAAGCTCGGCATCATTTCAGACACCGATGGCAAAGATCTGCCAGCAATCCGAGAGATGCTCTTAGCTTGGCTTGCCAACCCTCTCAGGTCATATGAACATATGGACCACGTGAAACCAGAAAGAGCATCTTGGCTCATCGTTTTTGATAACGTGGATCGTGCTGATACACTTGAAGACTTTTGGCCAAAAGATGCTGCTGGTTCAGTTCTGGTTACCTGTCGAGATCCATTGATCAAAAGCTCCATCTATTTGAGAAATACTGGAAGCATCGTTCCCGAGCTATTGGAAGAAGAGGGAATAACTCTACTGCTTCGTCTCACTAATCGTGAGAGCGATGAAGATGACGTAAAGCAGGCACCTAGGGTTGTTCGAGCCTTGGGCAGATATCCCCTTGCCATTGCGCAAATGTCTGGAGTCATACTAGCTCGAGACCTTGGTTTTAACGAATTCCTTGAATTGTATTCCGAGGAAACAGAGCGTCGAGAGATTCTTGGAATCTCAGAAGGGCAATCAGCTTCTCTTCGCAGATACAACCAGACGCTTGGTACTGTCTGGAACCTGGATGACTTGAGAGAGGGCAGGGCCTTATTAGAAGTCATATCGTTCCTCGATCCGGACAGTATCCCAGAATCGCTCCTAGAGAAAAACCCGGCATGCATGGATTGGGATCGCTATCCCAAAACATCATTGGAATACTCAAAGGCTCGTGCCGAGCTACTTTCTAGGTCACTGATTTACAGAAATCGGGGCAAGAAGACCTTACGTGTCCACCGGTTAATACAGGATACTGTGAGAACTCAAATGAATGATGCAACATTCAATGAGGTATACTCAAGAGTGCTGGACATGCTTGGTGCACGGTGGCCAAGGGTTTTCAAAGGCTTTGGCAATGTACAAACGGACTGGCAACAGAATTCTGAGCTTTGGGCTCACGTTCTCTCACTGTTCAAATATCGGGACCGTTTTAGCCCTGGAGCTGCTCACTTTGCTACTGCTATCAAGCGGATGCACTTTGCCCTCGATGTCTTGATGTACGTGAATGAGAACTCACGTGTGATGAATAAACTGACAGATAGACCAGATTTAGCGTTTCAGACTCCCGATTTAGTGCTTCACCAACAATCCTGCTCTTTTTCAGCTTTTTGAGAGATGCAGTGAGCGGAGAGCCAAGTCATGAGCTACAAATGATTGATGCTAATTTCCACTACTGCCGAGGAGAACTCGGGTTGCATATCAACAACCGTGAACATCCTTTGCCAGATTTCAGCCAATGCGTCAAACAGCTGGATACTTTACTAGATGATGATGCCAAGAAAGCTGATTCATTATTTGGGGTCGCAGTGAACGAGCTCGGTTGTGCCTACTTGATGAATTGGAAGAACGACGAGGGTCTGATTGAATTTGAGAGAGCAGTCACTATCCTTCAAAACCTATGTCACCCTTCAGCGCAGGAGATTACTATGGGTCAAATCAATGTAGGATTTGTCTATGGTTACCTTGGACGGTATGATGAAGCTTTGCAGATCTTTGAGGTTGCATTGAAGGAGCGTCATATAAAGCTTGGTCGGGATGATTACTCCTCCTTTGTGTAAGTGGAGTCCCTCTTATCATTTTTTCCAATGCTGATGATACAGAAATGGAAAATTGTACATGGGCTGGGGGAATGTACTGGCTGCACAGGGCCGGCTTGATGACAGCTTCAAATTACACGTTAAATGTCTGGAGCATTACAAGCGCTCGGTTGGTAATTCTCACCATAGAACGGGGGATGGATGTGTGAAGGCTTCGGATCATTTTGCTCGCACTGGAGACGGTCCTACGGCCTTGTAAGTTCCACAATCTGAGTTTTGCCACGGCCGCTAATTTCTAAAGAGCCCTGCTTGACCAAGCTCTCAAGATTTTCAACCTTGACACATACCACAGACCAGAAGCTGCAAGAGCTCACTACAAGAAGGGAAGTGTCTTGAAGCAGATGGACCAAGAAGAGGAAGCCAACAAAGAAATGGACACAGCTCTCGACATCTTCAACAGCTTTGTTTCCCCTGAAGACCGCGCTGGAACCATCGATGAACTGGATGACGAGGATTTTGATCATTGGATCATGTTCTGGTCTCGATGACCAGGAACTGCTCGCCCAGGGCGATGAGAAGGCGATAAATCAATTAACGGAAGATGCTTAGCAAGTCAGTCTCAAACTAAATTGTTTTCACTCCACTTTGGTTGTAGACTGCATGGCTTGTCCAGTAGAATGAAGATTATAAAATCAAGGTCCGGAATATATCAACAGCCAAACGGAAAAGCATGTCTTGTAAAAGCATTCATGGGGGGAATTCATACTATGTACCTTACGAACCTAAGTAGTACCTCGCAAACAATGTGAACGCGGAAGTGGCGTTGAGGCGTTTGGTCCCTGTTGATCACAACCCAAATAAAAGTGATCGAGAAATATCTAGGAGTGATTGTGAGTGAGTGACCATGATCGACCTCAAAATAAGTATGTACAACATAGTATAAGGTTAGATCTGATGTTTAATATAGAAGCCAATGAAGGAGGCTTGTGGCAACTATAAAGTGCGGGTAGATGCAGTTGGCCAATGACGCTCGCTGAACCATCATGAGTCATGGTGATTAACTTGCACTAACCTATTTAGACTTATTTGAACCCCCAAAATGGGTTAGTGTGGGCCTGGGCGAAGACATCCCAAACATGGGTACAATCAGGTATACCCAGCCCTGGAGTCTACTTAGTATACAATGTTCTCATCTCCGTTTGCTCGTGTCTCCCAACTCAACTATCCTACCCCTTCGACTGCCACAACAAATGGCTGAGAAACCTACCATCGAGGATCTACGCGTTCCCGAAGCAAACAGCCTGTCGGCTGGCGACAGCGACTCTCAAGCAGACGATGCACGCGACTACGAGCTGACTGGCATTCCACTAGTCCTGGTCATGACCGGACTTGGTCTTTCTATATTTCTTATGTCACTGGACTCGTCCATAATTGCCACAGCTATTCCTCGGATCACGTCACAATTCAACAGCACCGGTGATATTGGCTGGTACGGCAGTGCATACTCCTTTGCGATGTGCGCTTTGCAGCCTGTCGCAGGTAAGCTGTTTTCAAGCTTTGCGATGAAGGTAAGAATATCCAAAACCTTCAGACGGAGATGAAATCTCCATTAACAATTTCAGAGCATGTTCCTCGGATGTCTTGCTGTCTTCGAGCTTGGCTCATTGCTCTGCGCCCTTGCTGTCAACAGCCCTATGCTCATTGTTGGACGTGCTATAGCTGGAATTGGTGCAGCAGGTTGCTTTACAGGAGCCTTCTGTATTGTAGCAGTGTCTATCCCGCTGATCAAGCGACCCTTCTATATTGGAATCCTTCAGTCAACTTTCGGCATTGCCACCATTATCGGACCTGTATTAGGTGGAGTATTCACAGAGCATGCAACTTGGCGGTGGTGCTTTTGGATAAATCTCCCCATCGGTGCTATCACCATCATCTCATTGGTCTTCTTCTTCAAACCGCCTACGCGCGACTTGACGAAAGCCCCGTCGGTTCTTCGCAGGCTGCAAAACCTGGACTTGCTTGGCGCTTCTCTCTTTGCTCCGGCCATCATCATGATCTTTTTGGCTCTTCAATGGGGAGGGACTGAGCATGCTTGGAAGAGTGCTAACATCATTGGTCTCTTCATTGGAGGTGCGGGCCTTGGTCTTGTCTTTGCTCTCTGGCAGATACGAAGGGGTGATGATGCCATGATTCCACCACGTCTTATCACTGAGCGTACGATGTTTTTCTCTTGTTTCAGCGAGTTCTTCGCCATGGGTGCCGTTTACATTTCGATCTACTACCTTCCAGAATGGTTTCAGGTCATAAAAAACGCCTCGCCAACGAAATCTGGAGTCATGTACCTTCCTTTAGCGTTGTCAGATGTCCTCTCTGCAACCCTAACAGGTGCCTCACTCAAGTATCTTGGATATCCAAACCCCTACATGCTTCTTGGAACGGGCTTGATGAGTATAGCAACAGGACTCTTCTCTACCTTCTCCCTAAGCACCCCCCATCAGCAGTGGATTCCATTCCAAGTCCTTCAGGGTCTTGGTGTAGGGATGACCCTCTCAATGCCCTATGTTGCAACACAAACAGTCCTCAAGCCTGAAGATATTCCTGTCGGTACCTCATTACTGCAGTGCTTCCAATTCTTCGGGGCTTCTGTGAACCTTGCAATCGCGGAGGCTATCTTTGAGAACAAACTCGTCTCGCATTTGGAGAGTTGGGGATTTGAGGGCCATGAGATAGAGAACATTCTCAGTGCAGGCTCCGCCGAAGCAAGGAGGGTGGTTTCTGTGGCGCAGCTTCCAGGCGTGTTAGATGCATACAACCACGCGATCACCAGAACTTTCTATGTTGCAACCAGTGTTGCGGCTATTGCATTCCTTCTTTCACTCGGCATCCGCTGGAGGAGTGTCAAGCCAAAACTCCAGGCTGCTGTCTCTGAAGAGGAGGCTAGGTCGTCAATTCAGTAGGCTTCGATGGAACCGCTTAGTTCAAGCAAAACATGGAAGACGGGATCTTGCAACATGAGCCCTAATGGTATCACAGATAATTACGTCTTGCAGCTTAAATAATATCTAGAGATTTTTGAGATAATAATGCATAGCTAGCGGTTTTTTGATACAAAAATGAAAGCATTATTTATCACGCATTCTGGGTCTCTTTCTCTGGCCATTTCCATGTTCAAATTTATTCTTTACTCCAGTTATCTCAATATCAAAGAGTGTAATGCCAACGATCAAGTTGTGGAGCGGTCCTACATAGGTACCTATGCCTCAGTATCTAGCAGTTATCTCTCCAGCTTGGTCTCAATATGGGGTGTGCGCCAAAATTTCCTTGTCGGCCATATCATTCGCCCTTTGTACTTGCTCAACTAGGTAGTAGCAGTTTTTAAAAAAAAAAAGAAAATTGATAATTCAAAGATACTTGATTTAATTCTGGAAGCTAAGCAATCTATGGCCAATATGCCAACAAGATTTGAAGAATCAAGCCATGCCCCATTGTTCAAGCCAAAGGCTGACCCACCTATCATTAACTGCCCCGACTTGGCTCAAGCGAGGGAATCGCTCCTCAATAAGTGTTGTATCCAGTGTCACAGATCTTACAGAACTCGTCAATCTCTGGAAGAATCCAAGAAGACGAAGACCAGGATTGGGGCGATAACCCGATTCGTTGATGCCCTGTGACAGACGATGCACCCACTCTCGCAGGGAAACAACCTTGAGGGGCTCCTTCAATCCAAGGCGCTGTGCCAACAAGGGGACAATATCTGAAAATTGGATGTGATGTGGATTGACCAAATTGTAGCATCTTGTGTGGGTAGAACTGTCCCTTTCATAGACTCGCGGGATACAGACTAGATCAGAAAGGATTTCAGCGACGGTGTCGACAGGTAGCCAATCAATCTGTTTTGCACTGCCGAGCGTGTCTGGAAGATAGCCGAGGTGTACGGAGGCCTCTAGGAGGGTTGGGAACCAGTCACGACGCGGCCACGACATATCTTGGCCCTCTGTCAACTCCGTGACAGGGCCGGCGACTTGACCTAGTCGAAGTATACAGGACCTGACACCGGCCAAATTGGCGGCTTGGTCCAAGAGTAGACTGGCGATGAGCTTGCTTTCCCCATAACCTGTCTCGGTAGTCTCGGGGGCGCTCAGCGTTTCTTCTGGAACAGGTCTGTCTTCTGTCCAATTCTTCACTGTGGCGATAGAAGACAAGAATATGACTTGAGAATTGTGTTTGGACGCGTAGGCAAATTGAATTAGTCCAACAACACCCTTGATATTTGGGTCGAAGTAATTCAATGGCCGGTTGAAATCAACTGCCCACTGACAATGCAGAATATGCGTTACACTGTCCTGCAAATCATGATAAACCTCTTCAGGGAGTCCGAGGAATGACTCTGACAGATTTGCAATCCTAAAATTAAGTTGGACGGAGTGATTCTTACTTTCGTCGTCCAGGGAGCGCTGAAGACAAATTTTCGACTCGTTTGTTCCACTTCGATTGAGACAGGTGATTTGTCTGACTTCCTGGCGGCGAAGAAGAGATCTCAATATATGTGATCCAACAAACCCTGTGCTACCAGTCACAAGAACATGATGGCCACGGTTGGTGGAATCAATTGGCTGCCTGTTTCTGGGAGTATCGGGTATTGCCTTGGAGTATCTATTGACCCCTTAGCATACACAAAAAATATCACATTCAGCATTGAATAGGGGCTTACCTTTGCAGAACCTCTTTAAATTCGCTTGTCTCTTGCAAACTATGACCAAGTGGGCTTTGAGGCCCTATCAAAAATTTCGCAAGCTTTTGAGGTGTTTGGTTACGATAAACAGCGTCGACCTTGATCTTGTGCCCAGGTTGTCCAGTATGCCGCACAAGTGCCTTTCCAACAACGGCAGCTAGGATTTGTGCTTGTACAGAATCAAGTCCTGCAGCAAAGATGTCTGTCTGTTCGTCTAATTTGCTGTCTTTTGCCAGAATTCTTTCTACCAACCGAGTCAGATCGGATGCAAGCGACTCCTGCGAGGTCAGGTCTAAAGTAAGGTCGTTCAAGCCCTTCACATTCGAGGGATCCATAGAACGGTACAGCTCATCGATCTCGGTCTTGTAGAGCTCAAGTGTTCTGTTACGATGGAGTGTCCCTTTTGGTGTCCGAATAAATGCTCTGTCTGGGGCGGCAATGAGAATCAATTCCTCGTCGATCTGCGCATCTCGAGAACTTTGATCGTTCTCAATACTCACCGCCTCCTTGAATGGCCCTTTGAGTTCAAATGGGAGACCACTGTTGTAGTTCAGACTATGGTCAGGGTCGTCGAGCTCGATTAGCATTCCTGGGCGCGGTTGCTTGTTGCCGATCACCAAAGCGGCTTTGATTCCAGGAATGCCACTGACTCGGCTTTCGACTGGCATTGGGTTCATCTTCTCACCAGTGGAGAAGACGACCAAGTCATCAATTCTATATCGATACTCCCAATAATCTGGGATCGATGGATGCTTTCGAAACACGTCTTTCGTAGACCATTCGTCGAGATCAGGAAAGTTCTCAAAGACGCCTTGATATGGTTTGCAAGAATTCTGCCGATGGAGAACCAACTCATAGTCGGTCGATTGCTCCGATGAATCTTGCAAGAGCGGACGCCATTGTATGCCATTCCAGGTGTGGAAGTGGTAATAGTTCCAGTATGGTGGATCGGTTGGGTACTGAAGAAACGATCCACATTCAGTGCTTCCCAAGCCCACAAACAGTCTCGTTTTGGTGACGATTATGTCCCCTGCGGTTTGAGCAACTTGGCCTATATACAAGTCTGAGTCAGTTGCCGCCTCATTTCAACCCTGCTTCGGGACTCTTGAATACCTCCACCCGAGAAGATACAGCGTAGCTGGGATATATCTTCTAGCACCTCGGGATCTCGCGCTATATCTTCAACGATAGAGGGGGGGATAAAAGCCGCTTCGAGAGATCGAACTCTGAGTGCGTCACGTAAGACTGAAATATTCGGAGGTTGACGGGGATATCCAAGTAGAAGAACACTGCCCGAAATCAATATATAACAGCTTAACATAAAGCCCGCAACATGGAAAAGGGGAAAAGCCATGTAGACAACTTTGTATTCGGACACAACTTCAAGCTGACTCTTGATAGCTTTGGACTCCTTCTGCGATAGAAGGCGATGTGCATCAATCGCGGCCAATGCAGAGTGGGCAAACGGCACAAGCTTGGGCATGCCCGTAGATCCGCTTGTATGCAATATCTTTTCGCTTGTTAGGAGTTGGGGTGCAAGGGGGCGAAAAATATAGGACTTACTACTATTGGAAGAGATGATAGTGTGTTCCAACTTCCTTCATATGGGAAGTGCTCTACTGGGTCCAAATCGCCGAGCAATTCCTCCAGGCCACTGACCTGAAGTATATCGACTCTTTGTTTCTGGAAGATCTTATTCGCCGTTTCCGCAAACTCCGAATCGTATAACAAGAGCGAACACTGGCACTCTTGCGTGAGATTTTCATAAATCGAGATACTTGCTCTTGGGGAAAGTAAAAGAATCTAGCTGATTTAGTAGATATAGCAATCTTGTCCTGCGCTATTTTGTACATACCCTAGCTTGTAACTTGGCTATCGCCAATGTAATTAAAATATGCCTGAAATCACTCGGGCCCAAATATCTGCTCGCACGTTACATGAGCGATCATATGCAAAAGACGGAGTGAGTGAGGCGTACGCAACGGATGCTTGGGATGTAAGACCACTTCGATGTAATTTCCAGGATAGTTTGTTGATCAAAATCACCAACTGCTGGTAACTCAAAGTCACAATTTCTGGCGCATGGGAATCGCCATCTTCCGGGATAAGAAGCTGATGAACAGCCAACTTGCGGGGGTTCTGGGAGGCTGTGGCTTCGATGTAGTTGAGCAATAGCCGCTCCCCAGCCTTTCCATAATCGGGGAGCTCAGTAGTCATGGCAAAAATGGTATGAATGCTTGTCAATTTCTGAATGTTGGGATGACTTCTCGCGTTCGTTCAGGATCCTTCAGGTCATATATAGACGCGAAGTTCCGTCGGCAAAACGTCGTATTACTGGTGTTTATCAGCTAGTAAAAAAACTGAGAATATCACCAGACTGATGACACTTGGCCTTTGCGAAAAAAGAAACTTGGAATCTTTCTACGCCGTAAGTAAGCAAATGACTGCATATATAGATTGTACAACAGGCAATAGTAGGCGAAGAGGCTATGCGACTGGACATGAGTGTTGACACCCCCACTTAGCTTGCCACTAATACTACCTTGTAAAACGCATTTCATGAATGAACCCGGCCTCAACCACCACTAGAAGCAAGTTTTTTCGGGGAAAGGCCGTATTCTCTGTAGACTCTTGGACCAGTACCTTGGACCTGGGCACCTGATATATGTTGGATTAGTAATAAAGATAGGTAGTTATGCATGAAGTTTATCTTGCCTGTAGAAGATTATGTAATCTACGGTGTGGGGGACTCATCTATGTCTACTGATCCTAATTAGAAAAAGTCACATTTTTTTGGAATGTTCGTATTGTGTAGTGCTTTTGGCCCTAATGGACTATGGAGGTCCCAGTGGGCTTTCACCCTGGGCCTATAGCCCACCGGTGGACCCTTAGATAGGGCCCGAAGCCCAGCCCAGTTGTGGACATATCCAAAAATACGTATATCCCCCCTCACCCCAAATCTCCTACTTATTCTCAACTGAAATACAGCGGGAGACTTCTAGGCCATCCTGCTTATATTAGGCAGTGTCTCTGAAGACGTTCGCTGGGGAAACTCACAACTTCACCAGTTGGCGCCAAACTTTCAATAAGAGTAGTGTCGTAAGTCAAGTATGGATTCCCCAAAGACAGTTCATCATTTGGCTCTGCCAAGGAAGCCATCTGTGCCTTTTGCTCCTGTTTCACGCGGTGAATCTTGTCATCAGTCGACTCTCTCACGTAGGCCCGGTACTCAGGATTTCCTGGCAAAATCACATTATCGGCAATCACAGTTGTCCCAGGTCTCACCAGACTTAGCTCTTCACAGAGCTTCAAATCATTGACATAATGAGGCTTTGCATGATCGATAAAAAGCACATCAACTGCACCAGTTGGGTAGGTTTGTCGCAGTTTGCGGAGAGAGTCGCGACAGGGCCCGATAATGATTTCCACTACGTCGTTCAATCCAGCAAGTTCCACCAAAGCCGCAGCTATAGCGGCATACTTAGGGCTTGCCTCAAGACTCAGATATTTTCGGCCACGAGCGCGTTTTAGCGCACTACCGAACAACAAAGCAGAGTATCCCACATAGCCTCCTAGCTCAATCATGAAATCGGGTTGTAGCTCGGGAATCAGTTTTTCCGCCACGATGTTGCCCTTTTCCCATCCAACATTCATGAGAAAGTCTTCTTTATGTCCGAACTCATCGATTGCAGCCAGAATTATCTCTGGTTTTCCTTGCATTTCTTTATACTTCGGATGGGATTGGATAAACTCTAGGAGTCGCTCTTCCCGGCCGTCGTTATTCTATTCCAAAGATCAGCGCCTCAAAACGAGCGAGAACAAGCATAGATTGAACAAACACAAACAGCCTCCTGAGGCTTATATACTGCCCTCTGGTCTTCTTTCATATTGAATGTCTCCTGAAATAAAAGATGCTTCGAAATAGAAGGGTGCTCTAGGCTGAAATTGCGGGTGTTTCTATAGTTCTTGCGGAGTGGGCCTTCAAGACCTCAATTTAATATATAGCTTTTGCCTCAATTTACAAGGAAATTTACCTGCCGATTGTATCGAATGATATCACAATTCCTCGGAGTCTAGATTTTCGAATGGAACCCTCCATCCCGATCTGTAGGGTCTATTATTGACAGGATACAATTTCAATGATGATTGCATTTTATTGAACGGACCAACAAATGACAACATTCAGACAGTCCAAATAATTCAATGTATGCAGTTGCAGGGTCTCGTGGTTCACAGTTCTCGATCTCGTGCAGGACATGCAGATCATCTATTGTCGATCTTATCCCTTCGAAGTGCCTGCCGCTGAAGAAATATCGATGTATAGTCTGCCGTGCTATGTAATAGTTCAGAAAAACAGCCAGGTTCTGTACCATGTACAACCTTGACTCATGCCGTGCTATGCAATACGCAAAATGCCTGACTTACTTTTCCAATGAGTATACAGATGGTCGGCATCAAGAAGCGCAGACAGTCTTCAAGAAACCTTGTGAAAAAGCAAAGATTGGTTCTGAGGCCTACGGGGTACAGTCTCTGGCCCCGCAAGATCATATGGTATATGAGCGACAAAAGTTCAATTCCCTAGATTCTGATCCAACTCCTCAAATAGGCGATTGTTACTCGCTGGGAAACCCCTAAAGTTTGGTGTCTCTGCTTTTAACTAAAGTGTCATCACCGCGGTTGCTCTCTGCAGTGGTACCATCAATTTTCCATCGCGAATGGCAGTGTAGATTACTGAAACTCTTGTGCCAATAGTTTTATTGTTCTTTGCATCTTCACTATCTCCGGGATGGTCCACAAGGCCTTGATGCAGTGGGACATGCAGGGTTTGACGTACCCAGAGATAAATTTCTTTCGTGGACGTTGCCAAATAGTCAGGGGTCGATTGCTTAATGAGAAATTGGTGGCGAGTTTCTGCATGCGCCTTCTTCAAAAGAGAAGCAACCCCAACCCTCCATTTCGGAAATACTTTCAACGAATTGAAAGGCAAACATGACTCGGAAGTTGTTATCTGATCAATGGCACAATGGGCTGAGTCCGCGGCAACTTTCTCGCATCGAGTTTCAATCTCGTCTGAGTCATTATGCGCATCCCATGACTCAGTGATAGCGACCCATAGTGTATCAAAATCTGGGATCTCCCCAGCGCACCATAGTTCTTGGTAAAGATCGTGGAGCGCTACCTTTGCAGTGGCAAAGAATTCCAGAGTCATAGCTCGTAGATCGAGTGCTTGGCAGAGAACGTAAAGATGAGCTGCACACATCATGGTGACAATGTCAACACCTTCCTTGACGTATCGGCATGCAATTAAAGCCAGTGAATTGACTGATTGGTTGTTCATATCAGCCACATGCACATGACTGACAACGGAATTGCCCAAAAATGCGAGTTCCGAGAAGTAGGCCGACATATTGATGTCAATGCCCTTGCATGTAAATGAGATACTCGGGTCATCGAAGCACAGATTAGGTGGCAATCCTTTGTTCAGATTTGGGTTGATGATCTCCTGGCACTGTGATACAAGAAGCCTGCCGAGCATCACTAGTGCTGTTTTAGCTTTTTCCATGGCGCTCGTAATTGATGCAGCTTGGAAATTCCCCCATGGTGGAAACGATCTTGTGCTACATCAATAAGTGGATTATCAGTCGTGGAATTCAACTCGATGGTGACCTGCCGGTTGGCCAGTAGGAGATCTTCGATCACAGGCCCAAGCCACTGGGGCGCTGTACGCAAAGCGTATCGATCCTGAGCAAGACCTTGCCTGTGAACGTTCGTCCTCTGTGCCAACATAGTTCCAGCCAAGAGCCCGCTGATATTCCGGGCCACTTCTATCTGCCCCGGATGTGGCCGGCACTGTGAGATAAAGTCATCATAATTGTCGACTGATCCGAGAAGTACCTCCGTTGCCATTGCGGTGAGTACCTGGGTCAAAACAGCGAGATTGTTGACATCATGTAATGTGAGCGCCGCAGCCGCGGCACTCGGTGCAGTTCCATTCATGATGCCAAGGCCTTCCTTGGCTCTCAGGGTCAGAGGTGTGATGTTGGCTCGACGTAGCGCATTTGCAGCTGACATTACCTCAACCTCTTTTCCTGTTTTTTCATTGCTGGGAGACCCCTGTCCCACCTGCACGAAGATGTCGGGACTTCCCTCAATCAATCCACCAAGATAGGCAAGAGGTGATAAATCCCCAGATGCCGAAATACTACCCCGAAGAGGAATGAGTGGAGTAATTCCAAGATTGAGGGCCTGAGCCAAGAGCTCAATGACCTCCATTCTGACAGCTGAATGCCCCCGAAGCAGAGAGTTGCATCGCAGGAGCATTGTACCTCGCACAATCTCTCTTGGCAGGGCGTGGTGACTAGCATCATGAGGCATAGTATACGAATCATTTCCATGTTCAGGCAGTGAAATAAGAATACCGGATTGATGATGCTGTAAGAATGCTTTTTGGAGCAAATTCAGTTTTCTCGTCCGTGTGTTTGCATTGCCACCGCAGCCAGTATTGACCCCTGGGTGGATCAAATCGATTAGCAGCTTCCCAATAAGCAGAGTCGAATGATGTTTAGTGTACCGTAGATAACTTCTCCATTATTCAAATGCAAGTTCAGCGTAGCAATGCTTTCCTGAACACGCGTCACAATGGGATCGGACTGCAAAATGGAAGCATCCACTGAGAGCCTAAGGAGATACCCTGGAGGTCAAAATCTGGACGTCTTTAAGTTTGCTGGGTAATTTACCTTGCCACAGCAACAATATGGGCCACTTGCAATGATTCGGGCTCTCCGTCCAATGTCACCACGCTAGCGCTGCTACTATTCTCATTGAGAATTTTCCAAGCCTTGCGAACTTCATCAAGGTGAGTGGGCATGATTGACTTGTCTTGCAAAAAGGAGACAGGTTTTCCAAAGATGAATATGAGAGAAAAACAGGTCAACTGTAACGAGATATTTTTGCGAATAGTAGCTGATAGTAAAGTTTGAGCACATATATAATGGAATTCAACCAAGACATCAATTTTATACTTTCTCTGCCCTCATATTCGCGTAACAACGCATATATACAGTTCCATATTTGGATCATTCTGTCTCTGAACAAGTTTTTGCAGGTGCATATTGTCAGGTACTCTATTCCTCAGCCAGATGATCGACTGTATCACCAGATTACGCCAAAGTCCTGGAAAGCAAAGTGGGACCCCTATAGATGCATTCGAAGAACTGATGTAACCCTCCAAAAGGGTGTGAGGTCAATCTAGATATTAAGTAGAGACGGACAAAAAGACCAGACCTGATCTTAGCCTGTCAATCACAGGTCCTAATCTCCTTTCTGTTTCAAAATGACGCCAGATGAATTCAATGTCGAAGTTCTCATTGTTGGCGCGGGCCCTGCAGGGTTTGTGTCCCATGTGGAATGAGTTGTATCATACCTTACTAACAAATTTCTTGTAGGCTCATGGCCGCGACCTGGATGGCACAAACAGGAATCAAGACCATGTTGGTTGACCAAAAAGGACTGAGAACCCAATGTGGGCATGCAGACGGGATTGAGAGTCGCACATTGGAGATATTGGACAGTTTCAGGCTGGGAGAATCTATCTATAGAGGTGCCAATCTCACAATTGACTTGTGCTTGTGGGTAAGTGACGGTGTATCCCTTCAAACTTGAAGAACCCAAAGATGGCTTTTTTTCTCTGTCTTTTGCTCTAACCTTTGAGTACTATGCAGAATCAGTTGGAGAATGGCGATATACAACGTCAGACTGTGCTCAATAATGCGAGTCCGGGGCTTTCCCGATATCACGAAGCCACCTATGGGCAGGCAAAGATTGAGGAAAATTTCTTGAAATTTCTTCGGTCCAGCAACTCAGTCGAGGTTCGGTGGAACACGGCGCCTGTCAAATTAGACATTCTGCAAGACTACACAGACTATCCCGTGCGAGTGGTGATACAGACAAAACAGTCGAATGCAGAGGTGTGTACTTTTTGTTTCTCGCTCAATCGTGAGCAAAGTCTGACATTTTTCTTAGTGTACCTTAGCCACGGTCAACGCCAAATACGTGGTTGGTTGCGACGGAGCCCGAAGTTGGGTCCGAAAACGACTCGGTCTTACGCTTGAAGGAAATCATGTGGACGAGAATTGGGGAGTGATTGATGTGATACCTGCGACCAATTTTCGTGAGCTTGACTTGTTAGAGCCTTTCCTCTGACTGATCACTAATGGAATTCGAAGCCGACATCCGTAAAAGATGCATTATAAAATCCGAGGCTGGTCACTTGATGATTATACCACGAGAAGAAAGACTAGTCCGATTTTATGTTCAGCTTTCTCCCGGAGCTGCCGCGCTGTTTAGGGCTGAATATCATCCGAAAGCCCTGGTCGCGATTGTGAAAGATATCCTGCATCCATATAGCTTCGAAGCGCCTTATATTGAATGGTCAACCATATACACAGTTTGTTCAATCCCGTCTCTCATAGTGCTATAACAGGAATCTGACATGACCTTATACAGGTTGGTCAAAGGCTGTGTCCCGCTCTATCCAAGCATAACCGAGTGTTCCTGGCTGGTGATGCGGTACATACTCATTCCCCTAAGGCTGGAAAGGGCATGAACGTCAGCATCCAAGACACATACAATTTGGGCTGGAAATTAGCTTCTGTCATTAAAGGAAAGACCATACCAAGTATCTTGCATACATACCAGGCCGAGCGCGGTGCAGTCGCGAGAAGACTAATCGCCTTTGACAAACGGATGGTCATGGGAATCGGGGAGAAAGAACCGAACTCAGATTCCACGGAGCAAAAAGAAACTACTCTTCGTGCAATTCTCAAGGAAGAGAATACGTCTGAGTCTGGGTCGCGAACCTACTATCAACCCAGTCTGCTTGTAACGCGAACATGGGACGACAGACCAACCGGGAAGCGCCACATGCTAAAGCCGATGCTCCCATACAGCAAAACCAATCTTGCCACAAAGATTGCTCTGGGGGCAAGACTACCTAATGTAGAAGTCTTGTGTCAGAGTGACTCTCGTCCTTATCATATCCAGCGACTGCTTCGGAGTACCGGAGAGTGGTACTTGCTAATCTTGGGCGGTGATATATTACAGAAGTCTCAAATGGTTCGCCTCGAAAGTCTTGGGCTGCAACTTGGGCGAACCGACTCTCTAATCTATAGAATCAACCAGCAAAATGATTCAGTCGGTAAAATTTCGACTTATCTAGTTCACTGTGCTCCCCGAAACAAAGTCGAGCTGATGGAGTTGCCGCAAGTCTTCATACCATTTGACAGGAAGCTTGGATATAATTATTGGAAGGTTTTCGCTGATAATGAGCCGTGCAGCGAGGAATGTGGATCTGCTCATGAGTTTTATGGCGTCTCGGCGGAAGGGTGTATGGTTCTCGTGCGTCCTGACCAACATGTTGCATTTATTGGGTCGCTGGAGGACTTGCCTGAGGTCGAAAGTTTCCTCGGAAACTTTATGATTGCCAGTGTAGAAGGGACTGAATGTCAAGAGTGAAGCCGACAATGGAGGACCCGGGATTTTAGATTTGGATACTTGATATATCGAGATTTGGACAAAGGCGAACGGACTGATATTGGATTGAGCAGCGCTTCATATAATAGTTTAGCTTTCTGGATTCTCTCTTTTAGTGCCAAGTATAGCAGTAGCCTATCTTTGCCTTGAGTCAGACAATATATTACATGCTATGAGTGACCAAGCCGCGAAAAACATGTCTTATCAAACCAGGCCACCGTGGAAATAAGGTATGAACATCGTGCAGTGCGGTTGCGCCGTATACTAACATCACCACTGTTGATACTACCTTGTACCTCAACAATGGCACAGTCACGAGTGGGTACTTCCAAGGTTGTTTGGGAATGTCGCAACGCCCACAAGGTTTAACTGCACTATGTACGGTGCCCTGTGTGGGTAACAGCGCCACTTTGGAGTGCTCGAAAGTGCTTGGTAGTAGGCCCATACCTTATCATGATACTGAGAGGGATGGGGTACTACCTACGTATCTGCAATGAACTGTGGACACAACATGAGTGCCTCTGATACATTTCAAGGGTGGCGTTTTCCAATTATAAATAGACTATAATTGAAAATACCATAACAATCCGATGTAGTGTAGGGGTTATCACTGTGCTCTTTCACAGCACTAACGGGGGTTCGAATCCCCCCATCGGAGACTTTCTTTTTTGCTTGGTCTTTTTTTTACACCATTTTTTCAGTATCCATTCATTTATATGCGCACATCATAAATTTCATAATAATAAGTTCGTGGAATGAGCAATTCAATTGTGCGATTATCATTATAACCAGAAATGGGCCATTATATGTATGTTGTACCTCGATACCACATAACCCGGGGGAATCTATGCCAGGAAACTATGGCTAATTGTGATATCGCCCTAAGAAATTACCAGCTATAGGCCGATGCGTATCTCTGGATAGTGGTCATTAAACATCGGGGGTATACAAGAGCTCTTCCCTCTCGAAGGTGTGATATTGTCCGTGAGGGTCGAATATTCCTAGGGCTAGTCTATGCCCCGGGCCGGTGCTGATGAACTGGTACACATGGACGATCATATGCGGTTACCTTGGTATATTCTTTGGGGATATAGAGACTAGATGACCGTGTTAGATCGCGTGATAGGGGGCATAGCCAAAGGTTATACTCCCTCTACCTTGATTTTGCCGAAATAGAAGCAGAGAGAGTGTGTGTGTGTGAGAGAGAGAGATATATATGTACACATATACCCGTGTACACGGAAACCAAAGCACCGAGAGCCTCTGCCTTTACATATGCATAGGAGCTACTAATAATATAGCTACCTCACTCATATATAAAGATGGTATCCTGAACTGGATAGAGTCCTGAGTACTAAACGCAGAGGACTTGTCCTCGGGGTGCCTTCTGTGGTTCCTGTCGTATCCAACTGTTCTTACTCATGCTTAATGTTTGAGCATCAGTCTCTCAGGGTTTGAATTAACGACATTCATACTTCCAAGTCAAATCACATTGTCCTCACTTGAATTGCGTTATTCTAGCAAAACATAGTAATTTTGGAACAAGTCAACTGCACAATAAATGGCAAATTAAGCAAAAGGACATAAGTATTGTTAGAAGAACAAAAAATACATAGCAATCCGATGTAGTGTAGGGGTTATCACTGTGCTCTTTCACAGCACTAACGGGGGTTCGAATCCCCCCATCGGAGTTTCTTTTTTTTTCCTTTTGCCTAGTCTTATTGATTTGAATTATGGTATTGTTTTTGCTCTTCTTTTTTTCGTTTAAATATTCCAAACCTCTTGAAATGTCTCCGTCCCTTTCATTTGAATCGAAAATGGTTGTCGTCCACTTCAACAACCTCCTTCCGCTAGCTCAACGTGAGATACTGCGAATGCCCAGGTGATTAAATTGCTGAGGTATCGTCAATATTACAGCGATTTCTCCAATCGGTGTAGCCGGCCATCTCTCCGCATCAATGTAAGCACAGATGCTACCTACCTAGGCAGTCTTGAAGGTATTCAGCCTAAAGCAGTCCAAGAAGTGACCTAGCCCTGAAGATACATGTCACAACAGGAAAAGATCTACATACTAGTCGCCCTCGGAGATTCGTGCATTATTCTGCGCATTAGCCTGCACGACGCCTTGTTTCCCCATGTTCCATTATTGGTAAACTGCCAGTCGTATAACTACACCCGGGGAAAGTTGTCCACTCACGGACGGAACCCTCCACCTGGGCGCCATTGGTGCACATGTAAACGCTTGGCTCGTATATTGACGGTAGATTACCGTGTCGGATTTGGCCATTTTCACTTGGAATCTGCAGTCCAGGCAGCGAAATTGGACAGATGTAACCTTGATATATTCCATATTGAAATTTTTCACGCACAAACCCCGATTAACGAGGGCAGTTAGAGTGAGAAAGCACCGGCAAATGTATGCGCATTTTGAAAGCCACTGGATTTCAGGGTTGTGACTATGTACTGCACGCAACTGCCAGAGAATGCGGGGATCCTGCACGTTTGTCGGTAATATTATATCCTAGTAACATCTAACGCAGGTCACATTACCGTTGAGCGTTCTTAACACCAAATTTGCATAGGCCGCGACGTATCGGGTAGCATAATCTTGAAACGCCGGCTTTGCCGTGCTGCCAGGGCCCTCTCCATTTGGAGTCTCGTCCTTAAACTAGACCCCGCAATGCGACAGCCACTTGGCATGTGCAGGTGTCCTTCATCTTCTTTGACTTTAACATACTACTTCGGAACAATAGAGGTGCCATGTCTCCACAAATCAGACCATCGCCCTTCGATCTACTATGCCTATTTCGGATGCCCAACTATCAGTGATCTATGCTTAGTTTATTGGTAGTCCGTACGAGGCCGGCTCGTATGAACGGAACCTTGGTCTTGAATTGATGTGCTATTAGCAGAGAACTGTGCCAAACGCTATGTCAAAATAGAAAATATGTTCTATACAGAATAATCCATATCAAAACATTATTAGGTACTGCAAGGGCATTGCTCCGATAATACCCAGGTCTCGGACTGAAACGTTTTGTGTCCGAAGGGCCCGTAGAACAATCCTCCGTGTTTGGGCTTAACGCCTTGCGGATTACCCTTCACACAAAACGCCTTCCGGCGGTTTGATGTCGGTGGAGGAGCGCCGTGGCGCCCATTCCACCACACGGCGCTCTTGGCTGGCTCCAACCCCTTCAACCCCACAAAGTGTCTCATGATCCTTCAGCACTATGATAGTTAAATTTTTATAGCCAAAATTTTGCCCGGACAGTACCGGCCCTAATACCCAAATGAAGGATCGACAGGCAACATACCTTGAAGCGTCTTAATGTGTAGTCATGGCTCCCTGCACTAACAAATCCCCCGAATCTTATACAGTAATGGACAGAACTGGACCGGAAGATCCTCCGTTTTCACGGATGTTGAAACGGCTTAACCATGTTTATCCACTCCAATATCAGTCAGGATCTTGATGAGATTTCTCACAACGGTCGTTCAACGATGATCATTCCCTTCCTGATTCAGGCTCCGGTTCCACTCTCAAATCAATGTACGACAACGGAGATCATTCAGTATGAGAGTTGATTCTGGAGTCATGATTGTGGACTCTCCATCCCGAATCGGTGACGGCCTCACGGTCCGTCACACCGGTCATGCTATGCAGAGAGGACTCTGGGTCAGCCTCGTATGATAATGACTTAGAGGAATCCGAGGAACGAAGACATATAAAGATCCATTCCCACCCCGAGATTATCTCTGTTCATCAACTGCAGGCCAGACAACAAGATAACAAGACGACATTGCAAATCAATCATTTCGCTTCACCAGCAATGTATCAACGCGCTCTCCTCTTCTCCGCCCTGGCGGCGGCAGCCCGTGCTCAGCAAGCTGGCACATTGAAAGATGAGACTCATCCCTCTTTGACCTGGCAAAAGTGCACCGCCGATGGCACTTGCGCTGACCAGAAGGGCTCTGTTGTCATTGACGCCAACTGGCGCTGGCTCCACTCTACCGACGGTTCCACCAACTGCTACACCGGAAACGAGGTAAGAAACCCCGAACTCAAAGGATGAGTATCCAGCTTGATTGACCTTTTCGATAACAGTGGGATGCAACTCTCTGCCCTGATGACAAGACTTGTGCCACCAACTGTGCCCTCGAAGGTGCCGACTACGCCGGAACCTACGGTGCGACCACCGATGGCAACGCCCTCTCTTTGGGCTTCGTCACTGGCGCCAACATTGGCTCTCGTCTGTTCCTGATGGAGGACGAAAGTACCTACCAGATGTTCAAGCTGAAGAACCAGGAGTTCACATTTGATGTCGACGCTTCCGAGCTTCCCTGCGGACTCAACGGAGCTCTGTACTTCGTATCAATGGATGCCGATGGTGGCCTGGAAAGGTTCGAAGGCAACAAGGCAGGTGCCAAGTACGGAACTGGCTACTGCGACTCTCAGTGCCCCCGTGATCTGAAGTTCATCAACGGTCAGGTGAGTTTTAATATCGGTCAATTTGAACACCTTGCGAGGAAATGACTAATGCGCAATACAGGCCAACGTCGACGGCTGGGAGCCTTCTGACAACGACAAGAATGCCGGTGTTGGCGGCCACGGAGCCTGCTGCCCCGAGATGGACATCTGGGAGGCTAACAGCATTTCCACTGCCTACACCCCCCACCCTTGCGACAGCCCCGAGCAGGTCATGTGCGAGGGCGACGACTGTGGTGGAACTTACTCCTCCACCCGCTACGCCGGAACCTGCGATCCCGATGGATGCGACTTCAACTCCTTCCGCATGGGTAACGAGACCTTCTTCGGCCCCGGCATGACAGTCGACTCCAAGTCCAAGATGACCGTGGTCACTCAGTTCATCACCGCCGACGGCACCGACTCCGGCGCCCTCAAGGAGATCAAGCGCATCTACGTTCAGGACGGAAAGGTTATCGCTAACTCTGCCTCTGAAGTCGCCGGTGTTGAGGGAAGCTCTATCACCGAGGAGTTCTGCGCAGCCCAGAAGAAGGCCTTCGGCGATGAGGAGAGCTTCACTGCTCACGGTGGTCTGGCTGGTATGGGCGAGGGCTTGGACCAGGGCATGGTTCTCGTCATGAGCTTGTGGGACGATCACCATTCTAACATGCTCTGGTTGGACGGCGAGGCCTACCCTACTGATGCCTCTCCCTCCGACCCTGGTGTTGCCCGCGGCACATGCGACATCACCTCCGGCGACCCAGAGACCGTTGAGAAAGACTTCGCCTCCGCCAAGGTGATCTACTCCAACATCAAGGTCGGCCCCATTGGCTCCACCTTCTCTTCCTAAAGAGTAAAAATGACAGGCCCTTGCTGAAACTCAACTACACCTGGAATGTGGGGTCTCCGTGCTGTATAAATCCCTGCGCCAGTGGCAGCAAAGGCCCGATTTGAAGGAAAATGGTGAATGATATATAGGGCTTCTTTCGTTGATAGTTTTCTGTATTCTTGATTTCATTTTGTCTCTCTTTAGAATCAGAGTTGTTTATCAGAATTGAATTGATTTCATTCGCCAGTTTGAGCAAGTAAAAAGGCGGTAGATACATTCTCGGCCCGGCAGAAAAAAAAAACGGCCAGCTCTAAAGCTCCAGCTTTCGCAATTGGCTCTCTTGGTTTATTTACACGAGTTCAGATCTTTTACCAGGCTCACTAGAAGCCTTCATATTTTGTGATTTTTACTGCCACAATCCGCAATCATGTTCGACACGGTCTGCACGCTTCCGCTTTCCTCGGACGTGTTCGCTCAAGCTATCCACCCCGAGGAGCCCGTAGTCTCTGTCGGTCTGGCCTCGGGTCACGTCCAGACCTTCCGACTGCCTTCCTTAGAAGCGGAGGATGATGATGATGCCGCCTCGAATTCGTCTGCCCGGACCGGAAAGGGTCACATTGACACAATGTGGAGAACTCGGCGACACAAGGGTAGTTGCCGCACCCTAGGGTTTGGCATTGATGGCAAAACGCTTTACTCGGCTGGTACAGACGGTATAGTGAAGGCTGCAAGCAGTGAGACTGGTCAGGTGCAAAACAAGATTGTGATTCCTCTTGAGAAGAACGGGTAAAGCTTCCCCGAATATAAACGTTGCAATCCAGACCTTTGCATTTAACTGACCTGTGTTTTTCCCGATTTCATATAGCTCTGTTGATGCGCCAACTATGCTTCACGCCCTCTCTCCTCAGACTCTACTCCTCGGCACTGACTCAAGTGCTCTGCACATCTACGATCTCCGCATTCCCTACTCCAAGGTGTCTGCGCGACCTGAGCAGTCGCACCACCCCCACGACGACTACATCTCTTCTCTTACTCCTCTGCCGGCTTCCGAAACTAGTACGTCAGGCTTCAGTAAGCAGTGGGTTACAACTGGTGGAACGACCCTGGCCGTGACAGATCTCCGGAGGGGCGTTCTGGTGCGTAGCGAGAACCAGGAAGAGGAATTGGTTAGTTCCGCCTTTATGCGCGGTCTACCTTCGAGCGGAACCAGCCGGGGCGAAAAGCTCATTGTTGGTGGAGCCAGCGGTATCATGACTCTCTGGGAGAAGGGCGCATGGGATGACCAGGATGAGCGGATCTATGTTGACCGCACCGATGGCGGAGATTCCATCGAGACAATGACAGTTGCGCCCGACTACTTGGGCAAGGTGGTGGCCGCAGGTCTTTCAAACGGAAAAGTGAAATTCGTGCGCATCGGACCCAACCAAGTCATCTCTGAGGTTGTGCACGATGAGGTCGATGGTGTTGTGGGCTTGGGCTTTGACGTGGAGGGCCGTATGGTCTCTGCTGGTGGTCAAACAGTTAAGGTGTGGCACGAGGCTGAGGACAATGCCGGTGGATCTGGCGACGAAGACATGATGGATGATAGTGATAACGATAAAGATTCGGATGACAGCGATGCGGAACGTCGCGAAGATCCGAAGGACCGAAAGAAGCGTAAAAAGTCCAAGGGCAAGGACCTCAGTGGTGGACAGCATGTCATGGCCTTCCATGACCTGGACTAGTGTCTTAATACCCCATATCTGATACCCACATTTGCAGATCAATTGTTCAGCCCCAAACAAGAAAAAGTGTATACATATAGCGTCGGTGTTAGGGTTTCCAAGAGCCAATTGAAGGGAGAGTATCTATTCGTAGGTGGCGAGAAATAATATACTTCGTACCTATGTAATCTTCCCTGTTCATCACCGGTAGACCTCCGCAAAGGCCATAAAGCCTACAACCCAGCCCAACCCGAAAATGGGCTGGGACCCAATAAGACCCAACAGGCACTGAACGATGCAAATATGCCAATTATTCGCAGCTGTATAAGTGATGTAGAGCCTGCCAGTGATTTTGGGTATTCTAATTACTCCCCAGCTCCCAAATTATAGATAATACGATGATTCAGAAAAAGAAACAGCTGCTGACCCCTCGAGACGGTGGTAATGAAGAGATCTGAGGTAGGTAAGATTGCCATGATCACGGCATATACTAAAGCCTCAGGCCCCGGAGATCCCTAGCATATATATATTCCGTACTCCGTAGGCTGAAACATACTGGACGTGAAAGAGAATTATTAATCCGCTATTTTATCCACGTATGCCAAGACCGTATTCATGCGTGATAATGGGCACTGATGGGGCCCTTAGGGGCCCCATTGATGGGCTCTGGGCTAAGCTGGGCCTTGAAGCTTGGCCCATCGGCCACTGCTGGCTGGGCTTTGGGCCCGGGGCCTAGGCCCATTTGTGGGCTTTGCGGAGGTCCAGTCTGAGGATGCATTACATGTTTTTTTTTTTCCTTGTATGGGGAAGACACGTAGAAGAATAGAAGAACAAAATAGAACTGTGCAACCAGGCTCTATAGAAAGCGCACGGGCTATACCTATAGAAGAGAAGAGAAGAGAAGAGAGGAGACGGAGTATAAGAGGGAGTGGAGTAGAGATCTACTAGTCTGATCTATGTGTTGTACCTTAAATGACTCTGTCAATGCCACGTGATTATGGTGCTTCAGGCATTGAGCAGTCGACATGACTGTTAGCTGCTCAATGCGTCTGTTTTGGCCCACCTGGGAATCTAAAACATCGTTACACGCACAATCGAGAAGTACTCTGATGCTAGGAGGCTTGCAATATACATTAAATTTAACTAATTGAAAAACCCTAACTTTACCAAGCCGGGGGAGCATTTTTCACAGGAGATGCACTGGGTTGATCAGGTCGAGTCTCATGGGTGATATCAATCTCATTGGAGACCATGATAGCACCGGTAGAGGTTTTGCCAGACAGAGCGCCCGGATAGGTCGTTATGTTCTGCATTTTGACATCTTCCATCATCCGTTCCTCACTCTCAGTGAATGACATGCCGATGGTCATAGGATCTGTACTCGCATCCCCGCGACTCTTTCGACTGGCGTAGTCACCTCCGCCACCAATGCTGCGGAAACCATTCGAGGGCGTTTTATGTGTCTTTTGAGACAACTGAAACTGGCTGCCGAGAATTTGGCTGAGCCAGATTCTGAATAGGTGGAAGATCATGGGGAGATTGGTCGTGACGACTGCGACGAATGTTTCGCGAGTGCCCCATTCATCAGCGAGTTTTGCACCATTTTCGGGCTCCTATGAAAAACAAATGAAATTAGACAAATACGTTCAAGAGGGTGCGATACGAATGTATGTAAAACTCACCACTAGAAGGAAAACACTTTTGATAGTGGCACAAACAAGAATAAAGACACCCGCGCTGAGTACGATAGTTGCGGCGATCTTTTTCAAAGGCTTCAGACTCGATTTCCAAAGCATGGGAATCGGGATGAATATGAGGTATGGATCGGTAAGGAGATTTGCGGCGAAAGTTACTGCGATGACCGGCTTGGCAATGGCTGGTTGGCACACGTCTAGAGATATAGTTAGCATCCACTATCTGCCAATTATGCCAATAAGGGAGTCTGACTGCCGGGGTCCGGGTTGATCTGCCAGTTTTTGTGGAATGGTCGACATGCGCCAAAGATTGTGATGACACTTGCGAGAAAGCTGCCCAGAACAAAGGCAACTCCGACATAGATGGGGATTCGATAACGCCGGCCGAGGCCATCCTATTGGGTGTCAGTTACTCGTTGCAAACCATTGCCAGGAATCGAGGGTTATTACCATCAGTCGAACGTAGAATGCCAGCATGGACAATTTGAGTGCATTAATCAGTGCCACATACGTAGTCCAGCCTGCGATTTGAATCTTGGAGCCAATTACTCTAACCAAATGGTTAGTGATCGAGTTCAAATTTGCTCTTCGGTCGACAATTGGGGGACAAGTACCTGGCGCGGTACATGGGATCGTCTGGCAATAGTGCCTCTCGCTGGGCGGCTGTCATGCCATTGTTGGCGAGGCCATGAGACACATTGCCTACACTATGTGCAAGCGACGCCTGTGCGGTGTAGAGGATCTGTATGGATTAGAGATTAGTAAGTAGTAAAATGGTATAGAATCAATTAGAGTCCCTTACAATTGCAACCCATACAAGGTAATCGTCGAGTCGTAAATTCCTCAATCCTCCGGTTTTGGACCGCGCATATGTTCTAAGAATGGTCACGGCAACACCAATTGAATATAGCGTCCATAACTCGACAGTTGCCTTGTAGGCATCTGACGCGGCATCTCGTCCCTCCAAGCCAAATGCCATGAGGTCTGAGATCTGTGAATAATAGCGGGGGTCGGGGTTTAGCGGAAGATTTACAACGCATGGAAAAGGTAAGAGGACGTGAATATCTTCGCTGTACTAGCGCAAATCCCTCGATTGCTAAATCGCAGTTTCGCCCCTAATTTGGACACCTTACTCCGTACGGAGTACAGAAAACGAGGTACGATTGGAGAAAGTCCAAGCGTCTATGCTCCATACTCGATACAATTTCCAAGGTTGAATCACACCAAAAGGGTCTGGTTCGCTCCGTTCGGAAGGAATCTCAATTGGTACCATGGTTGTGGGAAGCCACCGAATCCAGCATTGTGATAAAGTTTGACCTGAATTGGGATGGATATACGTCGATCCTTCAGACCTTCACAAGCCCTCCCTGGAGGTGCAGAAGGTTTACCGTAGCTACTAAGCGAATTCGGGTATACGACAGGGGTCTCGCTTGCCCCCTGAAGAATTTCTTTTTTAATCTAGAACTAGGATTTCATAAATTAAGTGGCATTCCTTCTAAATTAAATCCCTAGAATCTAAGACATATACTTGGACAATGTCCACTAGCGAGATGCGGGTGGATCTTGTGTGAAGCGCGTTGGATGCACTACCCCCACAAGTTTGGGGCCAAACCGGATGCCATGTCCAACCACGAGGCAATGCATGTGCCGGCCGAGCGCCAGAGTGGAACTTAATTGTCCCGAGGATTGTGCGCTTATTAAAGCTGCGATTCCGGTTGTAGCATGCATATGTACGGCGTAGGTAGCCCCTGCGTTAGCGTACGGCAGTTCTTCGACTGGGATAAATATCAAGATTGAAGGGAATAGGTTTCAAACGGGTGTATACCTAAGTAGGTACATACTTGGGTTCCGTCCGGAAGGCAGATTCACAACCAACACATAGGTGGGAACCGTATAAAAGTGGAGTCTTATGGACTTCGATGTCTTATCTTTGTCTTTTTAACAATGCCATTGAGGAATTTTCACGGACTACGGAGTGTATTGCGTTATTAAGGGGAGCCAATCTAACCGAGCTCACTCTAGGGTAGTTTTACAATTGCCGTGAAATAATATACAATAAATAGTTAGTGCACCGCAGAACTGACAGGGATTATTTCTCCAAGGCCTATCCACTTTTTTTTTCGGATATCCTCTGACGATCAAACGCAAGGGGTATTTGGTTTTTACTTTTTCCATTGTCTTTGACAATTCAGTACATTCTATTTTGAGCAATGTATTTCAAGACAGAGGTGTTCACGGCCGTGGCGGCTTGGGCACTTTCTGCCGCCTCTCTGAGTTTCTATAGCGACTGCGATTATATCGAGGGAGGTCTTTGCCCGCGAGGCGATGCTGATTTGCAGGCACTTGGAAAGCAGCTTTCGAGCTCTGCCAAGCTGTACTTCCCCGGATCGAGCGGGTTCAAGGACCTCACAACCCGGTGGTCTACTCTAGCAGAGCCTAAGGTGAACGTCGTCGTCGTGCCCGGCACAGAAAATGATGTTGTACAAACGGTGGGTAGTTAATTTTTTTTTTTTTTTTGTTGTTGTCTTTTTCTCCTTCTCTCTTTCTCTTTTTTTTTCTTTCTTTACTTTTGGATCCCTATAATGTCAATCGGGCAAAAACAGATGCTAATTGTAACGATGGTTTAGGTGAAATTCGCCAACAAGAAGGACCTGCCTTTCCTCACGTTCAATGGTGTCCATGGAGCCCTTGTTTCGTTGGGTAAGATGGACCATGGTGTTGGAATCTCTTTGAGTCAGCTGAACAGTGTCAAAATTGCTCAGGATGGAAAGACCGTCACGCTGGGTGGAGGAACCATGTCTAAGAAGGTCACCGACACGCTTTGGGCCGCAGGAAAGCAGACAGTCACTGGAACCTGTGAATGTGTCAGTGTTCTGGGACCAGCCCTTGGCGGTGGACATGGATGGCTCCAGGGCCACCACGGACTCGTCTCTGACCAATTCGTCTCGATGAATGTCGTTCTTGCCGACGGTACCTTGAAGACGATTGACCATAACTCCGACCTCTTCTGGGCGATGAAGGGTGCTGGCCACAACTTCGGCATTGTGACTTCTCTCACCAGCAAGATCTATGCAATTGAGCACAGCGACTGGGCCATCGAGACGATCACTTTCAGTGGTGATAAGGTCGAGGCTGTCTACCAAGCTATCAACGACTATTTGCTGAAGGATGGTGCCCAGCCGGCCGAAGTCATCAATTGGTCGTACTGGATGAACGTCCCTGACCTTGACGCTAATAACCCTGTCATCGTACTCTATCTCATCCAGGAGGGAGTTAAGGCCGTCGACTCAATTTACACCAAGCCTTTCCACGATATCGGAGCACTCGCCATTGTTCCCCAGGCAGGCACCTACAAGGACCTTGCTGCATGGACCGGCATTGCTCTTGACTCCCCGCCATGCCAGAACATGGGAATGGCCAACCCCCGCTTCCCCATCTATCTTGAAAAATACGATGTTGCGGCTCAGAAGATGGCATGGGACATTTACGAACCTGCCGTCCGTGGAAACTCTCCCTTCAATTTCTCAATCTTCATGTTCGAGGGTTACTCTTTTGAGGGCGTCCACGCTGTCCCCAGCAGCGCGAGCGCGTTTGCCTTCCGCAGCGAGAATATCCTTGCCGCGCCGCTCATCAACTACGTGCCTGTCGATCAAGCACTTGAGAACAAGGCCGCTGCTTTGGGTAAACAGCTTCGCAATATCCTTCACGAAGCCACTAACCGCACGGACATTCGCGCATATGTCAACTATGCCCATGGAGACGAGTCGACGCACCAGTTGTATGGCGATAACCAACAGCGCCTCCTCGCCTTGAAGAAGAAGTACGACCCGACTGGCAAGTTCAGCTTTTACGCACCGATCGAATAGATGGATTAAGCAGGGGACTTGAAGATTTGTACATATAACAACTTGTTGCAAGCATGTACAATAAGCACGTGGAGATAGGATCATTTGAATAATCTATAAACAATCTGATCCAATTTAATACTGTTTTGACACCTCCAGGGCTGTATATGCCTCAAGCACCAGGTATAACTAAATCAGGATTCATACAATGGACAAACTCTGCGCAAGTCAAAGTTATCTGAGCCTGAGCCTGGACTAAAATTCAAGCCTGATCGGACAGCTGATATAGAAAAAGCCCCACCCGGCAGTTTGGGGAAATTCATATCCGTCCATCTACACAGTCCACAGATGGCTTTTTCTGTCAATCTTTCACTATAACCGGAACATCTACGGCCGCACAAGGGGAGCCGGGAGCATTTGATATCGAACACGAAACATATGTCAACACGCCAAATCGGCCATTACATACACAGCCAACCGAACTTGCAATGATTCGGACAACGATCATAGTACAACTGCCGATCAAACCCCACGGCCCCACGGAAGGAAATGACGGCCATCGAATGCGGCGGGGTGTGGGGAACGGACTATGTATAAGATGCCAAGTCTCACCCTCAAATAGTATTAAGCACAAAATGGATACCTTCGAGTACAATCCCAACCCTGGTCGTGTCGTCTTCGGCAGTGGCACGCTACAAAAACTCCCCGATGAGATCTCTCGCCTGCAGTTGAAGGCTCCCATAGTGCTCTCGACACCCCGACAGGTTAGCCATGCTGAGAAAGTCAAAGAGGTACTCAAAGGCCAGGTTGCTGGGATCTTTACCGAGGCGACTATGCATACTCCCACGGATGTCACAGATAAGGCTCTTGGGTATGCAAAGGCCCAGGGAGCCGACTCGGTCATTTCTATTGGAGGCGGAAGCACCATCGGTCTTGGGAAGGCGATCAGCATTCGCACTGGACTGCCACATATCTGTGTTCCGACTACATATGCTGGTAGTGAAATGACCCCGATCCTCGGTGAGACCGCCGATGGATTGAAGAAGACTCGCTCCGATCCCAAAATCTTGCCCGGCACAGTCATCTACGATGTGGACCTCACAATGACCCTGCCGGCGGCCATGAGCGCCACTAGCGGTGTCAACGCCATTGCGCATGCCGGTAAATATATCTGAGTAATCTGCATCAACGCCCTGCGCACCACTAATGCGTTACTGAATAGTCGAGGCTCTCTACGCGCGCAACACTAACCCAATCATCAACATGATGGCGCTCGAGGGTATACGGGCACTTGCATCAGCTCTTCCTGAAATCGTTGAGAGCCCATCTTCCCAATCCGCACGATCCAAGGCCTTATATGGTGCCTGGCTCTGTGGAACATGTTTGGGCAGCGTGGGAATGTCTATCCACCACAAGCTGTGCCACACACTTGGTGGTAGCTTCAATCTTCCCCACGCCGAGACACATACGGCTGTCCTTCCCCATGCCATCTCATATAATGCACCCAATATCCCTGAGGTTATGAAGCAGTTGGCCGATGCCCTGCCGGATAGCAATGGTGATGCGATCCACGGTTTGAACGTTCTCTTGACTAAGCTCAAGGTCAAGCGCGGTGTGAAAGATTTCGGAATGAAGGAAGAAGACATCGACAAAGCGGCTGATATTGCACTATCCAATGCTTACTGGAATCCTCGCCCGGTTGAACACGCGCCGATCCGCGAATTGCTTCGCAGGGTTTGGGCGGGAGAGCTCGCACAGGCAAACTTGTAGATATTCTTTGATTTTTATGTTTGACACTATAAAGCGCATAAATAGCCAATTAGCCCTTGAGACCTCTCAGAATACCGTGAGTTTATCCTTTTGCCACAAAAAATTGGTCTGCTCTGCCAATAGGCTCCGTTGTATTTTCCCGTTATGGCGGGGTGAAGTGGGGGGATCTTTTTTTTTCTCCAAAAATTCCTAGTAATCTCATTCTTCACTCTCAACACCACGCTTTTTCACTCTATCTTACAAAATGGGGTCTGAAATGAAGTCGGCCCCTGTGCTGTCGACTGCCGACGATCGTATACTCGAAGAAACCAACCCAGTAGCCCTGCGAGACCCAGCAGCTCCAGTGTCAAATGATGAACTCTCCATTACCTACGATATCGAGCGCACATTGAAGGAGATCCGGCAAGCACGATACAAACGCATTGCTCTCCAATTTCCAGATGATATGCTGCCTGATGCACCGCGAGTATTTCAATTGCTCAGCCGGGGTCTGGAACGCGAGGAAGTCGGCACCAATGGCACGCAGTCCTCGAGCCAGACCGATTCTGACCTTGCTCACTCGATAACCGAGCTTCAAGTGGAGGATAAAACGGAAAAACACTCACCTCGATTTACAATTCTGGCCGATACATCTTACGGGACCTGCTGCGTTGATGAAGTGGCCGCGGAACATGTGGACGCAGATGTGGTTGTGCATTACGGGAGGTCTTGTCTGTCTCCAACAGCTCGACTACCCGTCATCTATGTTTTTACGCACAAAAATCTGCCCCTTGAGCCAGTGGTTCGAGCATTCAAGGCAACTTATCCTGACCCAACGACCAAGGTTGTCATCGCAGCCGACGTTACCTATGCAGATCACGTTCCTACGGTATACAATCGCCTAGTGGAAGAGGGTTATACCAAGCTCTATGCAACGGAGGTTGTTCATAAGCCTTCCTCACCTATTCCCAACCGTACAGTCCCTGAGTCGGTCCAAGAGACTCCTGAGACGCTGGGCGACTGGCAACTGTTTCATATTTCGGATCCGCCAACAGCTCTCATGATGACCCTTGCATCTCGCGTTGCCGCGATCCATATTTATCCCACCAATGACCTTTCGAATGAGAATATCAAACCATTGCCTGCGTCGACTGCTGCGGTTTTGCGGCGCCGCTATGGCACTCTTGCATCTCTGACGACCGTGCCTATCTGGGGCATTCTCATCAACACTCTAAGTGTCAAGAACTACTTGCATATTGTGGAACATGTCAAGGAACGAATTGCCAAAGCAGGCAAGAAGAGCTACATGTTCGTGGTTGGTAAACTGAACGCTGCCAAGGTTGCCAATTTCAGTGAAATTGGCGGTTGGGTGGTTATTGGCTGCTGGGAGAGCTCCCTGGTGGATAGCACAGATTTCTGGAAGCCAGTCATCACGCCCTTTGAATTAGAGCTGGCCTTGAAAGACGATTCAGACCGGGTGTGGACAGGAGCATGGCAGAGCGACTTCCAGGCCGTCCTCGATGCACCAGCCCAGGAGGCCAACGGAAATGGAGATGAGCAGGGGACACCCAATGGCGCAACCATGTCCGACGAGGATGACATGTCAGAACCCGAGTCGGCACCGCCCGAATTTGACCTGCGCACCGGTCGATACGTCTCAAATTCCCGTCCAATGCGTGAACCCGCGCCTCGCGCTTCGCAGGTTGATGGATCATCCACCACTGGGCCATCCGCTGCTAGGGCGCTGGCACGACGAGCTAAGGGTGACTTAGCTATGATTGGCGGTGCCGTTTCACCAGGAGCAGAATACTTGCGATCACAACGGACATGGACGGGTCTGGGTAGTGACTTTAATATTCGATATGATGAGGAAGACTCGGAGGATAGTACCCTGGTCAAGGAAGGACGCAGGGGTATTGCGAGGGGCTATACTGTAGGCGATGCAACCGACAAACATTAGTCCACATGGCCTAGCATAGCATAGAAACCAGCACTAGACTCAGCGATCAATGCAATTTATTTTGAAGAGCCAAATCCATGAACTACCTGGGCAGATCATGGAAATCTGGGGGTTTGATGGCCATCACATGACGGCTCCCAACGGGCGCATCCGGATATCACCTTGTCTCGCTCAGCTTCTGCTCTTCTCTTTTTTTTTTCTTCTCCCATCCCTTTTCTTTAGGAATATAGGGTGGGCAATAAAAGTGCTTCTTTCTTTGCCTTGCCCTTCTCTTTGGGAACTTCGTCTTTCCCCTCATTCTTATACCCTTTGCTATACCCCTCTCTTTTCTCCCTTTCCCTTCAACCACCCCCAATCCTTCAGCCCTTGCGACTTCGTCTTCTCAATTATCGATCTTTTACCTTTCATGGCCTTGCATGGTGGCTTACCTCAGGGTGTGCTTACCCCCTCGATTATATCGTCAAGTTGTCTTATCATGTGCCGCGTCTCTACCCGCCGAGCTCGCGACCTCGCGCTACCTCGATTTTCGACCTAAGAGACAATATCTTTCGTTCGAGGAGCTATGAAGAATCACGGTCTTGAAAGCATGGCTAGGGGGGATGTTGCTGGTGAGGACCCAGCGTCGTACCCGACGGTGCTGGAAAATGCCTTGCAACACTTTGTTATCCCAGAAGAACGAACCCTGTCCACTTTTGAGCGAGTGATAACAACAAATGCACCCATATTCGAGTCTCTGTTACTCCAGATTCCGACCGATACTATTATAAAGCTGTATCACACTTCACATTACCTCCGTACGTTCCTTCGATCATATCCGACCGCATGGAAGTCGCTCTCCTTTCGCCTACAATTTCCTTCAAGCACCTTACCCAATCCTCAAATCAATGACCCAAGCATCGCCGAGACAGCCCCCGCGCGTCAATCGCGACCTTATGCCCTAGATATGTTCCTGATGAATGTGGTGATTCCATTCAGTAGGTGTTTGAAAAGCCTAGAATTGGATAACACGGCCATTTCGGGAGAGAACTTGACCTCGACTGTACTGCATTCACGTCGGGAAACACTGGTACATCTCTCTGTTCGAGGTTGCAAGAATGTGTCTTTGAAATATCACATCGTTCCTTTCTTGACCATGTTCGCGCTGCAATTTGAGATTGACATGGAGAGTCACACCGGTAGTTCTCCCGGAATGAAACGACTTGCTCTCAAGAGTATCTACGCCTACCGATGTCGTCACCACAGAAGACGTCCTTATCTCTCATCTTCACTGATGCGGAAAGACGCTGACGCGGAATCGACTCATGAACTTGTCAATATCTGTCACAAGCTAGACATCTGGACTGACACCGCTTGGTGCACCACACCTGCTGGCAGATGCGCTCGCAGAGCCGGTTATGTCAAATCGAGATTCCCGCATGGAGCAGGGTCGCCCGAAGTTTGGGTAGTTTTTGATCGACTCTGGAGATCTAAAAATTGGATCGGCCCAACTGAGTCTGAGACGCCCCAGCCACACGTATACGATGGAAAGCTGTGGGAGAATCGCGATACTGGACTATATGGCGAGGCATTAGGAACGGGTGAAGGTCTCGACTGGGGTGAAGGCAAAATGACGCCTGCCCATCTGCGCCGAAGTCATACCCAATTCGTTGACAACATCCGTTGTGACAACTGCCTCGAGGATATCTCGGAGCGATGTGAGCATTGTAGCGTCTTAATGCACTGTGTCGGATGCCGTAAAACACTCTGTGCGAGCTGTGCCCACGAACGGCCATATCTTCACAGAAGCACACCGTCTTCTGAAAAAACCCAGAATGCATCGGATTCCTTCTGGTGGGCACCTGGGGCTACACACTCTCCAGGCTCAATGCATGACCCCGTGGATATTGTTGCAAATTCCAACCAAGCCCATGGTACAGGGATGGACCCACCGCCTATCCTTAATTTCCATTGGTGCTGCACCAAACCTGACCTCTCTGGGGGAGGCGGGATTAGCATTGGGCCACGCAATGGTGAGGTGGATCAGGTACGGGCTGTCCCTTTGCCCCGTGGCCAAGGCTGGGAGGACCTAGAGTACACCGTCAGTGAATGGAGCAAGACATTCCCCAAGTATGCATATGGGGATCCGAGCAAGCCGGACTATTCGCTTGAGACGGGCCACCTGGCGATGATGAAGTGGCTGCTGGGACCGCCTAATCGGGAAGTCTCACCGTGCCCGCGTAACCTATGCCAAGGATGTTACGATTCACCACAGTGGAAGGTGCATTGCAAGAGTTGTTCCAAGCCTCTCTGCATTGAGCATGATCTCCGCGGGCTTCGATTAAGGATCTGCGGCTACCGGGACCTCGAGACGGAAAAGCAAACTATTCAAAATCGATTCGCTGCAAATCTTTCGGGGTCTCTCCTTTCAAGCCTTCCCGAATACGACGACCTACTATTCAGAGGTCAACAGCTTCTTGACTCGACAAATAAAAGCTTCATTGACGATTCACGTCAAGATAGCATGGATGAGGAAAATACGCCCGAATCACACCCCGGTGATCAGTCGGCTCCGATTTCCTTCTTTTCCAACCAACCATCTCGCTCATTTTCGGCCCCTGCATCTGACCATTCTTCCCCTCCGTCATCATCATCTTCCACCTTCTTTGATTCGCCGACATTTGAACCTCCAAGATGGCAAGGTTGCCAATCTTTCTTCTGCCCCCCGACTGATCCTATCACCGGGACCAGGGATATCAGAGGCGGTATCAGGGATGCACATCCCAGATGCCCCAGCTATCTGCGAGAATGCAAAGGCTGCAAGGTGTATGTGTGCGCGGACTGCATCTATACCCACCCACCCTGCAAATGCTCGTATTGCGAGGAAAACTACTTGTGCCCTAATTGCATGACCGACCGCCCTCGTGACAGCTTGTGCCGCCGCCGCCATGAGGAAAGAGCGCAGCGTGACCGCAAATGGAAAAAGGAAATGCAGCTGCTCGAAGCCATCTTGGAGCTTAAAGTGGCTAACGAGCAGGCTGAATTTGCAGGCGAGTTCTTTGACCTTGTTGAGAGGCGCAATAGTCTACCCTCGGGGACGCTGGTCCCCTTTGATAATGGGATTGCCGATCTTTCCGAAGGGGACATTGCAGCAGCGGAAATATCCGCCTCGCACTTTGAACCCGATGACCTTGAGTGGTTCCTCCAAGAGTCTCGTTAGTCCAAGGCACTGCTCACCGTCTCTAATTCGGACTTTTGCCCTTTCGTGGCTACCAAGGTCTTTTTTCCACTTTGCTTTTTTGTTTCTTTTTTTTTTCTTTCAGTTTCTTCAGCGATCTCATATCCTGGCGTCATAGGGGGATCTACTCGTATGAAATCTTACCGCAATCTACCGCAGCGGGATCAATATCACGGTGTTCTAACTCGGTGTTGTACCGAATGAAATGGATCGGCGCATTGTCACACCTTTTTTTTTTTTTTTTTTTTGCTTCTGCCACTCGACCCCTCTTTCAAACCGGACTGAGGCTACAGTTAGTGACATGGGTCACACCATTTACCCGGCCGTTCCTCGGGAAGGGCTTACCGCGTTGACATAAATGGTCAATGGATCCAGGCACCAGCGCCAGGGCTGACGATGTGTTCGTTCTGTTTACTTTCATTCTTTGGATTAGGGGACTGGATGGCCTGGTAGGTGACTGTGAATGAATGTGCACTTCTATGGACCATGTAATGAGGGGCATATTCAAAGAATCAGGTATTATCCTACCATCTGCTCTTCTACTTGGCTCATTATCCTTGTAGTCTTACACCAATGATGGTACGTTCCTTGGACTAGTTCAACCCTTGGACCCTTGGCGAGTCCAAGGTTGTATAAACAATGGCGCCACACCCCCGGACAACCCATGGGAGCCAGTAATAATGCACCACATGCGTTGGAACAATACTTACTCCGTAAAGATAACGGGCTAGTCTAATCTAAGCACATTAAAGCATCGTCATCCGTCAGCTGGGGGAAGAAGCAAAGACCCCCCCCCGATCAAATAAGAAAACCCCACGATCGGATACCCGAACCTAGCGCCTGAAGAACAGCCCAATTACGATTTCATCATCTGACGTGACATCGACCAAAGCACCAAAAGTACCATAGCGCCCCCAGAACGTGTCGGGTCGTAGATGGGTAGAGGGATGCGGTCAACGACAACGGCCATGACACAGCGCTAGCGTATGCAAACCACGTGGATTCTTGAAATGCAACGTCTACGGCTCTGCACGTCCCGGGGCTCTTATCGGCGGTGAATACCCTGCTGGAACCAATAAGATTTGAACTAACGTGGGTAGTGATTGGGCTCTGCAGGGCCTCCAACTAGAGTTGGGCGCCTAGATGTATTTTTTTTTTTTCACCCAGAAATTTGTTTATATTGCTACGTAGGTCCGTACAACATAGAGATAATACCAATTATGGAGTAATACGGAGATAGATCTTCCGTTGATCCCAGAATATAGATCAAAGTATTAGGGTGGATCGGACGATCACTTGGGAACCGTGGAACAATCCAGTTCTACCCGCTTCCCCGGGGCCCCTTTTCATGATATTTTATATCATTACTCCGTGCTCCGTGCTCCGTACTCTGTACATATACAATGTATTGTATGTTTTATACAAGAGTAGACGGTCGTATAGGTGGCCTGATGATATCGAAAGGGCTCTTAGGTAATCATTCCAACAATCTCCCTAGTTACCTAGTTACAACATAGGTATGTAGCGGTCTTTTGAGTCAGCTTCTCAGATATTCTTCATAGATATCTGAGGATAATTTTTCCCCTTCCAAATTTATACTTGGGCAGAAAAATGCGGGACGACATACATTATGCAAGAGCATATTTATTTTTTTTATCTTTATATTTTACTCTTATTCTTATTCTTCCATATGATACGTACTATGTATCCATTCCACCCCTTAAAAGCATCCTAAGATATCCGATCGGCTGGCGCGGATGTAGCATCCTAGACCCGATTGGGTACGGGACAACTTCGGTATTCTGGAAGTAATCCTATTAGTAGAGACAAGACATATTTGGAATGTTAGTGGCGAGTACGGAGCAGAGTACAGACTGTATGTATGTGTATGTAGGGTTTAAGTACCGTACGCTAGGTCCCGTTTCTATCTGACATCATAATCCAGTAGACATATGTAGCTAGTTTCTCAAGGGGTATAAATAATAAAAAAAAGGCGCTAATTTCAGCTTGAACCCGTCACAATCGGCCTCACCAATAAGATGCGATCGATATTTGCTCCTTTTTTTTCATATTTTTCATGGGCGCAAGGCTAAGTGGTCCGATCTCCCGTTCATTTAGGCTCCAGACAAGATGTCGGTGAATGCGTTCTTGACCTTTAGACGCGTGACCGGTCTATTTCCGAAGCAAACATCATTTGACAGGGGTTGTTATATTATTGGGGAGTTTTTATTTTGGATTTTTCTGAAAGAGTAATATGAACAGGGTTTCTAGAAATTTAATTTAATTTTCTTAGTTGCGTTGTTTATATAAAGCCTTTGCTGTCGCACGTCTATTTGACTTTAACCAACTCCAGACTTTCAACCATCTTCCCCTGAAACCTATACCATTTACAACTTCCTACTTCATATTCATCATGGATAAAGTCAAGACACCCAAGGAGGAACCTCAAGAGAAGACCGAGGATCAGCCCATGACTGTTGAAGAGTACCAGAGGAAATGGGACCAGATGCTTCAAGACACCGCAAAGCAGATCGACAAGATTCGAGGTGAGTGGTAATGTGACATATGCAGAGGAGAGGACTGACAGCTATCATAGAAAATGAGCTAGCGAGGAGGTCAAATAGTAACAATCAAACGGAGCAGCGTTGATTAACGCCACTTGATTATTGTGACCGTCTATGCAAGTCGTGGGGTTTATTGAAAACCGAGCTTCTGATGCTTGCTTTTTTTTTCTTTTCTTTTTTTTTCTCCCCTCCATGGATGATGAGAGCATTGGGGATGGGATCCGATGGTGTTTTTTTTTTTTTTTTTGGGAGTACATTATACCTCGAAGCTTTGGCAATTTGTTCCAAGGCATGCATGAGAATACTATTTTCCTTACATCTTAGAGACACTCTATGGGATGTAAACAAAAAGCAAAGAGAGAGCCTCAAGTGGGGTGGTACATGGGGTTGCAAGGTTTCCTTGATATCTGCACTGTCCAATCTCCTTTTGAGCTGCATGTCATGGATGCCGCTAATGATCAGGTCGCTCGACCATCCTTGTAGGTTGTCCCAAAACGGTAGGAGACATACCCTAACACCACTAGGCCACTTGACGTCGTGGCTCACAATACCACCGTGATACTGAGCGGTGTGCTTCTGGGAGCACTGCTTGCGTTTGTTGCTTCTCACCTGGGCTGGCTGCGCCACCATGTTCACCTGAATGACCGGTTGGTCAATGCAATATTTCCTCTTGGGCCGCAATTCTTCTTCTTTACATTGCCTCTATGGTTTATTGTGGCGGTACCTCCTGCTTTGCGATTTTCCGGTATGAATATCTATATATAGAGTGACGTGAAGGCAACTAGTCTGACTTATCCAGCATTCATTAGGGAATACAGTACTGCAATTTATCAGTCAGATGGACACCCGGAGTACAATGCCATTGAGATCACCCCAGCTCAAATGACCGAGACACCAGATGTTGACAAAGTTGAACTTTGCACTGTCACCGTGTTTCAGATTATGCAATGAGATGGACATCAAAGATTCATACAAGCCCATTGTACGAAGTAAAGAGATCGGTGTAGAGGCGATTAGGGCTGGCGGCAAAAGCGCCAACGGTAGAAAAAGCCCCGTCTCCACATCTTTCCGTTTTGGGTTTTGCTTTTGGCTCCCTCAATTATCAACCGTATACCTCCACCCTTACACCGTCTGCCCAACCCCCTTACTCCATTTCTCTTTCTGACCTGCCATCATGTCCGCCGATCTTGACCGGGATCCGTCCCCCGCCGACCTAGCCGAACGCGAACGCGAGAACAAGGAGCGTAAAGCCCGCGAGGATGCCGAACAGGCTCAGCTTCCCTACAAGTGGACACAAACTATCCGTGATCTGGATGTGACAGCACCAATTCCTAGTAACATCAAGGGTCGCGACTTGGATGTGCTGTTGACCAAGAACAAAATCCGCGTCGCGATCAAGGGACAGGAACCCCTCATCGAGGTATGTTGTCCCCACTCACGGAGATTACATCGTCCACTCTAAATCAACACATCAACTCCAACAGCCCAGCTAACCACCCCATTTTCCTATCCAGGGCGACCTCCCCCACCCCATCCTTGTCGACGAATCCTCTTGGACACTCGAGACTACCCCGACCCCGCCCGGCAAGGAAATCAACATCCACCTCGATAAGGTCAACAAGGTCGAATGGTGGCCTCATGTGGTGACCACCGCTCCTAAGATCGATGTCACCAAGATTACGCCCGAGAACTCTAGCCTAAGCGATCTGGACGGCCAGACTCGCGCCATGGTCGAGAAGATGATGTATGATCAGCGACAGAAGGAGATGGGTGGTCCCAGTAGCGACGAGCAAAAGAAGATGGAATTGCTGAAGAAGTTCCAGGCTGAGCATCCCGGTAAGTTCAATATTGTGATTGTCCTCTGCTATCCCTCGCTAGGCAATTTTGCCAATTCCTAGGGACAAGTGCATTCTGTGGTTCTTATATGTTGCTAACCGTGATTTTACAGAGATGGATTTCTCGAATGCAAAGATGGGCTAAACCCACTATTAGTATTCAACGAAACATAACTCTTCGTTCTCTATGCAAAAAAAAAAAAAAAAAGAGAGTATCAATATATGAAGTATGAGTTATACGCATGGAGCTCTTCGATGAATGATGAATTGCATGGCGTTTCTCGAAATCAATTTCCAAAATTTGGTATGGGTATCCATTTTATATATTTCTGAAAGTAGATGTCTCTTATTCACTTCCGTGATCAAATTATTGCTTCGGGCCATTCTGCCAAGCGACAAATACGAGAATTACCTAATCGGGGAAAGTGATCGGGCGTTCGAGTCGATCTTCCCTCTCGCCTCTCTCGGCTACCACATGGCAGTTCGTCACGACGCATGAAGTGATCGGACTGGTTGAAACAAAGCGCAGTTCACATACCTGAGCCTCCAACCGTTGCTTTGTGCCCAGCCTGAATCTCAGCCGCAGAACTATATCGCATTCCAATATCTTGACACCTTGAGGAACCCGAGCTTTCTTCCCACAATCTCCAGCGCAAATCTGGTTCAACAGATCATCGGGAGATCACCTCGGGTGTCAAATTCATACCCTAAAGAACAATGGACGATATGCAGCCTAAAGCCCAATCCCGGCCATACTTGTCTAGGCACGTGCCGGGACAGAATATGGTCTTTCGGATCCCGAACTACAAATCAAAGGACTCCCTAGCGTGTGGGCCCGAACAGTCGGACCAGGTGTATCATTCCCGCCGATCCCATCGGAAATCCCGCGCCGGCTGTGTGAACTGTAAGCAACGAAGAATCAAGGTACTTCGGACACCCCCATTATCATTCATCGGCTGATAATGATTGCTGTAGTGCGATGAAGTTAAACCCCATTGTCTTCGATGCAAAAAATATGGTATCGAGTGTGACTACTCGAGCCAGCCAGCCCGACCTCACAAGGCCAAGAACATCGTTTCCAAATTTACTAAAATCAGCCCTGAGCTATTATCGATTGATTCCCAAGCTTCTTCAATGTCTTTAATGGTGGTCGCGGACAAGCTGAAAGAATTACTACATCCACCTCCTGCTACCGGTACCAAGCTGCCGAGATTACTCACAGATGCCACAGCATCAGCCCGCACTATCGAAGCACTGCATCATTTCCACAAAGGCCCAGCCTTTGCAACCGAAAGCCAAACGCCTCTTCGAATAGTAATGGGTAAAGTCGTTGAACTTGCCTTTGAAGTAAGCCCATTTATACTTTATCTAGACCCCCTCTCTATAACCGCCTTCATTATATCCCAACAAGACACACTCCTACGACCTACCTAATACAACCTCAAACTAACTCCCTACTAACACCAGACCCCCTTTCTCATGCACGCCATCATAGCAGCCGCGACAAGCCACCTCTGTACTCTCCTCCCCGACAGCAGGGACTACCGCCTAGCAGAAGCCTACCACTGGCAACAAACAATCAACCAATACTCCACCGAAGTCTCCAAAGCTATAACCCACCAGAACATGGACCAGCTCTATTCCGCCTGCATGATGATCAGCATGCACTCCTTCCTCCAAAAAAACTTCAACCCGCGCACCTCCTTCGTCTTCACCACAGACCCAACAGCCCTAACCTGGCTCCGCCTCCAAGCCGGCCTGCGCTACCTACTCGAGCGCACGCTGCCCTGGCTCCGGCAGAGTATATGGTGGACGGTATTCATGGAATCGCGGGCTCCATCTCTGAATTTTGAAGATAAGCGCCCTGGTCGTGTGGGTCTTGATCCAGATTTGGCGGATTTGTGTAGGATCAGCGATGAGACGACTATTGAGTCGAACCCGTGTTTGTGGCCTTTGCGGATGCTCATGGGATTGTTGCCGTTTGAGAGGACGACTGGTAGCTTTCAAGTCTATAATACATGGATGGGAAGGCTGGAGAATCCGTTCTATGAGTGTTTGCTTAGGAAGGAGCCGCGTGCGCTGGTTCTGCTAGCTTGGTGGCTGGGGCTTATGTGTTATGTGGAGGAATGGTGGGTTGAGATGAGGGTTCGCTCGGAGTGTACGGCTATCTGTATGTTTCTTGAGGATAGTTGTGATCCGCTGGTTTTGAAGTTGTTGGAGTTTCCAGCGTCGTGTTGTGGGTATTTGCTCAGACATGAGCAAGAGAGGGTCCTTGACTTGAATTGATGTTGGTTTGGGTCGAGTTGGTTTCAATCTTGGATTTGTTGCATTTATACCCTTTTTTTGTTAGCTGATTGCCAACCTACGTATATAGCCAAGTGGCTTTGTCGAGAATTTGTAGCGATGAAGCTAGTTGTGGAGTATTTGATTCATGGAAATGTATTAATGCATTCGTTTATCATAATTGTTACATTATGTATATCTGCCAGGATGCGAGCGAGCACTCAGGTAATCGATGATCTCGATAGAGTGTTCTCCTGCATCAATGATAGTCGAGTATGTGCAAATCAATATTAAGTATCCAAAGCTATCCCAGAAGAGACCCCCAGAAGAGATCCCCTTCTATACCAAGTCCCAGTCATGTCATGAATATTCGATCAGTTTCCGTAAATGATCTCGTCGCGTAATGTGCAATAAAAGAAGAGAGAGCACCAAAAAAAAAAGAAGAAAAAAAAAGCATAGCAATGCAGTAATGGGGCAAAAAGAAACGTAAATCCACAATAGACGATTCCAGATCGCCTAGATCAAAGATCGTGATGGCAAAAAATTAAACAGGTAGCTCATAAGCAAAGGGCAGCAGGAAAATATTTCCGCAATGATTAAACGAGGCTGTATCACCGGCTCTCCCAAGAAGCCCGACGGTGACGACGAATGGACCGGTCATCTTCCTCGGAGTATGTAGGTCCAGTCCGCGAGCCGTTCATGCGGGCAGCGGGAGGCGGATTAATGATGACCGCCATAGCGGAAGATATAGACATGGACCGCGAGCGACACAACGCTACTGAGTGACGGGGGGAGTACGGCGGCGGTGGAGTATCCCTCGTTGCGGTTGAGGTGTTGCCGTAACTGCTTGGAAAGGAAATGGCCGATGAACTATCGGAGGTTACATCTTCGTCGTAATGATTGGCGTTCTTTTCATCATGGGGGTAGGAGTTCTGAGAATCAGAGGAAATAGGTGGATCGCGCATATGAGATTCTAGAGTCTTCTCGTGGAGGCTCATTGGACGGGCTGTGTACTGCGGGAGAGGGACCACGCTGGAATAGCCCCCATCCTCCGAGTCAGAGGGCGGGGGTCCGTGCCCATGGCCCCCGGTTGGAGATGCCGAGCGAAAGAATTCTCCTTGCGTAGAAAGCGTATAGCTTCCTGTCTGGATATTGTTGGTGTTGGGTCTTTGGCTCATCATCTCTGGGGATGAATGGGACTGAGAGGGCTTCTCGTCTTGGGCGAAGCACCCGCAAAGTGCCGAGAGGAAAGACATGGCTCAATGAGGTGTCTGCTTTTTTAATTGACAGCAGAAAAGCCAATAGTGGGCTGACTATAGCAAGAGAAGTTGGCCCGTGAGCAGTGCAAGAAAAAGCTCTGGACAAGAACTATCGTATGAGCACTTCGGGTGTTGAGCCTCAAACGCTATAGTGGGCTGAACCCCACTTGCGTCGATAAACCCCACAACCGATAAACAGGGAGAATTGGAATCAAGTCTGAATCTATACGGAGCAGGAATATATGTTATAAAGAAAAGAAGAAGATGAGGGGTGAAAGAAAGGCCAGATGAGAGCTGACCCGGGCAAGGCACCCGCAGGCATCCAGATTTCCCAAAAGTCTAATTGGCCCGGATAAGATACTGTGAATGCCTGAGGCACACATCCATTCATCGTTGTCAATGAATGTAAGTACTAGCTCATATGCTAGAAATGGTGGAGATTCCCAAGAGCCTGAGTCATGTAATCGTAAAAGATAGAAAATGTTATCGATTACCACAGAACAACCATTTGAACAGTATACTTTCACACCCGGAGCATCTTCGGCATCACAATCTGCGCCAGTGACAATTTACCTTTTGGATCATTCCAAGTGCCAAAGGTGTAAAATCAAACAAGCTCGAAGAGGGCTGAGTTTTGCCGGGCTAGCATTGTGGTAAACGAGGTGATACGTATACTCCAAATATTCTCGAGACACCAGTGTACACAAGCTCCGAATCAATTTAGCCCAAGAAGAAACCTCACTAGAACCAGTAAGTCTCCTTTTAGTTTATTAATAGTTGAAATCCAAATATCGGATTGAGAAGGATACCTACCTCAGGTACCTAGGTGTCTGCTTGATTAAAGTTCGATGAGCCTCATACTAGAGTTCCACCTGAATTTCTGCAGTGTTACCTTATACGACAGCCCTCATAGCAAGCTGAGTACATGGATAACATTCATAATGAGAGTTATAATGATCTCTCATGAGAATGGCCTTCTATTGATCCCTCAGTAGAGCATCTTGTGCCCACATGGACAGAAAAACCAATAAGTGATAGTCGATAAGATCGGAAAGATAAATTAGGCGGTCTAAGAGAACACCATGTTTGATTGGCTGGAAGGCTAAGTGGACCGAGGGGTAAGAGAATATATGGGCAGAATATAGTCATGTGACTGGAGCACCCCACCAATCGCGTCGCCGCCTGTATTTTTTTTTGTTCTCCCCGCCTTCTCTTCGACGATCACTCACTCGAGCGATAATAATTTCGTTCCATACCTAATTCCAAATCTCGAGTCATCTAGAACTACCTACTTCGTTCAGCATCATGACCGTTGAGCCAAATATCGAGGAAGTGACACAAAATGTCGAGCCTCCTCAGGTCGCCCCTCATCGTTCCCACGATCCTGCAAACAACATGAAACGGACCGATCCCTTCCAATTCGGCTCACGATACCTTGAGAAGGGTGATGATGTTTTTGAGTTCAATGCTTGGGACCATGTCGAACCAGATGACGAATTTAAAGCCTTCGCCGAGACCCAATATGCGAGACAGCGCGAAACACGCGTGTCGGACTTTGATCGCAATCGATTCAACAACGACCCCGCCAAGTGGTGGGATCTTTTCTATAAGAACAACACATCCAACTTCTTCAAGGACCGCAAGTGGCTGCGCCAAGAATTCCCAATCCTCGCTGAAGTGACACAGAAGGACGCCGGTCCCCAGGTCGTCTTGGAGGTTGGCGCAGGAGCCGGAAACACCGCCTTCCCATTGCTGGCTAACAATGAAAATGAGCACCTGAAGGTCCATGCATGTGATTTTTCCAAGTATGCTGTGAAGGTCATGCGCGAGAGCGAACTCTACAACGAGAAATACATGTCCGCTGATGTTTGGGACGCATCTGCCGTGCCTAACGAGAACGGCGACTCTCTTCCGCCTGGCCTGACAGAAGGCTCTGTCGACGTTGTGATTTTAATCTTCATCTTCTCTGCCCTGGCCCCTAACCAGTGGGACCATGCAATTCGCAATATCTATCGTCTCTTGAAGCCCGGTGGCCGTGTGTTGTTCCGCGATTACGGCCGTGGCGACCTCGCCCAAGTGCGATTCAAGAAGGGTCGATACATGGCCGAGAATTTCTATATTCGAGGTGACGGCACCCGCGTTTACTTCTTCGAAAAGGACCAACTCGTTGACATGTGGAGTACCTGGAGCGCGGAAAACGGCTTGCAGATTCCCATTGGTGATGAGAACCCTACCGAAGACGCGTCCGAGAAAAAGACAGATGAGGCCCAGCCCGCAGAAGAGCTGTCTGCAGAGACCAAACAATTGGCAAAGGATAATGGAGCGTTCGAGGTCCTTAAAATGGGAGCCGACCGTCGGTTGATTGTCAACCGTGGGACTAAACAAAAAATGTACCGCTGCTGGATGCAGGGCAACTTCCGGAAGCGCGGTGGACCTGAGACTGAGGTTGAGGTTGCCACCGAGAACACCCAATAAAGTCTCGAACCACCAGTTCTGCAATGGTCATCTCGGATGGCCATAAAGCTTCACCAAAGTCTCAGCCATAAACAGACGATTGATTGTTCATAACAATCATGACTGTGATAGTCTTTCCCCGTCGTTCAACCTTGATCTCGCGATTTCCGCTATGCATCGACTCAAATCGTGTTTTTGGGTGCATCTCAAAAGCACGAGATCGACACCGACATATCATGCTGTTTGGGCAGCTCCAAGGGGGAAAAAACTAGAGTAGCTAGCACCTTCAGCGCGATGAGGCAATGACTTGGATTGCGGTTTATATAGGGCCATGCCTTGATGATGGCGTTACGAATGTACGACACACACATTAGATCATGTCATTAATCTGCACATACACTCAAGGAACAATACCTATCATGTAGAGAACCATCGCAAGATACTGACGTAGAAACTCAGCTCTTCTGTTCACGTAAACAATTTACCACAAGGATGCCATATCCATGGATAGTTTTTTTTCATAGTAATCGGAAGGACAATCAAGCATATTGATTTGTAATTGATTGATGCGTAACTGATGGTATAAGGCCCGGTGGACTTGATAATCAATGAAAGGGAGATTATAGAATTTGTGGAAACCGACGTCTTCATTTTATCCAAATATTGACAAGGTTGGTCTGCAAGAAATAGATTCCTGATGTGCAGCAAACGTGTCAGAAGTAAATACCGAATAACCGAATTTTTTGTCCACACCCTACGCTGTATCTAGACAGATAAGAATTGCGCCAATAAGGGGAACAGAGAGGCACTGGAGTTATGTACAAGCCAATGCTCTAAGAATCGAAGAAATAGAAAATCAGGAGGAACTCCATCCATGCAGGCAAAATGGGCATCAACGGAGACAAAGGTCCCGTAGAAAGAGATAAAAAATTTCGTTGCAAGGGACCATAGCAAGTCGTGAGCTGCAGCAAGCTGCAGGCCTAATCGTCTAATCGCTATATGTTGAAAAGCGCAACTATGTACCACATGAGATTTGTTCGTGAGCAAACGCAAAGAGCAAACAACAATGCAGAGAGATTTATGCATGTATGTTGGAAGGTATTTTCACAGTGTCATATTCGGACACTCGCCTTGGGCGCGCTGGAAGGCTCCTGCGAACAAGTCCTGCATGGCGTGGTAGTGGAAAAAGATACCGCCCAAGACAGCGACGTGCCAGATGTTGTGGCTGCCACCAACGTAATCAAAAAGACCTGGCTTCCAGCGCTCAGGAACCTTGGAGGCGTAGACACAGGCACCGACAAAATACACCAAGACGCTCTTCACGACCGGTGCATAGAAATACATGGTCCATGAGAAACCACGTGTATAAGAGAGCTGAGCGATGGGCGAGAAACCAGTGAGCGCAAGGGTCACATAGAAGCCCACACGGGCCCAAGCCATATCGTGGCGGTTGAAGGTTGGGTGCCACGGTAGAATGATGCCACCGATGCCAAATGACATGGTAAGCAGAATATATGTCCAGCGGGAAAAAGGCTCGCAATAGAAAGCAGTGTACTCAGTCGTCACAATCGAGGCAGCAACCAGCATGGAGATTCCAGTGTAGTCCACACAAGCGAACCGTTCCATCAATGACTGCGAAGCAATACTGTTCATAGTATGCCAGATACAGCTGCAGACTAGACACTTGCATGCAGCAAAGAAGAAAACGGCAGCGATTGTGATGTCGGACTTGGAGCTCAGATGGAAATTGGTGTGAAGCGGGTAGAAATAAAAGGCGATGGCTAGGACGATGACGAGGCCGATCACATGAGACCAGATGTTGAACAGCTCATTCGAATACGTGAAGACGGACGAGAGACATTCCACCTTGGAAGTTGTAAATCGGTAGCCATTGATGATGTGTGGGTTAACACGCCATGGATGAGGAAGTTCATCGTAGTTGATTAACCGCTTCTCCTGGGCTAGTCGGATAGCCTCTTCGACAGTATCTCGGAGTGTATCGCGAGTCCGGCGGGCACGCTCCATACCCTCGTCGACAATTTCCCGGGCATGGACCAAGCCCGAATCCATCGCTTTCCACCCGTCATCGATAGTTCCGTAGATACCGCGATCGCGAACCGCATGTACTTTGTTCTCGAGTTCGACCAAGAATGACTCCATCAACCGCACACCGGCTTGCGCCTTTTGTTCCAGAGTCTCCTTTGTCATTAGAGCTTCATTGTATCCATCCTCAAGGGTTTCAACCAGTATTTTGGCGCGCTTTTTGCCACTTCCCATCAACTCCCCGAGGCGAGGGAACATTGATCTCTCACGGCCTCCAGCGTAGCATAGCCTCGTTTCAGACTGGCATCGACCTGCATCATATGGGATTTCCGATATTGCTCGATCCATTGCATCCGACGTTCCAGTTCGGCCAGGAAGAGTTCGACCTAGATCTTAGTTAGACACACCCGTTACCCGGAGATGTTTTCCACCAATAAGGCATGTACACACCCTGATGAAAACCGCATCTGCATCTTGATAGTCGCACGAGAGTTTTCTAGAAGAATGGAATGAATGCCTGCGCCGATCACGAAGAATCCCAGCATCCTCGTCCGGGGACGCAATAGCAGACGTGAATGCCTCGGGATAAGTATCCACCGCCATTGTAGCAGCGCAAGCCATGGGGGTGTAGTTTGAGATATCACCCCTTAATGAAATGCCATATGGTGGGAGTTGATCAAAAGAAGAACAACTCTTTGGAAAGGAAATTCAAGGAATGAGGGGCACATTAAAGGAGAGGGAAACGGGTGAAATTCGGGCTGAGGGAAAAAAGGGCGCCCCAACCACACAAAATCCCCAACTTCTGGAGCCAATCCATTCCCGCCTCAACCGTCTCGTTTCCGTTTGATCTTTTGCCACCCGTAATCATCGGATTTAGATCTTTCAGGTCATCTACATCTATTGGATCATTTACATTATGGCAATCAGTGATATTGTCGCCGATGAGTCGCTTTTACCAGTGCTTCAGACTAGCGCTGAGACTTTGGCCCAGTGTCAGCAACTCCTCACCATATTAAATCCCGATACCCTACCCAACGATGGCGCCAAGCTCCGAGAATTATCCCTAGCGGCATCCAAGCAACAGAAAGTCCTATTCGCACTATTGGCCCAACTTCGTGGTCAGAATCGGGACGCCATATTTCGCGTGCGTGACACCAAGCAATCGACTGCAGAGGCTCGACAAGAAATCGACCGGTTACATCTTCAGCTTCAGAACTTGTACTATGAACAGAAGCACCTGACAGGTGAAATTGCGGCATGTGAGGCCTATGAGTATGTGACTCTGATTTCCTACCCATGACGCTCTCATTTTCTCTTGGCGGAGAACTGACATATCCACTGCAACAGTCACAAGTATCTATCTCTCCCTTTGATTCCGGTCGAGGAATTCTTGGAGCTTCACCCCGAACATCGCGACTCCAGTGAACATGACCTCATGATCGCCCGCATCGAACATGAGCATGCTGAGCGAGAGAAGCTGGAACAAGCGCGGCAAGAGCTTCTGAAGCGAAAGCAGGGCTTAATCGCCGAGAATAAGAAAAGGAAGAACGATCTTGCGAACCTCGACCAAGATCTCGAAAAATTCATTGATGTATGTTATCCCGCTTGCTCAGGTCTACCTTTGATGTGGTTGCTAATCAGTTCCATGATGTATAGGCTGCTAAGCCGATTCAAAGGATCTTCGAGAAGGAATACTAGACATTGCATGTGGAGGTACAGCAGTGAGGTCTGGCCTTTTGACTGCTACATCGGATCGGCGTTACTGGGCAATATACCCTTGTTTTTTTAGGTGATTTCAAAGTATGGAGTACTACTAGTCGATAATGACATACTAAGCCTTTTATGGTCTCTCTTTCAAAAAACGCCGAATTGAACGCACAGTCCGGAATGAGACTTGGAGTACGAATTACAGCATGTCCAAAACAATTAAATAAGGTAACATGAAATTACAAGTTCAGATAGAAAATATGTGTCTATTCCAATGCTGCATGTAGTTGGACTTGTGTCGCTCCAATGCGGCCTAGGTGGTCCCTGGCTTCTCCGCCCGGCTATCAACTTCCCCCAAGTCAACAATCAACTTCATAAACACCCCCTTCTTTGATGCTCTGATTTAGAGCACAAAGCATGTCCCGGCGATGACGACCAAAACAGGAGACCAGGAGTCTCCTCAGGCTTCGGCCTCTCAAGTCGACCAACCCAGCGTCCACCGCGCTCCGCCCCCCAGAGACCCCGGCCGCCCTCCAAACGCGATTTCGGGTGATAGCAGCCTTTTGGGCCGTAATTATATTCCTTGGATTCCCGATATGGTGGAAAACAACATCAATCTACCGGGCGTCTCTCCCCATCGAGGAGATGGTGGATTGGGCTGATGGCAAGGTACGGCTTGTGAAGTCGCTTTTGGCTTGGGGGACTTGATAGATGCTAATAATGGTCTTGACAGGCGTGTCGACCTGTTTTCCCTTTGGAAATTCATCTTGCGACACCTTCAATGCAATATTTCGAGGCCCAGCATCTCCTCCGCACGACACAACATACTCTCGATGATCTCAACGAGTTCGCAGCCCATCACCTCCGACTTAAGTTGACCAACAGTAGTACAACGGCAGTTGATAATAGCGAAGAACCCCTCGAAAATGTCCAATACTCTGCAGAAGAGACAGCGGATACTGCATTAACCGTCCGATTACTGCCCCGGGATGGCCTAGCAGGCCCTTCGTCAGAGCTCCATGCAGCTGCGACGCAGCTCGATATCTTCTACCCGCCGAGCCAGGTCCCCGTACCATCCTCCTCCAACTCCCCCCTCTCTACTTTCATTGCGGCGGAGCTACAGCGATTGTATGGAGAGGAGAAGGCTACTATAGCGCACATCTTGTCGGGAAACACCGCTGGGCTTGACTCGACTTCACCACAACTCGCCGAAGATATCGACCGAAGACTGCGCCGATCGATGAAATATGCTGAAACCTACCACCTCTCTTTTTCACTTTTCACCCCCAAATTTGAACCTTCCTCGTGGGACATCGAGGCCGCGGTGAAGGAATACGTCTCGCCCCTCCTGCAGGCATTATCTCCTATCAGCAATTTCACTGTCGACACGCAAGTACAGCTCTATGCAAACTTTGCGCCCACTGCGCCGAAGCCTGAGTATGATGAAACCGAGGCGGCATGGACACTGAAGAAAGAAGATCTAAGTGCCTTCGTCAATGCTGCCGAGTGGCCGCTGAACCCGAGCATCGGCAATGGCCCGACGATCAATTTCATCCTCTATGTCCCAGACCCCTCGCAGTCTCCACTCATTGTCAAGGAAAACCGCGCGTCTAGCTGGATGGTTCCCCAATGGGGCGGGGTTTTCCTCCTTAACCCGCCGCTTTCCAATACCGAGCAAGGTGGCCTGTCCAATCCTTCCCATCTCTCCCAGGACTCTTTGGGTCCTGCATTCATGACATTCTCTCACCAACTCCTCACACTTCTCGGCACTCCAAGCACCCCTGCCTCTCTTCCACTCCGACTTCAGACATCTATCCGCATTCGCGCGGCCACTTTGTTGCTTTCCGCCTCATCAACAATGGGCTCGCTTGCCCGTCTTACTGAGTCTTTACCTTCCATCCCTATCCCGGCAACCGTTGCTACTTCGGTCTCTACCACACTCTCTCATTTGGCTGCCTCATGTGCCCACTTGCGAGAAGGGCGTTTCGGCGCTGCGCTAGCCAGCGCCCGAGTCGCAGAGACAGAAGCTGAGCGCAGTTTCTTCGAGAAGAGCATGGTGGGCCAGGTCTATTTCCCAGATGAACATAAGGTGGCGGTCTATCTGCCTCTTCTGGGCCCAATTGGTGTCCCTCTGGTTGTTGGGTTGCTCAAAGAGCTCAAGAGAATTGCCGCTCGACGCAAGGCGAAGGGGACAGCATCGTAGAGTAATATAAACTCTGCACATTAATGTATTCTAGGAGTTATATACACCCATTGAAACTATTCTTCCTTTTCATGATTGGTCTATATATAAGGTTCTTGAAGATAATACTCTATTTACAGGCATATATATCCAGTAAATTGACCTTGTGGATAAAGCAGCACACAATATTTGAATTAGGTAGAGAATTAATCAGGTATCTAGATAGGCGAAACTAACCCCTCAAAACAAAGTGAAAAACAATGCAAATATGGGTATCATGGTACACGATCAATATGCCAGAGCAACCAAATGCTTAAATCAAGGCGACTGAACGCACAACTTCACCCAACCTGGCGCAACACTCACATCTCTCAACCATCAACGCCCAGGATCCCGGAACGGATTTTCCCGAGAGTCATCATGGGTATTATCAACAACCCGCATCAGACCGCTAAAACTAGTATCCGGCCTAGAAGCAGTACCAGGGTACGGTTCAGGCTCCAAAAAGGTACGAGACTGCGAAAACGACGACTCCGGCGGTGAATAAACCTTGATACTTTCCGTACTTGGCTGACGCTGCCGCGGCGGAGTAAACGGAGCCGCTGGCATAGGAATTGGCACAGGGATAGGCGGCACATCCTTGTCTAGTCGGGGGTTTCCTCTTGGATGACCGGAGAATAGACTCCGCACTCTGCTTCCAGTGCGGTGAATCATCGTGCGGGTGGAGCGTCCTCCTGTAGAAGAGCGCTTGACTCGCGGTGGGCTTCGGAGGAAGTCTGTGCGGTACGAGGTATCGTCTTGGGGGATGGGGTTCGATATGCACAGTATTGCCCCGGAAGAAGAGCGTTGGGTCCAATTAGGCCCCGATTTGCCTTCTTGTATTTCACATTCGTCTTTTCGGGTACGTCGGATACAGAGGGATATTAGGAGAGCGGCGACAGCACCGAGGACGGCACCTGGGAAGAAGCCTGCTGCGATAGCCCCAGGTGGGAAGGAGGGACATGAACTTGATAGTGCTGCGCATGTTGTGGAGTTTGCGGAATTTTCGGATGAGGGAGACGGCACGGGTGTGATAGTTGCCTGGGGAGCTATTGAGCTTGTAGCCGTTGTCGATGACGATGCTGGGTTGGTCGAGGAGCTGGATACAGGTGATGTAGTCGTTGTTGCGGATAATTCTTTGTTGGTAGAGGAGGCGGATACGATCGCTGTTGCCGTTGTGGAAGTTTTTTTGTTCAAAGAGCAAGTTTTGCCTCCTTCGCAGGTGTAGCCAAACGGACAGCACGCATCGCCGCATTTCGGAAGGCTCTCGCCCAGACGGGTTGTCTTTATGACGCTCTCAGGGTAAATGGTGACATCCTGCTGTTGTATATCACATGTGATTGGCGAAATGTAGTTACAGTCTTTACCGGCGGGACAGCAGATAGAGGAGCTGCCCTGGTCTAGACTGATGCAGGTGGAGTCTGAAGGACAGCAGAAATCATTTGAGGCATTTGTACTGCCGCAGCGAGTGTATGAGGTGGGACACGCATCTGAGCTTCTTGGAATAAGATCAAAAGAGTTAGATGCTTGTCCTGGTCGGATGCTGGCCAGAAGAGTCAAGAGCAGTAGAACGGATGGCCGTCCCACTGTTGACCTCGTCATGCTGGTGGTGTGTGTAGGCCGAGAGGGAGGGAGAGGTGTCTCTGACTATCAAAAATAGGAGAGCTTCGCCGAAGAATATAGACTGACAGGTCCCTTGACAGTATCTTCACGTATAACGTGCAAGTCTAGTCGTAAGTAGAAGGACCAACACTGGCGGGAACCTTGACAGAGGTGGATTGAGAATGGCTAACAAATAGCTGACAGACAAGGGCATTGACTGATGCCTGAAACAAAAATCAATCAAAGAACCAAGATATGTCATTTCTTGAAAGGAACTTGGGCACTGCCATCCTCTAGGTCTTGTAGACAAAGAGTACTTGCACGCGCCGGGGCCCTAAAATAGCCATTGGGCTGTTTCAGGGTGTGCAACATGATAAAAATGGCAACAATTTGGGCGCTAAATCATAAATATTTGTTACAGAACCACATGAGACCAGGGGATTGCAGAACGAGGATTGGATGAAGGCCAAAGGGTGCAGAAGAGCACAAGGCGCTTAGAGATGAAGTAGATTTGAACGATTTGATTGGTTGCTGGACCAGGGGTATTACATAACCACACTAGTCCCGATCTGGGAGAACGTCGGGAGGGAAATTCTTCGACGTCGAAGCTCTGCACGATTAACCCGACCATTCACAGAGCCGCTCGTCATGTTCAGCCGATTCGTCAGGCCGCAAAGCGCTTTGCGCGCAGCCTCCTCCTTCTCCCCTGTGAGATTTACTTCCTCCGTCGCCAATCCGTCTTGACTGACCGCGTTTTGTCTAGAAACCTACCTCCGCCTTCTCACGCTTCCAGACCCGGGCTATCCATCGCATTCCTCAATTGCAGCACGACGCCTACTATAAGGAGAATGGTGTTCCTGAGTTCATGTCGCCCGAGGCATTCGACTTCGCCTGGACCCAATACCAGAGTCTGCTCGTTAACAAGCTCAATCTGTTGACACAAGGTGAGCCCGGCACTTCGACCCTGTGCAACAATACGTTGGTTCAATGCGGTCCCAATCGGTTGATTGAGCGGCGTGGCACATTGGAATACGTGTCTGACATTTGAATGAAATAGATACCGTCGACGCAGATGCCAAACCTGGAGAATTGCTGGTCAAATACTCTAAGCGTCCGGAGATGGCCTCGGTGTTCAATTATGCCTCAATGGCCCACAACAACCACTTTTTCTTCAACTGCTTGGTTAGCAACGACACCAATCCCTTTGTATACGATAATCAATCCTAACCAGCTTGCTCAATATAGTCCCCCGCAGCCACCACTATTCCCGAAAAGTTCGCCAAGGACATCGTCGACACCTGCTCCTCCGTCGAGTCCCTAAAGATGGATTTCCTGGCCACGGCTAGCTCAATGTTCGGCCCCGGATTCGTGTGGCTCGCCAAGAACCTCGAGCGCGAAGGCATGATGCACATTTTCTGCACCTATAGCGCTGGCTCTCCCTACCCTGCCGCCCACTCCCGGCGGCAACCCGTCGACATGTCCACCCACACCCCGGAGACCCAGCTGGGTAACCAGTTCGCTGGCTCGATGGGCGCTCACGCCCAGAACCAGAAGAGCCTCGCTCCTGGCGCCGTCGATATCCAGCCCATTCTCTGTGTTAACACCTGGGAACACGCGTGGATGATGGACTACGGTATTGCCGGCAAGGACGAGTACCTGGAGCGCTGGTGGGATCGGATTAACTGGGACGTGGTTTTCGACAACTACAATGCCGTCGGCTCGATGAAGAGCTCGCGCAACTCCCTCAACCGTCATCGGAGTATGAGCATGCTTTAAGTTGAAAATCATTTCTGTGTCTGGATAATCTGTATTATATACTATCATGTTTTATTTTTTTTTTGGTCTCCATTGCTCATTCTCACAGGCTTCTGATTGAGCATGTACAGCGATCCATCCAATAGAATCAAATTGGCGATGCTCTATATTTCCATTCTGCTGACAAGAGTTGAAGAGATGCAAGTCCAACAAGTAGTCCTATGCAACGTCAGAAATGCAATCTATGCCCAATCTCCAAACACTCCACTAATATACAATCCAACCTACAATTGACACTATCACTGCCCTTTACCCTCAACCTCCCGTATCCGCTTCTCGAAAGCCTCAATCATAACCCCAGCCATCTGCCCCTCAACAGCACTCATAAGAGTAGCATGCATCTGCGAGCGAAACTCAAACCGCACCTCCAAATTAACCTTGGTCAACGGCCTGCCCGTTGTCCCGGATGGAAGCGGCACCAGCTCCCACTTTGTAGTTAGGTACTCGAAAAGGCCCTCATTCGCACCGGGGAAGAACCCACTTAGCCCGGACGAAGAGCTCTTACTAGCCTGTCCACCCTGTCCCTCTTTACCATATTTGGCCCCGCTATTAGCCTCCACGGTCAGATTCTCCACATCGCAGATCACGCGCGACGTGAACGTCTCGCTGAGCGGGCCGTAGCCGACTGTCAGGAACGCTTGTGTTGGGTATCCTGTTTCCGGATCGCGTGCTGTCACGGTAGACGCAGTGAGGAAGGGGAGGAATTGGCTGTAGGCTTCGACCGAGGAGATCACCTTGTATAGCAGAGTTGGGTGGTAGGGGAGGTTGCGGGTGGCCGTTAGGATGCGGTGCGGGGAGTTGTTGTTATTGTTGTTGGGGAGGAAGGAGGATAGGTCAGGTAGGCCGAAGGCTCGTGTGGTAGTTTTGGTGACATTGTTTGGAAGCAGAGGTCGGCACAGACTTGGTCGTTGTGTGGTGTTTATTGTCCTCAGGTTTGTCTGCTGGTGGGAGACTGGGCACACATTCTGGCGCTGGGAGGGTAGAGTTGCGCGACTTGGAAGTCGCAAGGTGCGGAAGGGTCGCATTGAGGAGGATATAAGAGAGATATACACAGGTTGGTTCTTTGAGTGTAGTGATTTCGTAGACAAGAAAATCGGCCTGGTTCCGCGGAGCGGGATCTGCACCTCGGCAGGATTATTTACTTAGTGCCCGGTGCATACTCCATACTGTGGATTCGATCGATGGGTTTTGTGCTGTTACTTTTTTTACTCAAAGTAAACCAATAGATTGTATCGGCAATCCTTCCACAACTTCCAAGGATCTATCTGTACGAAGGCATCTAGCCAGGGTTGGGTATTGCGGATGATTATCCATGCGTGTTGGATGTAGTATTGTTGACCAAAGCCTGTTGGAGCTTCATTTCCTTCGATTCTATCAGAGATGACCCTCATAGATTCCAATGCTTATAGTTTCATATCTGGGTCACTTATATTTGAAGTTCATATCTATTGAATCTCAGCCGTCATGGCGACTACTTCCCCGGGCCCAATGATCTGCACCTTGGTGGTTTCGCCCTCCTCGAGCACAATCCGATACTCTTCCCCGGCATATAATGGACTCGTTGCCCGATAGGTGATGCGCTCAGGAATAATCAAGGTAGAATCCATGAAACCCTGACGGGTGTCCCGCCAAAGATCCAGAATAGAGATCAAATTCAACGGACCATGTACTACAATATCCCTGTGTCCTTCTACATCACGCGCCCAGGGTAGTGAGTAGTGAATCTTATGAGGGTTGAAAGTCAGAGCAGAGAAGCGGAATAGGGTCACGGGCGTTTGCATCAGGGTTCGAGTATGGGTATTTCCCTCGGTGGAAATGACGGACGAGGTGAGATTTGGGGTCGCAATATGGGATGTTGAAGACGAGGGAGGGGCGCTGGATGGCGTTGATGCAGAAGAAACAGGTAGAGCTTTACGGAATACCCAATTGCTACATGAACGTTGTCAGTACTTTCGGTTTGTGATAATCTTGAGCAAGGAAAGCCGGACCGTCGGTCAATAATTGACACGCCGTGCTCGTTGGCGAATTCTTTCTCAATTCCAACAACAATCATATCCTCGCCGGTCTTTTTCACAACCTTGGGCTGCGCACTAAGCACTCGCGTTGTCTCTAGCACCTCCTGTCCTACTCGTATTGGATTGGGTTTCCCATCCAAACGGGGCCACAGCACCTCCCCGCCTGCCCACATGCGCCGTGTGAATGGTGCGTCTGGATTGTACGACGCATCGGTTCCATCCGGCCCCAGTTCGGTTTCTATGAACGCAGGCGTGAAATACGCGAGGTGATAGCCTGGTGGCACGGGTACTGCGGATTGCGGGGCGGGAGCGCCATTAGATAGGGAGGGGCCACCGGGGAAGAGGGTAGGGCGATCAAGTGTGAGGGTGAGAAGCTGGAGCTGATTGGCATCTATCGTTTGCATACGAGTTTGTGGCCCCATGGATTGAAAGCGCGACAGGAAGGCCTTGGCTACTGTTGAAGCATCTGAGTGGAGATGCTCAGAGACGGTGAAACTGCGAATTGTACTCGGTCGAACGTGCGCCCGTATGCGCGGGCGAAGGTGTGCAAGTAAGGACCAACTTGACGACATGGCGAACGTGGGAGCGTTGTACAAACAGAAAGAAAGGGAAAGTAGAAAGCAGAAAGGGGAAAAGAAAAGCAGTGGGGATCTCCAAATACATGCGGGGAAGCCGATTTGCTTCCAAGTCGGCTTTATACTCCTGGGACCTTAGTAGAATGCCATTGGGGTCTCATAGTGATATAGAGTAAACAGGATCGTATAAGTATCCTGATCTTGAATGTACATTTGATCACAAATTGGAATGGAAAGCCCTGGTCCTAAGCCCCAGGTAGACCAAAGCTCTGATGCGGTGTGATAGAGGCGCATCTGTAGCCCTGTAGCCCTGCCCAGGTGCCCCCTGCTTAATAATTAGCCGACATCTCCAGTTCGGAGCACGATAGGCACCTGTGCAGGGATCTGTAAGGATCTTCTTGTTTCCAAGATTCCATGATTATAAACATGATTAGCAAGTTTAGATAAAGGTGATAAAGACTATAAGTGCATAGACACCCGACTTGTTCTGAGAGATTTATGTTTACTACCATACACATAGCACCATCTACAATCACCGGTTACCATGTCTGACGTTGAAGTTATCTGGGGTGGGGCCTCCCTCATGGATGAAGTCGCATATCCGAATCTTGAATCCATCAATGAGGTCTTCGACATTCTACAGGCCAATGGCATCAAACACATTGACACTGCCAAATTCTATAACAACTCCGAGGTGTTATTGGGGAACCTTCATGCCCATTCCCGTTTTACCATTGATTCAAAATATCCCGGCGGATTTGGATCTGAGCCTTCCACCCCGGAGTCCTTCACGGAAACCTTGGACCAGAGTTTGGCCCGTCTCCAAACCGACCAGGTGAACTTCTCATGTGTCCAAACTATACCCCAATTTCTAATACCGATTTCCAGCTCGATATCTACTACATGCACGCCCCCGAGCGCAGAAGCTCAATGGAAGACCTGATGGTTGGTATCGACGCTGCACACAAGGCGGGAAAGTTCAAGCGATTCGGTCTGTCCAACTATCTGGCCGAGGAGGTCGAAGAGGTAGTCCGCATCTGTCGTGAGAAAAACTACGTTATGCCAAGTGTCTACCAGGGCAACTACTCTGCCGTTGCACGCCGACCAGAGAAAGAGATTCTTCCCACGCTGCGGAAGCACAATATCGCCTTCTACGCCTATTCACCCATCGCCGGAGGGTTCCTGACAAAGGATGTTGCGACGCTGGTCGCTGGCGGTGAGGGTCGTTGGGACCCCAAGACACCTCTCGGTGGAGTCTACAATGCGCTTTTCAATAAGCCCCATATGCTGAAGGGCTTGGGAGAATGGGAGAAGATCTCCAAAGGGTCTGGTATTCCCAAGGCTGAGCTGGCATATCGGTGGGTGATGCACAACTCGGCCCTCAAGGCAGAACTTGGAGACGCTTTGATTATTGGCTCGCGCAATGTCGAGCAACTCAATCAGACGCTTGCTGCATTGAACAAGGGACCCCTCAGCGCGGAAATTACAGCGCAGATTGATCAGGTGTGGGATATTGTTGAGGTCGATTCGGTTTTGGATACCTTTAACGGTTTCCCCAAGTATGACAAGGTCTGAGGCCTAAAGAGTACCAGGGGGAATGTATTTCCAATAATTTCGCATCCACAGAAACCAGAGCTCATAGAAATAGAACAGTGCAAAGTTTGAAAGAACTTGGGTTATGGGAAGTGGGGGTCATGGTGGAGATGGGTCAAAATAGATATCAACAAGATCCCAAAGGGGAAAATCATACTTTGGATTGTCTATACCTACGTATGTTGTAGGCGCATGTACCGGATTTTAGGCCACAGTCGCGAATTTCCCGATCGGGGTGCCGCCGCGTTTATGAAGGCGCTCAGGCTCCTGCTCAATGAGTATTTCATAGCACGGGTGATATATACTTCATAGTATTAGAGGTAGGGATAAACGTACGATATATAATATATCGGCATTTTACTTTAAGAGCGTCGACCTTGGTCAGCCACCGAATGCGATAGATTAGCTTAAGGATAGAGAAAAGCAGAGAAATAGAAAAGACACAGAAGAGTAAAGCCAAAGCGAAGCCAAAGCGAAGCCAAAGCGAAGCCAAAGCGAAGCAGAACAAAGTGCAAGCCAAGCGAAACGGAAATATCAAAAAGAAAAATTATCATGCTTCCTTGAAAGAGAGGTCTTCAGGAGGCAAATTCTCTCCAGAGGCTGAAGCAGGGGGAATGGCTTTCCGGGGGAGTAAATCAGGGCCGAGCGTTACACCCACAAAGTCCAAATGTACAACGCTGGTCCACAGAACCCATCCTTCCCATGACATCTGTAGGATAAAGAAAACAGAGGCATCGGTTTCGAATGCATTGCAAATCTCAACTTTCATGTTCGGCGGGAGTGAGCGAACGGCTTTTGAAAAGCTATCCACAGCGTCTCGTTGTCCCTCAAGCGTCAGCTTCACCAGCACGTGCTTTTGGCTCACTCCAGATACTGGCCGAGGGAGGCGGGATCGACTAGTATCACTGAATGCAAGGCTGATTGCTCTGGTGCCGCTAAACGTTTCAAACACGGCGTTGGGGGCATACTTAGGCTTCTCGACTTGTACTTGCTGGTACCACTCAGCCGTTGTGAAATTCTGTTGGTTCTTAAACTTTTGCACGGCGCGGAACAGTCTTTGGGTAAACGAAGTGGTATTTGAGCGTACGGACGCAATTTCATGAACTCCACATGCCGCAATGATGTGAATGTTCGTTGTCGAGTTGGGCTGCCGTGCTGCAGCAGCCGCGTGGCAGCAATCGAGTATTACCAGAGAATCCACTGACTCTGCAGATTCCAGAGTACCTCTGATAGACCGCCACAGGATTCTTCTATGACGTGACGTAAAGCACAGAGCATCATCATGAAGGCCACTATGACCAACATAAAAGAAAATGAACAGAGAGGGTAGTGACGACCGGGTACATTGTCGAAGGAGTTTGTTGAGATTCTCTTGTAGGCTCAAGGCTGGTGTTTTGTCCGAATTTGGGATCACAAATCTGTTACATTGGACCCCAAGCGGTTTCAGAATTGATTCCATTGTCACCATATCATTCTCTGCGCCAGTTTCATCGTTTTCCCACCGGATCAATATGCCAATCTTTTGCACATGAAACTTGCTCCGTGCGGAAGCTACTTTCTTCAGCGCTGCTTCAAGGTCAGGGAGCTTTCTGGTCGAGACTGGCTTGGTTGGGAATGAGATGGGGATAGTGCTTGGGCTTGCGGCCGCAGGTTGCTTTGCGGGTGACTTTAAGCCTGGTAACTGCGACATCTTGTTAAGAGAACAAAATGTCAGCCTGTGCATAAAGTGAGGGGACTGATCTTAGCCTCACTTCTCGGTCAGATGAAACTAGTAGGGTTGTAGAAATCAGAAGGGTGATTGTTGTTTAGCGAAAAAAAAGTAGTAGTGTAGAAATCAGAAGGTTGATCGTTGTTTAAGGAAAAAAGTAAGGAGAGTTAGGAAAGGGGAGGAGGGTGGTTTTATATCTGTGATTTTGCTGCCTTCCTAATTAGGCGACGGCGACCATCCATGGATTCCGTCGATCCTGTCTATTTTTCTCTTTATTATTTCTATTGCTCTCTTGTACATTCCAAGGTTCTATTGTCCTCTTGTTCATTCCTATCATTAACTCATAACTCTCTCTCTACCCGTGCTTAAACTATGTAATAGGTTCTATGGTTCTTACAATAAAGATTGCTAGAATAGGCATCGTAGTTTTGATTTTACTATGGTTCGTCTTACCCTGTCCTACCTCTATCAACCTTGGAAGTCCCTAGGTCTGAGTTTCTTCTTTCTTTTCTTTCCTTTTCATAATTATCCCTGCCTTTAACTTCAGCAAAAACTCTCCTTTATCTTTTACCTTTACTAGGCCTTGGCAACTCCCATGGGACTAAAAAGATCTTGGTCCCAAGAACTATTGCGGAGCCTCGAAAACCAAAAACCGCAATGGTTTCTGAAACTGGCCCTAAAACCAAACCGTTTTGGCGCACTCTAGTATTTTCTGCATATAGAGCTCGGCGAGGCTGAATAGTGGTATAGGTGCAGAATAGTAAAGCCAATAATGTGGCCCTACTGTGCATTTGCCTTCTAGGTAGAGGCGCAACAACTAGGATCGACCGCCAAATTGATGACACCAGCCTTTTGTTGATGGTACAACGGTCAAGAGTGCCGGGTGAACGACTGCATTTGGATAGGGCTAGCGTGGTGCATTTTATTAAGGTGACCTGCTGACTTAGCTGCTCTCCCACTTTGCTCCCGCTGCTCAGGTGATGCCCAGTGAACAAGTCCTTGAGCTTATATAATAATCAAGTTATGCTCAGTGAGCAAGTCAGAGCGCTCAGATCACGCTCAGTGAGTGGGATCAGGCTGCTCAGGTGAAGCTCAGTGAGCGGGTCTAATGATTACATATACTCAGTGAGCAAACAGCGGCAAGGGGTGAGCACTAAAACGGAAAGGGAAAGCCATGTCGCAAGGCCTAAAATCCGGTGTATATGTGTGTAATTACCAGTGAAAATATGTGAATTATGAAATTGGGGGCCATTGAGGGTATCGTAAGGTAAAGGAGGGAAGGGGTGATGGCAGAGGACCAAAAAAGAAATAAAGATATAATAGGGCAAGTCAGACACACAAAACCGAGATGAGTCCAAGAAAAAAGCAGATCAAAGTCGGACCTGACCACCAGTCAACCGTTCCCAGTCCCTCTGTTCAAAGGGGACATAGGTATTACCCTGGAGCCAGTAAATTCGGTCCTTCTTCGCCACAAGAGCTGGATCTACCCCCTCATTGCGAAGAACATGCTTCTGTTGCTTGTTGTTACCGGTCGACTGCGTCGTAGGCGTAACTCGCAAAAACATCGGTGCCGCAAACCTGGGCAGATTCTGGAGAATGTGTGCAGCCAGAGTATCAAGCACCTCGCGCGAGGGCTCTAGTGCGGAATCAGAGGTATTTCCGTTTGCCATCTGCTGGTTGAAAAGAATGGCTGCACAGCCGGCACGGCCATCATGATTGGGAAGAGCAACGCCGTAAACATTGGCTTCGTGCACGTCAGGATGCGAACCCAGAACCTCGGAAACCTCGCTGGTGGACACGTTCTCGCTCTTCCACCGGAAGGTATCACCCAGTCGATCGGAGAAGAACCAGCGGCCGTCTTTGTCCCATCGAACCATGTCACCAGTCCGGAAATAGGCATCGCCCTTCTTGATTACATCGCGGATAATCTTGCTCTCTGTCGCTTTCTTGTTTCCAAAGTAGCCCTGGAAATTGGCAGTGGGATCAGCTGCGTCGATGGCGAACAACAGCTCACCAGGATCACCCCGAGGGACAGACTTGCAGAGGCCAGTCTTGGGATCACGCCACGGTTCCTCGGTGTCGTGATCAACATCCACAATGGCAGTGCTACGACCAAGGATTATATTTCCTAAAGCTCCGTTTCGGCCGATGGCTCCCGCGGAGAAGTCGTTCGACGAAATATTCCATGCGCCCGCAGTACCTTCGGTGGCGGCGTAGAACTCGGCGACTGTGGGGATGCCGAAGCGCTCTTTGAAACGGTTCCAGATGTCAGGACGCAATCCATTTCCGAATGCCAAACGGATATTGTGCTTCTTGTCGAGATCCTCGCCGGTGGCTGGGTCAATTTCAGGTGTTACACCCAATAAATAACGTAGCGTCTCGCCCACATATTGGATAATTGTCGCATCATTCTCACGGGCCTCCTTGATGAAGTTGCGTGCAGAGAACCGGCGGCCAATGATCAAGGCGGATCCGCCCATCAAGCAAGTTATAAACCCAAGCACCGCAGCGGAACTATGGTACAGAGGCATGCACTAGTCAGGAAGTTAGCTTGGACAGTGACATCTGTACATTTAGGAGGCCTTACCGTGAAGAATCTGTCAGAGGAAGTAATACTTAACCAGTCTTTTACAAATAAACTACCAGACCAGCACTTCTTCCAACTGACAATAGCTGGTTTGGGAAGCCCAGTGGTGCCACTTGTGTAAATCAAGATGGCCATATCACGAGGGATTAAACCACTGCGAACCTTGTCGTCCTCTCGCGTAGGCTCCATTGCGAGAATCTGCGCTTCGACCTCCGGGGTATGGAATACAATTTCGACCGGTCCCTTGCCATCACGGAAATTTGGAGATGTCAAAATCTTCTCCTGCTCCGCCGGGAAGCAGTGACGAACTTCTTCATCAACCATCAAGAGCCTCGCACTGGACGTTCGAATAGAGTGCGTGAGCGGCTTGCCAGACAAGTTGTAGTTGATGAACGCAGGGACTGCGCCAATACTCCACAGTCCCAGAATCATGAAGATGAAGGTGGAAGAGTTCATGAAGTCGATTGCGACAATCTCCTTGTGCTTGATACCGTGGACTTTCTTGAACCATGCTCCGTAGCGCAGCACCGTGATATAGCCTTTATGGAAGGTCGTGGTTTGTCCATTATACACAATAAAATCGTTATCTGCAGTTCTAGGATCGAGTGCATAGGCTTCGAGTGTGTAGAAGAGGTTCAAGCGGTCACCCCGTTCGGCGATGCGGGACTTCACGGACATCTTCAATAGCCCCTTTATAAGGTTCAAATCGTAGGAGACCGACCATCTTGCGTTGAGATATGCAAGTGTGGTTGCCGCAGCAGGGAGTGCAAGACTCAAGGGAATATCTGCGCAAAGAGACAGCTTGTTAGTCATTCATCCAGTCCTGACGTACACCATAACATACCAGGCAAAGACGACAGCGGCATTATGACCAAAAAGGTTCAAGGATCAAGCCCAAATGAGTAGGATCAAAAGAGTATGATATTTGGGTAACAGATGGGATCGCCCCTTCTATCGGAGCTTTGAATGTGGATTTGGGACAAAGAACGAAGAAGGTGTGATAGGGACTCCTTGGGTGATACCTCGGTGCTAGTAAATCACTCAAAATCAATAGAGGTTCCAGTAAGACCCGTGGGAGTGAAATGGCAAAAGAGCGAAAGTGCCTCGGCACAGGTGTGCCGATCCCCTGACGACATGCAACGTTGGAATGTGTGCGACCCAAAACAAGAAATTAACGTACGGTTTCTCTTCCCAATGTCTGAATACATTCATATATTACATTTGACAAATGTTATATTTGAATTTAACAATAAAAGATCTATTGTACACCTTCACATGGGCTTATTAAGAGGGATCGTCCCCCCGCACTTTTTATAACCTCACTTGGTCTTAGCGTCTGGATCTACATACCTATTTTGGCTATTTTCAGACGGGTTCTAGCTAAGATCAACCCTAAAATATATCAATAAGATAGCATCTCACTTTTTCAAGGGCCTCTTCACTGGGACGTCCTCATACTCATCTTCCATGAACTTGCCCAATGCATCCAAACCCTGCTTCAGGACCTCGGTTTCATTGACATACCCAATGCGAACATAACCCTTGAAGTCTTCTCCAACTCCAAAGCAAAGGCTACCTGGAACCAGCATCACACCAGTGCGTTCCTGGACTATCTCGCAGAAAGCGACATCGTCAACGGGTTTTCCCATCTTGTTAAAGCGCACAAATGCAGTGGAACCGGCTTGCGGTTTAATCCACTCACACGCCCAGCGGTGAGTATCGACGAACTTCTCCAGAATAGAGAGATTAGTCCGAGCGAGATCGAGATTTCGCTTTAGAAGATTGTGGATGCAATCTGGTGCTAGTGCAAAACTGGCAATTGCCTCATCAATTTGCCCGACAGAGATAGTTGTATAATCGCGCGCATTAGCAAGAGATTCAATGATAGAGCTATCTCGCGACGCGACCCAGCCGACCCGCAAGCCTGCCAGGCTATATGCTTTGGAAACAGATCCTGTCACCACGGTGCGTTCGTAGCCCATAGAAAGGAGTGTGGGTGGGAATCTCGGGTCCGCGGGACTAATATTGTGGAAAAGCGGGCGATAGACCTCGTCGGAGTGGATGATAATGGATTTCTCACGCGCAATATCGACTAGTTGTTGGAGTGTCTGGCGGGGGATGATGGCTCCAGTTGGGTTTTGCGGGTTACTATGAGCATGATGGTTAGAACAACACGTTCGTTGCAGGATTATGACAAGATTCGAACATACTTGATGATAATCAGCTTCGTGTTGGGACGGATAAGGTCTTTCAGCTCTTCAATGTCCAACTGCCATCCATCGGTCTCTTTGGACTTCCACAAGCTGACTTCAGCCCCCACTGATGCAGGGACCGAAAACAGCTGCTGGTATGTCGGGTAATGGCAGATGACATGGTCTCCTGGGCCAAGCAAGGTATATAACAGCAAGAAGTTCGCTTGGATTCCGCCAGCAGTGATCAAGATATTGTCCTTCGGTAACTGCGTTGGTGCCCTCACCGAATACAAGTTCGCCAATGTATTTCGCAATTTATCGGAGCCACGAATCGCCCCATATGTAAGTTTAGTGGATTGGAGCTCGGTCAAAGGGTTGGACTTCTTGTCATCGGAGAGCGCGCGGAGATCATCGACGGAGATGGATGCGCAGCAGGTTTCGGCGGTATTATACTTGGCAGTGGTTTCATACTTGTCCATCCACTGCATAATAGTTAGTAATGTGCATTTTTTTTTAGCAACACAAGGAACAGATAAATACCACCGAGTCATGGGGTAATGCGGGGGGATTACCTGTTCAACCGCGAAGGCCTCAATCTTCACCATTGCTGAGAGCAGTAGGCAATATCGAGCAAATGAGCTATGTACAATCAGATGTCTTTGTCCAAAGATGTGCCTAGGTTCAGCTGATGGGTAATGACTCAAGCTTATCGTTACGCTACCGCCGCCTTTAGCTGTGCATAAGTTCCTCTGTGCTCCTGAGCGGTTTGCAGGGTTTGCATACCACTTAGTGCCTAAGGCCCCGGGCTCAGTATGCCTAAGGTAGGACTTCGGCACCTACCGAAGATACCCAAGGTTCAAGTTGTTGAAAAGGTTGTATGAATGGAGTACATGGTTCCCCATTCGTGTATCTCTATAACTTTGGGGCTTTTTTGCTTGGTATGTAATGGAGAAAATCCGCAAAGAGAAAGATCTTCAATTTCTGTACCTTCGTTATAGAGATTAAATTAAATACAGTGTCTAGATTGTAATACCAGAGCACAGTTATTCACAAAGCTATTGAGATAAATGCAAACTGACTTCTTCCTAATATCGCTGACATCCAAAAGGACATCCCCACGACGGCCTCCTATTTCTTTTATAGTCACAGTCCAATGTATTGGATGACCCGCTATCCTTTCCTATCATTTTGTCGAACCAATCCACCATTTCTAGATTCTATTAGTAACCATTGAGACTAAATGAGGCACTACTAACCTTTGTCTTCCTTACGATCTAAGAGAATACGTATACCCAGACAGTCATCAATTGGCCTCAAATGGCAAATCCATTCTTTCAACGAAAGATTAGTTTTGCGAATGTCAAAATCCACTCGGCCTCTTTGTTCGTTTCTATTGCTGACTGTTTTAAAATAGTAATAATTACCATCATAGATAATATCTTCCAATAAGAGTGCTTCTAGAGATAGCTCGTTCTGTAAAGTATCTAAAAGGCTGGACACACAAGTCACCTTTTCGAAACGTCCAGATGTCACTGCAACGGTATGCATTTGTTTTTCCAGTATCTATGATCAAAGCAAATGTTTCCACCATATCTTTTCCTCCCTCTCCGCCATCAAAGGCTCAATCTCAATTCCTAACCAGCTTGCTGAGCCATCAGGCTCAATCCGAAACTCCACCCGAGCAGCACTGGGGTGGCCCCATCTCACTGCAATTTGAAGCCAATAGGTACTGGAAACATGGAAAAAGCCGATCTCGAGATTTTTCGAGTAGTCACTGTATCTTGCAAGCGAGGCGCACAGGTCAGGAGTTGTTCGGTTTAGCCTCTGGTAAGCGTGATCACTCCTGCAATTGTTGGATATCCTAAGCTCTGGGTAAGCGGGGTGCGTATAAGAACCTTCATACGCAGAGAAGTTGACAGGGCTTGCCAACGGAGGATTGGGAATTCTTGGATAGAGCTCTGATAGGATGTTTTCAGAAAGATATCCGTCGTTGATGATTGCATCGCCTCTTGTTTAATGATTAGAGGTATGTTTCGAAAACGATAACAAGGACAAACCGTCGAGTAGCCAACTGAATGTTTTTACATACCTTGCAACCCAATCAAATCGACTCTCAAGGGAAATATCCATTTCTTCGTCAATCAGATGATAAGCAAGTGCGTTCGCCGCCGCGTTCACCCCATCCATATTATTGCCTAGCAACACAAGCCCGAAGTCTCGCTGTGGTAAGAGTATAACGGACGCACCATACCCAAACTGAGCCCCTTCGTGGAACAGAATCATCTCGCCCTTATACGCTTGTGACATCCATCCTAGTCCGTAAAATGTAGGGGTTTGAAACGGCTCAAGAGGATTAGGCGACACTATAGAGTGGCCACCAAACAAATTTTCGTAACTTGTCTGAGAGAATGGCAGTCCACGTTTCAGCATGGTTGAAATCCACTTGGCGTAATCTGATACCGACGATAGTATGTTGCCTGCTCCACGGATGTTATCCGAAAATACTTGATCGGTGGAGGCAATTTTACCGTCCAAACCAACATAGTAGCCTTGTGCAATATCTCGTTGTGCGTTCCGAGCCTCGTAGAGGGAAAGGTAAGTCTCTGTCATGTTCATAGGCAGCCAGAGATTTTCGGTAAAGAACTCCTGCAAGGATTGATTCGTCACGGTCTCGATAAGATGGGACGCCACAAGATACATGAGATTTGAATATTGCCATTCTGTCCGCGGAGAAGCCGTAAATGGAAGATGTCTCATTGATCGCACTGCTTCTTGAAGCGTTATGTCGGCAAGCCAAACCCAGTCGTGGCGTGGTAGACCAGAGCGATGAGACAGAATGTCAATAATTGTCATTTGTGATGTAGACCAGGTATCGTTGAGTACAAAATCCGCTGGAATAATAGTGTGGACCGGTGTATCCCAATGGATGTCTGAAAAATTGATGTTATCATCAACAAGGAGAGAGATGGCTGCAGAAGTGAAGGCCTTGGTCGTGCTTCCTGTGAAAAATAGGGTATGTTCTGTCACTGGCTGTGAACTGATAGTATTCGAGACGCCATAGCCCTTTGTAGTTTTCTGTCAATTTAATCATCGATGACTACATAAATAACAGGGCCACACACTTTTACAAATGTGTCTCCATGAACGACTGCAACAGCCAGACCAGGAATGCTGAAATGTTCAAGGGCCCACTCAACCCTTTGGTCAAACTGCGCGTCAAAAGGCGAACTGGACTGGTTTTCGTACACTCGAAGGGGCTGTTGAAAGGTCTCAAGGCCGGCGAGGACAAGGCAAGGAAAGATCAAGGCCAGTGGCAAAGGCATTTCGGGCAGAAGGACACCTACAAGCAAAATATGGATTGGAATCAATAAACGAAGTATCCCGTGAAGTGTCAGTTGCAGGGAGATTGATTCCAGTGGGAAAGCAGACAATGTTAGGCAACTCTCAATGTTTATTGCCAGTGCTAGCGAGTATTATGATGCTGGGACTATGACTGAGCACTGTTACTAATGTCTTACAAAGTTACAGGGATACAGGGATATAGATTAGTTTTTGTACTATCTTCCGTTCAGGAAGTAACATTGTAGAGCTACAAATCTGGAGATGATATACGACTTGAGCTAGAACCAAGAAGCGGGTGGACATAATAGTCCCAGAATCCGGATGTGGTACTGATGCGTCATTTTAGCCCTGGCAGGGGTACATGGATGTGATTCCCTGAATTTGGGGGATTCATACGAAGTACATTGTGCATACGTCGAATAGGGGGAAGGGGGGGGGCGTAAGTCTCATACTAGTACGGAGTATACGTGCTCTGGGTTTCACCTAGCAAGTGAATATAAACCGATCCCCATAGATAGCCAATGTACTTAAGCAAACCTTGGCTGGCGTCTAACATGCCGCAATATTGGAATCCGATATCGAAGGTTGATACTACCCAACGGATAGAGTCAAAACGAGATGATGGCGCTCATGGAGTCCTTCGGGCAATTGCCCACACTTTACACATAGCTCAACGACCTCGGGTTCCCTTGGACAGTAAGAAAGCAAGGCTACCCAGTGGCTGTAGCAAAGAAGTACTATGTTCAAGACAAATTTTTCTTTCTGCCCTTCGTCGCTCAATTGATGATGTATCTCCTGGTGGCATCACGTGTTTCCCCGCATTGAGCCACCTGGGCAGCTATTAGAGGAAGAAATATTGTTCCCCGTGAGGAAAAGCTGAAATTCATGGAGTATCTACATTGTAGCTTTATAGTCGTAGAATGAAAGTACAAAGAAAATCCTTATAGTCAACCTCAGCAATTGTCCGGGCCACCTGCCTGCGGGTTCCTGACGCCCATGCAGCAGCCCCCAGCCTCTCGCTTCTCCGCCCGCGTCATCGCCTGTGGGCCAATCTCACCCTCTCTCCGCTTCCTGCTTCTCAACCTCCAAACTTGCCTCCCTGTCTCTATCTTTCACTTCAACTATATGCTCCGCATCGATTCTCTATTTTGATCAATTCGGCGGTCCGCCCCGCATTTCTCTCTTGATTGTCGGTATCGCTGCGTATCAGATCGCGCTGCTTCTCTCCTGCACAAGATGCGCTTGACTGGCGCAATAACTCTTTCGCTTCTCACATTAAATCCTTTACTGGGATCTGCTCAAGCATGGAGCGAATTTTCCGACGCAAACCTCGCTGCACAATATTCCATCTTCGATGATCGGCCACCCGGATGTCCCGAGTGTCCGGCTTGCTTTAACTGCCAGCTCGACAACTATAACTGCACTCATTTTGCGGATTGCAACAACTTCAACGGCAAATGCTCATGTCCCCCCGGATTTGGAGGCGACGACTGTTCGATTCCCCTATGCGGTTCATTGGCCGACGACTTGAACCGACCGCAGCGTGATACCAATACCTGTCAATGCAAGGATGGCTGGAAAGGCATCAACTGCAATGTCTGTGACTCGGATGATGCCTGCAATGCTATGATGCCAGAAAATCAAGGGGGCGTGTGTCACAAGCAAGGTGTCACGGTCAAGGAGAACTTTCAAATGTGCGATGTGACCAACCGTGCGATCTTGAAACAGCTCGACGGCCGCAAGCCCCAAGTAACTTTCTCTTGCAAAGCCGAAGATGAGACATGTAGCTTCCAATTTTGGGTCGACCAGAAAGAGTCATTCTATTGCGGCCTAGACACTTGCAAATGGAACATGGAAACAGACTACGCTTCCAATACAACTCACTACAAGTGTGAGCACCTTCAGTGCAAATGTATTCCGGGCCGTTTCCTCTGTGGCGAGAATGGCTCTATTGATCTGAGCGATTTTCTTGATCAAATGATCAAGGGTCCGGCTACCTTCGATACCAAATCAACCTTGGAGGGTACCCAGAGCGTTTTCTCCGAACCTCAAATGAATGGACTGATTGCGAGCGTCTTCGGTGATCCCAGTATCTTCTTGTCATGTGATTCAGGGGAGTGCATGTACAAGACTGACGAACCAGGATACCAGCGCCCCGTGAAGAAAATCAACACTCCGCTGATTGCCGGCGTGATTGCGGGAAGTTCACTATTTGTGGTCGCTGTCATCCTGATCGTTTGGTATCTGTCTCGTCGTGCTGCGCGCCGCAGCTACCTTCGCCTGTCGCTCTCGGATGATTCGGACGATGAATCTGCCAAACTCATGGCAGACTATCGCCCTATGGCTTTGTACTGGGATAATGTAACATACACACTAAACGGCAAAGAGATTCTCTCTGGTATCCGAGGCGCCTCCATACCAGGTCAAATCACAGCCATTATGGGAGCATCTGGTGCTGGAAAAACTTCATTCCTTGATATCCTGGCACGAAAGAACAAGCGTGGCTCAGTGAATGGAGATTTCTATGTCAACGGTGAGAAGATTGATGATAATGACTTTCGATCTATGGTTGGCTTTGTCGACCAAGAAGACACAATGCTTGCCACCTTGACAGTCCATGAGACCATCTTGACAAGCGCCCTCCTCAGACTTCCCCGGGATATGAGCCGGGCAGCTAAAGAGCAAAGAGTCGTCGAGGTCGAAAAGCAACTTGGAATCTACCACATCAAGGATCAATTGATTGGCTCGGAAGAGGGTAATGGTCGTGGCATTTCCGGTGGAGAGAAACGCCGAGTCGGGATTGCGTGTGAGCTGGTCACCAGTCCAAGTATCCTGTTCCTGGATGAACCCACCAGTGGATTGGATGCCTACAATGCGTTCAATGTGGTTGAATGTCTAGTGACACTGGCTAAGACATACAACCGCACTGTAATCTTCACCATCCACCAACCTCGCTCGAATATTGTTGCCCTATTTGACCGACTCATCCTTCTCGCTGAAGGACGCACTGTCTATTCTGGCCCATTTTCATCCTGCCAGCAGTATTTTGACCGTATGGGCTACTCCTGTCCCCCGGGATTCAATATTGCGGATTACCTTGTCGACCTTACAATGCACGCCGGTGGCGCACATTCATCATATACAGATGATGTAACATTGGCGGTGGATGGGCGCACTGGTCCGCCCAAAACTGCCTCTAGCAGTCTCAGAGCCGTCAAGTCTATTAACAGCGCGTCTATCCAGAGCACCGAAGACAACTCAAGCGGTGCCGAGGCGACCCGGAGACCCAAAAGCAAACGCCAGGTATCTCTAAAACAGCAGCAAGATCGCCAGCTTTACTCCCGGAAGCACCATGCTGAGCGGCCAATCACTCCAAAGACAGACGACGAGAGTGCTACATTGGATGTAGCTGAGAATCATCAACAGTGGCTGCGTCTTTCTCGTCAACAAGGCAATGTGCCTCCGCAAATTCTTGATGATCCCGATCAGTTGCCTCCTCCGGCACCTGGGCAAAGTGATCTCGACCTACTAGTCGCCAGCTACGCAGATTCTGATGTTTGCCATTTTGTGCATGATGAGATTTTGACCGCCGTTCAGAATGCCCAGGCTTCGAACGGTTCACCAAATTCACCCATGTTGTCGGATACTGTGATACAGTCTAAGGGCTACGCCCGAGTTGGCCTGATGCGGCAGTTCATCATCCTGTCTCAGCGGACATGGCGTAATCTTTATCGAAACCCCATGCTGATGCTCACCCATTACGCAATTGCAATTCTTCTCGCTGTCTTATCAGGATTTCTCTTCTATGGCCTCACTGATGATATCAAAGGCTTCCAGAATCGTCTTGGTCTCTTCTTCTTTATCTTGGCTCTGTTTGGTTTCAGTACTTTGACTAGTCTCAACGTGTTCTCCACGGAGCGGCTTTTGTTCGTACGTGAGCGTGCCAATGGTTACTATCATCCGGTGACATACTTCGCATCCAAGGTTGTGTTTGATATCGTTCCTCTGAGGCTGATTCCTCCTATCATCATGGGTATCATCGTATACCCCATGACTGGTCTGATTCCGGCATGGCCCGAGTTCTTCCGCTTTTTGCTGGTTTTGGTCCTTTTCAATCTTGCAGCAGCCAACATTTGCCTCTTCATCGGCATCATTTTGCGTGATGGCGGAGTCGCCAATCTTATCGGTAGTTTGGTAATGCTTTTCAGTTTGCTCTTCGCCGGTCTTCTGCTGAATCACGATGCGATCCCTAAGTCAGCATTGTGGCTGCAAACTGTAAGTTTTCCTTTAACCTAAGTGATTTTTGTTCCAGACTAACAACAGTATCAGCTATCCATTTTCCACTATGGTTTCGAGGCCTTGATTGTCAACGAGGTGACTTTCCTCACCTTGATTGATCACAAGTACGGTTTGGATATTGAAGTCCCCGGTGCCTCTATCTTGAGCGCATTCGGCTTTGACACCCAGGCCTATTGGAGTGATGTTATCGGGCTGGCAGTCATTTCTGGGGCCTTCATCATCATCGCATACAGTGCAATGCATTTCCTACTTGTCGAGAAGCGATGAGCAACTCCTTTTCTTTGTTGCCATACACCGGGTTGGCACCATCGGGTTACAGCTCCTTCTTTTTATCCGTTGTATGGCGCTCACTGCTAGGGGGAAAGAATCTTGAAAGGCGCAGGGAAGTATGCTACGTTATATATAGTTATGTATATAGACAGTAATCCTCACGAGTTTTTGAACCAGTCTAGAGCTCACGTGTCAAAACGTCATCCTTCTACAAAGCTTGTTCCAAGGTTCAGGTCAGGAATGGCCTTACCCACCTACATGCTCCCCAACTCCCGTACCTGAGTGCCTGCTATTAGCAATAATTTTCTTTCGACATCTTCGCATCTTAAATTTGTTCCTTATCTAAACTGTGCATGTACGTTACCAGCCCCCGTTTTCGGGTTGCGCTAATGATGACCAGCCCTCCCGACAC